AGGTGGTGGTCTCCAAACCGCTCCCTTGCCTTCGTTGTTATCAGCTCAGAACATCCACGTCGGATCTAGATCTCGTTCCTCTTCCAAGGTATCCAATAAGGATTCTCGCGCTAGGCAGAGCTCCCAGAATTGCCATGCTACTAGAGGCAACCATAACACTAGTAAAGCCGATCGCGCGCTTATAACAGGCAAGGACGCGCCGCCCAAGATGCCGCCTAAGAAATCAGATCTGGCCCAGCCCCTCTCTCTGAGGCCGAAGCCGTCTGTTTCTTCTTCGAATTTACCTGCGCATTCCAATTCCGTCCCCTCGACTCCTCAACAGCACGCGCGCAAATTTTCTTTCGAGTCTAGAGATCACTCACCCAATGCCAACCAATCCCATTCCCCTCGATCCGCATATTCCGAGACTAATGGAGCCGTTCCCTCCTTGCGCCCCTTGCCGCCGCGGCATGGCGGTTGCAAATACGAGACTGGTCTTAAACATTCCCGTCGGAGAATACCGTACAGCATAGGAACGGATTTGTTGGAGAGAATGGATTTGCAGACCATAAAGAGCAAACTATCTGAAGATGATGAACGAAGGCTCACCACAGATATGCGTGAGCTCTATGACCGGTTACAACCGACAGAAAAAGTTGAGATAAAGAGGCGTATGTTAGTGCAGAAGCTAGAGAAGCTCCTCAATGATTCTTGGCCAGGACACGATATTCGTGTGCATCTATTTGGCTCATCGGGAAACCTGCTATGCTCGGATGATTCTGATGGTTCGTAATTTGTAACCTAATAAGTGTTTGCGCAACTGACCGTTTGCTAGTGGATATATGCATAGTGACTCCATGGAAGGAGCTTGAAGGTGTTTGCATGTTAGCAGAATTACTAGCGAAACGTGAGTGTTAGTGCTCTGGGTTCTCATGCTCTTTTTGCTAATATGTTTTTTAGATGGGATGGAGAGGGTTGTTTGCGTGTCTTCGGCCAAAGTCCCGATCGTCAAGATATGGGATCCTGAGCTAGAATTGTCATGCGACATGAACGTCAACAATACCCTAGCACTGGAGAATACCCGCATGATCAAAACATATGTCCAGCTCGACGACCGCGTACGACCTCTCGCTATGATAGTAAAGTACTGGACACGGCGACGAATTGTTAACGACGCTGGTAAGTATTATCTGTTATAAATTCATAATTTTCACTAACGGCCAGCAGCATTTGGTGGAACACTAAGCTCATATACATGGATATGCATGATCATCGCATTTTTACAGCTGCGCCAACCTCCCGTTCTGCCTGCATTACACCAGCGGGCACACCAGAAGCTTCCCGGAAAAGCCGGTGAGATAGTTTCATTTTCCGACGACGTGGACAAACTGCGAGGGTTTGGAAGCAAAAATAAGTCTTCTCTAGGGGAGTTATTGTTTCAATTCTTCCGATTTTATGCCCATGAGTTCGACTATAGTACGGATGTGCTGTCCGTTCGACTGGGCAAGATTATCACCAAAAAGGAAAAGAAGTGGCATTTTGCGTTAAACAACCAACTTTGTGTTGAGGAACCGTTCAACATCAATCGAAACCTTGGTAACACGGCCGATGATACCGCTTTTCGAGGTCTTCATAGTGAGCTCCGTCGTGCTTTTGACCTAATCGCGGAAGGGAAGCTCGAAGAGTGCTGTGAGCAATATGAATACCCGAAAGAGGAAGAGAGGATATTTCAAAAACCGGCGCAGGTATCTCGTCCCATATTAGTGCGAAGTGCTTCTCAGCAGCAATCCAACCGTGGAGGCCGTGGGGCGGGATTTCGGAATGGAAATCGACAGCAAGGCCAGCATCGAAACAATGGCAACAGCAATAGTAATAGTCGGCGAGCGTCGTCTAGTGTACCTTATGACAACAACGGGAGCCCGATGTTCATCCCGACTGCTTACCCGATTATGACGCATCAAGACGCCCTCATGTACATGCAACAGCAGCCGACAGATTTGATGGCGCAGACGATCAACGCCTTGACATTACAGGAGAACAACCTTAGATTTCTCCAATACGCCCAGTCGCAGGCATTTAATATACAGCATAGTCAGATGATGCAGGGTAATACCCCGCAAACGCAATCTTCATCGGCGGAGCGTTCTAGGACGAACTCATTCGATACACCTCCTTTGAGTGCGCCCCTTCGCCCGGAAATACGCCCTGAGATGTATTATTATCAGATGCAGATTCCGCACGCGTTCTACGCACAGCAAGGCTTCCCCACGTACCCGTCGTCACCCTCGACCGGACACGCCGCTGAATTTCGACGGAGTTCCCACCGTTCGACGGCTGCCAGCGATACTAGTCACACTGTGTCCGGAAGCGCCTTGAGGTCACAGTCCCAACCGGCCTCGCGAACTGTTCCTGGTATGCCGACTGCTCAGGGCTTGGCAGGGACTGGTCAGATACCTAATGGGGTTACTAGTGTTCCTGCTCGCCATATCAACGGAGTCCCCATGCCCAGCTTCATTCCGGACGAGGGGCAGGATATCGAACAGAGCGGATCAACGACGAATACTCCACCGGAGGAAGAAAAAGGTTATAGTTATCGCGCAGACACATCTAGCCCACCTCGGCGAACGAGCGCCGCAACCAGTAGCGTACCTGCATTTGGCGACCTTGGAGCTCAATCTTCAACAGGTCAGAGCCGAGGTCGTTTATCGTCCGACCAACTGCCTCAGTCGATACTGGATAGAATTAAGCAAAATTCATCTCGTTCTCCTTCACCGCTCAGTCAAAACAGAGTCTATGCTGCTAATAGGAATTCTGCCCCTCTTGCTTCTGGGCCGTTCCCTGCGGCTGCTGGATCGCAAATTCGTGAGATAACCCCTTTGGTTGTTAACGGCTCTATGTCAAAGCTCGCGAACGGCAGCTCGCCCCGACAGCCCTCGCAGAGTGAGATTGCACCCACCCTGTACACCGGTTATGACAATCCACTTCACATCAACCAGCAGCTAGAGGTGACTGGTTCCGTCGTTGGAACCCCGTCAAGTCGTACCTCTACGTCTCTAAAAACGAATTCACCATCGTCAGATCGGCCGGTCGTTGTCAATGGTTCATCGAATGCTTGCGCCGTAATGACCAATCAGGTACCAGCGTCCCAGTTTCCTCACGATGTGGCTACGAATCAAATAGGTAGTCACATCCATGCTATGAATATGCCTACAGTTCCCGTTGGATTTGACAACGCGGGTAACGTCTCTGGGTTCAGCGCGCATGCCTTGCAGCGCTTTCCTATTCGTGCATCACCCAATGCACTCATTGCGCAACTTGACCTTGCGACGGAAAACCGTCTACAAGCGACTGAGCTCTCGCATCTTTCGCCAGTATATGAGACTAACAGTCCTTCCCCAAGTTTCACGCGAAGATTGGAGTTACCTTACGATCAGGCACCAGCAGTCCCAACTACTATGGCGTATAGTCAACCGGATTTCCAAGCTGAGCCGTCTAAAGCCAAACAAAAATCGCTGGTTGAGACGTCGCCTAGAGTCGATGGGCCGATGCCCCTACATCCGAGAGTAAATGGCTTGTCAAGGGAAAATGGACACACGCGAGGCGTCAAAAGTGAGAGTGACAATGCTAGTACCGGATGGCAGAAGATGAGTAGGGGAAGGAAGAAGGGCAATGACACGAAGGCACGAAGCGAGGCGTATCCGCAGAGCGAGCAGTTACCAAAGAACGATTCCGAGAGGAAAGGAGGCTGAGTCGTGAATCTTGACGGACTTTGGATATGGCCCAAATGACGAATTGACGGACATGTGTTGTCTCGGTGCGAATCTCGTATTTGAGATATCTGGCAGTATATTGGACATGGTTGGAGACCAGGTTATCTTCACATGGTTAACATCTCCAGTCGGTTTGTTCAGGTTCACGAGCTTCAGTCATCGGTCTACTCATCGAGGATGATTATACTCGTTTATACGCTAACAACTTAAGATCATGTGGTATTTAAGTTGAAACGATGGATTCTCAGGAGCCAGCGCTTCGCATCAGGCTGAGAGTTCGGATTGGATGTGTAGGGACCAAGGCGAGGGGTCACGATGGTTGCGTCATATGCATAATGCCGGGTTAGGTATGCTATATTTGGCTATCCTATGAAGCATGATACATTTTCAAGGATACCAATGAAGAGCACGAAAGGGGGAAGCTCGTCCGACTGGAGTTTAGTTATCGGACCTATTTCCTTACGATTTGTACATCGCGCCAGGGGGCCGGACACCAAAGGGACACTTGAGAGGAGTCATAGGGCATATATATTAGAGCATCATACGGTGTGCGGGGCCCCTCGATATCCACAGAAAAGATCACGGAAAGGCTTGGGCGGTAGGGTCAACTTCCACGGTCACAGTTCTATCAACCGAATCAAGTGATTTGGCTGGCAGTTGAGGAAGAGGGGAGGAGGGGAATTCTTTTTCTTATGTGTCCCAAGGGTAACGGAAGACAACTCAACGAAGACGGGCATACCCTCAGATAGACGGTAACGGAAGTAGGCATGACAAAGAATAAATAAAGACAAAAAGTATAAAAGTAGAGGTAGAGAAGTTAGTATGGCGTGCTCATGTGCCGTGTATGTATAGGTGATGATGTATGTGGTGAACATGTGCTGTGAAGGATCTTTTGCAGGCTTTTGGGCTTGGGCTTGGGACTGGGCCGGTAGGTTGAGTTTGTGTTTCTGGCATGTGCCTGTGGTACTAACTGGGTAAGTATCCGGTGTTGTGGGACCTAGTTAACGGAGATGTGTGCTTGGGGGTGTGTGACGCTAGATCTCGGGACAGCATGTAAACTTCGTACGCCGATATGATATATCTGAGATTTATGATAGGTATATCCTGCTTGGTCAAACTTGTGGGTAGGTATATCTTGCTAAATATATTTCCCTAGTCTTTAGAGGTCTATTGTCGCTCGCTTGGGAAACTAGCGGTGGATTTCTGTTGTCACCTAATATATACGATCACATCGGTTGGTTACACGGCATCTTAGGGAAACGAGATGATGGATAGCTATAGCTAGTACCAATAATTGTCTAGGCGTCTTAGTGGGCTTGACACTGGTCTACTTACCACAAAGTGATTTTGGGTTGGGTGTCTACCTAGGTAAGGCAACGAATTATGTCTGCTTATCCTTTTTCCATGCTAGAGAGCACATATAGTATCATCATTGCTCACCTTCTCTTAAACGAACTTCCTATACGATCTTAAGTTTTCAATAAATATCCGGTACAGCACATTCGAAGATCTCCGAAGAGGTCAGGATACTCGTACATATCATCAAGGCCCACCTTGGTAGTCACAGGCTCTTCCATACGCTCAATCTTGTCCCTCCATTCCCTGATTTTGGGCTTCCACCGCTCCGCAATTTCTGTCCCTTCCCGGATCATCCCCAGGCCTTCTAGCCCCTGGCACTGCATCACGTTTTCCAGCATGAGCTGTCTCCAGCTGCTGGTAGCAATGCCCAAGTCCCCAATGTTGTCAGCGAATTCTGGTCCCGCTCCCGCCGCCTTCCTGGCTTTTATCCAGTGCGGCCGCCAGCGAGTGCTCTTCATAAGCCATATAAGCCCTATGGTGTGGTTGAAATAAGACCGGGACTCTTCCATTCCTCGTCGTGCATAGGGACCCTCAGGGTGGTAAATAATATCCCGTCGTGGGTCATATGATCCAACCCGCCTCTCAAGATCACTAACAGTTTCGAAACATGCGACCCAAACGTCGGGGAGGCAGTATTTGATATACTCGAACCTAGTGTCGACCTTGAGTCTCCTCCGGAACGAGAAGTCTGTCTCAGAGTCAAAGAAGGGATCAAAGTCAGGCCCGAACAGCTCGCCGTAGATAGCCAGGTTGAAGAACGTCTCGTTAACGTCGACGTAGATAGTATACGCGTCGTCAACGCCGCCATACCAGAAATTCGGGGTGGCGTACCACTGGTCTCCGATGCACTTGTCGATGAGGTCGGAAACGGGGTTGATAACGGAGAAACGCAAGGCATGAAGCTCGCGGATACGAGCCATGGTTAGGCCGCAGTGGCGCAAGGCCAGGTCCATGAGGTGGTCAGCGCCGCGGGGCATGCCAGCAGCTAACTCGGCCTCGTTCTCATCGGACTTCCGGGCCCAGGTGCCGAGCTCGCGGGCCGTAGCACAGATCAGGAAGAATGGGTCGGGCCGAAAGAATACGCGGCTAGAGGCGTGGGCGAGGTGCAGGATAACGTTGGGTGATGCGGCATTCGTACATTTCCTCAGTGTACGACATGTTGAAGATAGGTTTACGTAGTCCTCAATGTTGTGTAAGAACTCGGGGAGCATGACAAGGATATCAGTTGGGAGATCTAGCAGCCCTAGGGAGGTACTAGGTGTGGTTGAAGCCATAGCGTTGGTATTTACGTTATTAAGTATGACTCGGTTAGTATGTATGTATTCACTTATTTTAATCAAGTTGAAGATTAGAAAGGATTGTTGACTTATAGTCGGTTGATATGTTAGGTACTTTAGGTAGTTGACTACCTTAGTAATAAATAATTAACAGGTATGTACCTAATATATGTAGTACTGTGTTACACAGCTACCGGGAGTGACTAATAAGGCGAAGCGGCAGGTGACGTATTAAGAGCTTATGCAAGAGCTTATTACAATTGTAAGTTTGTTACTCAATTGTGTTCTTTCATCTTATTTGCATTCTCGACATATCAATTATATAACACTGGGACGATTAACGGGGCGTGGCAACGGCGCACGGGACCGGTCCTCACGGACGCTGGCCGATTTCATGCAGACTTTTCGGACTTTATTTACTGCTGACATCGAGGCTTAAAGCGAAACAACCTAAGATCTGAGTCTAAACTACAAGCCGAGATGAGAGGACGCGATTAATATAAGTTTAATATATCAAAGGCTACATACACCAAGTTGCTCCCGCAGCCTTATGCCATTCTGTCTTACGGGTTATTAATCGTGCGCATCTTTGCTTGCTTAAGGCTGGATGTCTCATTTTCGGGGTTTATTTGTTACTTTTTAGTGCTTGACGAAGCACGTACCTCAAAAGCTCGCGGCAGACGTCAAATCTTATTCTTTATTGATCCTCTTAGAAGTTAGCGGTCAAAAGCAGCGGAGCCAGCTCCTTTTCATCTAAATTACCTTTCTTAATATCAGCCAGGGCTAACCCTCTAAGATTCCCCAAGCAGCCCAAGAAGCCAAGGTACCATAGTAGTATCGGTGCGCTCTAGGTCTAGGATTCATAGGAACGTGCAGCTAAAACGCCGGCGTTTGCCTCCTTAGCTGCCAACTTCGATTGACCCTGCAGAGACGGACACAGTGACACACAAGCCGCCCCTTCAGGCTTCGAGAAAGTCATTAGTTAATCAGATCGACCTTATGAGCTGACTAGATGTCACTAAAACAGGAAATTTCACATGGCCAAATCTAGTTCGTCCCTAGTCGGCGGAGACATTTCAACAAAAATTTGCCCGTGGGTCGGGCGCACTCTTAATACCTGCCTAATTCTTTTTACCCTCTACCGAGAGGCTCTGTTGGTATATCATGCGCCGATCGTGCACGACTTTTTGCTATCGTTGTCGCTATAACACCATCATGATGATGGCTAATTGAGAGCGTCATTACATAATAGTGCCACTCTGCCGCTGTCATCACCTCTGCTATTGGTAGCTGTAACAGATTAATAGGAGCCAACAACATTACTTCGTCATCTGTCAATTTATGAAGGCCTAGGTCAGCCTCAACACCAATGCCCTATCTCCCGCAGCTCCCGCCAACCCGCGAGGGACCTGAACTAGGACAGACGTCGATCTACATTTTTGGACAGGGGGTCACAACCAGGGGGAGACAAGGTCCCCCTTATCAAAAAACACTTTCCGGTAGTCGATCGGCATACACGCGAAATTGCTCAGAACAGCAACATAGTGTTTTCCATGGCAAAAGGCTCTGTAAAACTCGAAGCACATTGGGGCATATTGAAGTGGCGTTCAAGGGCAAAGGCGCTAGGGATGCACCTCATAACTTGGTACCGGCTGAGAAGGGGGAGGGTCGCCTAGTAATCCGTAGGATATATAGCAACTAGCACCTCTCCCTCTTGGGATTTCTTGTAGAAGCACACAAGTTCTGTCGTTAACTTCCTATCCTCAGTCCAGTCAGTGCGGTTTCTGGTTCCCAATAGACCATCGGGGTTCTCTTGCATAGTCTACATACACTCGTTCACTCCAGTAAAACCATCTCAAGCAAAATGTACGTCCTCGCCGCCCTCACTTTCGCTTCCGCGGCCCTCGCGGTGCCCTTCCCTCTTAGAAGGGCATACGGTACGGGTGCGCCATCCTACCCGGCTATCCCTACACCCGTTCCTACATTTCCCGGTACTGCACCGACTGGCGGATCGACAGCCTTGCCAACCGTAGTTGATCCAACAACGTCGTCGTACCATGTTACCGTCACGTATGCGACCAGCTCTTCGGTTCTCACGTCTGCAGTGCCATTCCCAACAAGTTCCCTAGAGACATCTGTCTCATCGCTATCTTCATCTCTCCCTATTTCTCAGCCGGAGCCTACGCCGTCTGTGTCTCAGCCAGCCGACGTGCCCTCTTCATTCCCAACGTTTCCGGCTTCTTTCCCGACGTTCCCCGGAACTGCCCCGGGAACTGCACCAGGAACCGTACCTACTGGCGGTTTCCCTCAGCAGCCGGCTACCTCCCAGTACTCCGTGAGCGTTAGCTACTCCCGGACCAACCCCGGCTACCCAGTTGCCACGCCCAACTAAGCTATACGCCTACAATGAGAAGACACGCGGCACGCCCCCCTCGGAAAAGAAAAGAAAAATTTGATTCGCAAGATCGAAGACGACCCTCTACCGCATCATGAATCTTCGCTTCTACGCCAATTCATTTCGTACGACTTGACTCGTCGCCTCGTGCCGCTCAGGGAAAGGGGTGCGAGGACTTAAATCAACTAGGCTGGCTCAAGGCCGCCGCTGGAGATCGATGATAGCGCTGAATGCGCGGTTTGGTGATAATGTTTCTTGTATATAGGATTTTGCCATATAGCCTCTTGAATAGATGCCTACGTGTATATGCGTGGTTGCTTTCTGATACTTATACTTGCTGAATTGTGATATCGACTTGGGGTTTCGGCTGAGTTATAGAGATGGACTTGTGTAATCCCAGTACTATTCCAATTCTCTGGTCAAGGGAAATTAAATGGCAGTGTCACAAGTTCCCAGCTTCATACTGAAGTAACGGTAAAACCCAGGATTTCTCATTATTCTCATTTTGTACGTATGTTGGCTTCAACTAGATTCATATCATGATAAGTCGTAGCACATATGATTTATTAGGGAGAGAACTTGAAATATAATGAAGATAAGCATCCAACCGTAATTAGATCGTTCATTCACTTGTGTTTTATTCTATCTCCTAAGTCCTTTTATTCAAAATATCGAATCTTAGTCACGGTTAACTTACATTATATCTGTGTTTGTAATTCTCATAACTTTAGGTACACAAGGTCGCATAGTTCCGCCAACTCACACCACTGTTATATCTGATATTGTTGAGAATAGGCAGGCATTCATATCGTTAGTTAGAAACCGTATGTCCTGTTTAGGCGCCCCGAAAGTAGTTTCGTTTGAGAGTTAGTAGTATGTCAATGGTCTACGTGAGGTAATTAAGTAATAGTTGCCTCTGGAGCTGAGAATAAGCCCCGGAAGGTGTTAAAATATAAGGGCTTAAGTTTTAAAAACATGAAGTGATGAAGACCGCCTATGATAGGTCCTAAATATGACGATAGTAATTAATATTGAAACTACCGAGAACCATAATGCCAAACAGCGCGGCTATGCTAGTTTTAGCCAAGTCTTACCTTTATATATAGGTACCTACCTCCTAGGTATCTACGAGTCAAAGCGAGGGAAGAGAAACTTGCTGTTTTGACTTAACACATTGTTCACTATAAATTAGTATAGCAGTTGCCATGATAATAAGGTGGACGCAGCAATTATACCTGAAAACATGTTTATACAGAACTAGGACATCTAGAGCTTCAGGGAAACGCTGACGAAAGAAATATTTGTGAACGGGGCTTTTGTCTACCACAAGTTCTATACTGGAATTGCCGAACGGGAGCGAGATTGTCGGTAATAAGATAGGATTACTGACAGGAGTTTCATCTCTTCTTCGAAGTCGACCAGAGTTAACAATAGGAGCAATAGGGATAGAATTTCTATCTGGAATCACTTTGATGGTTTGGTTTGGAAAAGGTTCTTCCATGTTTAAACCTGAAGTGACTAACTTAGTTCTTTCTAATATCACAAGCAATGAATTAATATTTTCTTCATGATGAATAACTATAAATTATGGTAAGTTGTTTCTATTCGAACGGTTGGTTTTTGATATTTACTTATTATTACTCATTATAATAAAGCGATATCTGAACTATCTGTTTCCTCCTCGTTTTCCCACCATGGGAAATTATTAATTAAATCAGGGACATATTCTATTGTAGTACGGATAAGAAACTCACTTTATGTATGTCCTCAAGTGCCAGGGAGACACGGTACATTGTTCGTTTAAATTAGATTGGCTAAAACCTTTGCACTATTCCTGAGATGGTATATCTTGAGTCTTTTCATAGTCTTGATTTGTGAATACTATTAGTGGGGTGTCTCGCTGGCACTTGAGGACATACATATGTCTACTTTAAGAAACTTCGGAACACTATGCAATTGCGGGGTCCCCAATCGGCACCGGAAACCCGGTTAGTGTATCTTATACGAATACGAATGTTGATTGGAAGACACTTAGACGCCGCCTCGTGAGGAGCTAAGGAAGCAACCCGAATACGCGAACGGGAGCGAACGAGCACAACATAATCTCACATTCGCGTAGGTTACCTTACATAAATATTGCGTCGTCAACTCTGAGCCTTAAACTTGAGAGACCCAGAAACAGTGTCGTATCCCATCAGTTATTATAAGTTTGGACAAAGGAGCATTGCTAAGGCGGGACAAAAACAAGGAATAATTCTTGAGATATCCGGAGTTCGAAGAGAAGAAAATGGCAACTACACTTCAGGGAACAACGGTTCTGGTGACCGGCGCAGGCGGCGGGTTGGGCAAAGTGATCGCAACGGCTTACCTGGATGCCGGTGCCAACGTGGCTGTCTGCGACATTAACGAGGAGCGACTAGCTTCAGCTCGGACCGAGCTGGAAGGGACAGGACGCTTCGCCGCCTTTAACACAGACATTACGAACGAAGAGGCCGTGACCAAGCTCGTAGCCGACGTCGTGGATAAGTTCGGCCGCCTCGATATCCTCGTCAGCAACGCCGGCATGGCGGACAAGTTCGACCCCGTCGGTTCTGTAACCAAGGAGACTTGGGACAGAATCATCAACCTTAACCTGACCGGCTCGTTCCTCGTCTTTAAGGCCGGTGTCAATGCCATGGAGAAGCAGTCCCCACCAGGCGGAACCATCATCCAGATTGGCTCGACGTCGAGCTACCACGGCATGTCATCTGGTGTCGCTTATACGGTTGGTCTACACTTCTTCTTTATTTATTATCCAAGCCGTTTGACCCCGTCCCTCCTAACAACTCCCCTTCTGTTATGAGAGCCCAACCCAACGCCCTATGTAGATAGATAACTAACAGCTAACACGTTTCACCTCTAGGCCAGCAAACACGGCGTAACCGCCCTAGTAAAGAGCACAGCAGGATACTACGCGGCGAAGGGAATCTACGCGATCGGGCTACTGCTCGGCGGTATGACCGACACCAACATCCAGGACAGTTTCGCGGCGCTAGGCGGATTCAACACCGAGGCTTACACGCAGAGCGTGTCCGCGAATTTCAAGCCCGAGATGGCTGTTAAGACGAACGATGTCGCTAAGTACTGTGTGTTCCTCGCTGATCGGGGGATCGCCGAGTCGTCTAACGGGTCGTTGATTAACTTTAACAAGAACTACCCTAACGCGTAAAAATGTGTTGGGGGTTGTGTTTGTAAATATATTTTGAATAAAGCGATATACTTTGATGACTTGCATCTATTTTAGAGTTACTTGGTTGGACTGTTTGCGTTGCGAGGGTTGTTTGATTGTGTAAGCGGGAATGAATCTGGCCCTCTACCTTAGATACCTTAAAGTACCTAGGTAGGGCGAGAGATATCTTACTAATCTCTCCAGCATGGGTTCCTACAATAGCATATCATCTGGACAATGCCACGAGGTCCCTGGCGCTCTGGTCAAGTGTTTCACTGCTCGGGATTCTGACCATCCAGCTTGGCTTATATATAGGTACCTATCAGCGTAGTTCTCGACGCTTACATAGTAGGTAGCTTACATAGTACGTCTTTATCCAAATTTAGAACACGGGGAACAAACATATGCGAATAAAACAGGATATTGTATTTAAAATGAAACCGGTAAATTTATGATATGTTTACCTGTTTATATGCTTTGCAAGTAGAAGAATTATTGGGTTGGGTTATAGGTACTACCTAGTGCTAAATGGCTTGCAGCTAGGAGGACTTACGGAATACATATAAGGCATATATGTTCAATTAGGGATGTTGCTTACCTTCCACTGTTAGAGAGTATTGATCATTTATATGTATTATCGGGCTGGTAGGCTGCGTCTGTGGCGATATTTCGTTAGCTAGCCGCGTCTTCATTAGTAGTCCGTCTAAGCAAAGAAAACCTGTCAACTGGGTGAAGCAATGCTCCATCTATTATTTGCTTCAAGAATACATGATGGCGACCTAATTTCCGACCCTATACGAGGTCCCTAGTAAAATCCAAATATTATGTTATGCTAGTTTCCTGTTTGAAGCTAAAGAAAGGATGTAGATCTTGCCGGTAAAGGAGACGACGACAATATCAAGCTAAAGCTCCCCTGAATACTCGTAGTCGCACCGCCAAGTCGCCGCCTGTCATCTTAACTTGAGCTCGTCGAGAATAGTTGTGATAGTAGGTAGCTCCCCTTAACCCCTGATGCCAAGTGAATCCAGACATCTTGGCCCGGCTATAGAGATACGGATCTATAGGAGAGCTTGGTTAGAGTCCGCTCCCTCCTCCCTCCGCCGAGCGTACGGGTAGGCAGGCATCGGGAGCTAAGAGTACGTTCTTATTTGACTAGTTAATGTAATATAGTCATACTCTACGGCGAGATCGACCAAAGCTTCCTCTAAACAAGACTTGAGCTAAGGGGGTATATCCTAGACGCTTCATTCCGGATTTTCCACGGGTGAGGGTGACGTTTTTCGGGATAAACAAGGATGGATCATTTTGGACAGTTAATCATGAGTCAATAGTGCTATTTTGACATTCCCAGCAACATGGAAGACATGCTAACCTAGTATCTTGATGTTTTGTTATGCTATTGATATAATTGTTTCCTCATTGGCCTGTGGAACTGGCGTGCAAATAGATCAAATAAAGTTGCTGTAGCTAGGAGGTGGCCAACGTCCAAAGATCCCGTAGCTTAGTGATTGTTAATTGGTTCGATACAATATCGTCTTGTTTGATGTTCGCTAGGACTTCAAACGCTCAACTTGAGACGAAAAAAAAAGGTGCGCGCTAACATAAATACATAATAGACTACTGAACCCCTGTCCTTCTCCAGAATCCCGTGCTCAGTAAAAAGCAGATGGTCTAGAACACAACTAGCTCATTGCTGCCAATATTCAGGGACTCTGGGGAGAATGTGTCGTTCTCATTGGCTCGCGAACATAGCACTACCGGACCCGTGCTTTGGGGTCATCAGAATTTCAAAGATGCTTAAAGCGAACTGCTAAAATAAAATAGTGATGATGTGTAACTTAAACAGGAATGTATATTGCTGCAATTAGAAATATAAGATCCTGATCTCCTGTGCCTCTTGGAGGTGTCTGGTTGTAAATTCCACCTTCTTAATGCAATTTCTAGGTATATTATCACACCAACCAACACTCGTGCTGAAGAGCCAAGAACACCAGGATTTCGAAAGGGGCAGAATGGCCTGATAATTATCCAAGAACAGACAGTGAACCGCTTATGCTCCTAGGTAGGTACCAGAGTACCAGTAGTCCAACATTAGGAAATTCAACCATTGATTTGGCAGCAGATAATTCTCTTTGCGTTTAACTACGCTTTGGGATATTATTCGTCTCGTTTCCTCGCCTGCCCAACCTAGTTGATTAGCTCTCGCGAGGGAAGAGATAGAAAGGAAGACGTCGTTCTGAACCACCACTACAGTACGCCTTGTTGACTCTAAGACACGTGGGTTCTGGGCATCAATGCTTTGATATTCCTGTAAATTCCACTTGCGGTGTAAGCTAAAATTTGATAGCGGTGCGAATGGGTGATTCCTCTGGACTCATTACTATTGGTAGAACCACGTAAGGGTCGACGTAGGCTACCAAAGTCGATGCTTATGGGGGCTCACAGGGTCCCAGAGAATCCGCTTACATACCTACCTAGGTACTTGCCTCTAGTAAGCCATCGAAACGTCGGCCAAGAGAGACGGGCGCCAACTATTCTATCTTGCAAGAGTCAGCGATTTAAAGAAGCCTCACCTGGCAACTCCTGCGTCTTTCCGTGTGAGACGTTGTCGTAAATCGAGTCTTGGCCTGCTTGGCTATTTCATGTCATCGCCTATGTACGCTCAGGACTCTCATCTTATCTCGCTGGGGCCTCGACGATATGTACTCTCCTTGGCTCGATGAACCCCGAATTCCATGGGGTACCTTAGGTACCTTAGGTAGCTCCATAAAGTCCGGATTCGAGTGATGAGATACTTACCGTAGTTTCGGTATCCAAGCCTACTATCCTCGATGTTGTTACAATGCCAATATCAACTACCCCTTCGAGGCTGAAGTTTCGGCCAAGGAAATAAGCAGCGTAGTTTTATTCAGTGGTTGCATCCTACTGAATATATATTGGGGCGATGCTCGTCGTCCCTCAGATGTAGCCCAGGCGGGAACCAGTCTTTCGGAAATTTTTCGCTCTTCTTTTCTTTTCGCTTCTTTACGATTTATATCCTTGTTGCGCTCCGGGAGCCTTTTCGCATTTTTATATTACTTTCTCTCGTTAGGTACCTATTTCGGTCTTTCACTCTTACTCAAGATATTCGATTCTTAGTTGTTTAGTCAATATGTCATCCGCCATTTCGCGATTTCTCTTCCTAGCCGCGTCTGTGACGCCGGTATTTGGGTTTTGCGGTTCGCACACGCATCTCGACCGAAGAGCAGAAGGAGAGGAGGTACCGATCTCGACATTTGGGTATACCGGCTTGATAGGACCTCTTCTCTGGACTCAGCTGGACACTGCCGCCAATGGACTATGCTCAACGGGCAGCAATCAGTCCCCAATCGATATGGCCGATGGACAATTCACCCTCATTCCGGCATCCGACGTTGAGTTAACCGTTCCAGACGTTACAGAAGGTACAACCTTTGAAAACCTCGGGTCGACAGTGGAGGTTGTGATGAAAGATGTCGGAGGGACGTTCGTCCTCGAAGGAAAGAACTACACATTAGAGCAATTCCATTTCCATCACCCCAGCGAGCATCTCAACGATGGCGTCAGCATGCCGAGTAAGTAGATAGCACCTAGGATTCATGTTACTTGGCTAACATGTATAATAGTGGAAATGCACATGGTATTCACCACGGAGGCGGAGGAAATTGCCGTGATCGGTATCTACGTCGACCTTGTAGATTCCCCGACAGTTCTTCAGCTTCATCTTCACCCCCGAAGAGCCCCATCGACTCTACTCGAAACCATCTTCTCTTCCATCGGAGAAATTGCCACCCCCGGTACCTCAACGAAGACCAAGCCTCTGGCTATGTCGGAATTGGTCACGCAGCTAAAGGCGGGTAGCTTCCAGCGGTATTCCGGCTCCCTCACGACCCCGCCCTGTTCCGAGGGTGTCGCCTGGTCTGTAGCGACTGAAAAGCTCCGGTTGTCCAAAACGACTTTCCAGGCAGTGCGTGATGTTGTTGGATTCAACTCCCGATACCCGCAGAACAACCTCGGTGAACAGAACCTGCTTGCGATGGCATCAGCCGCCGTAGCTCCCTCTGCCCCCGCGAATTCCACCGCGAATTCCACCGTAGCCCGAAGGCGATGGGTCATGTAAACGGAGGTGTCTTGAGGTGATAGGTTCCATCTTATATGGGATTTTGGATTACACTGTAAACATACTTGGCGATACTCTTGATTTTAAGAGGATTCACTTAAAATCTGTATGAAAATACATAATATATAGGCTGGTATAAAATATTATATGTAATTATAAAAGAGGACTGCAAAGACAAGTAATTTAAAGTTAAAAATGAAAAAGTTGAGGGCGCTTGGTGTTATATTAAGCTCAAACCAAGCACTTGACACTCTGTCTTGGATATTCTTGGATATTCTTGGGTATTCTTGGCAGGTCCTCAAGTTCTAAGGTTGCCAAGGTCAACTGCTTCCGTGATGTTTTAACTAGTGCAAAGTTTAAGATGCATAGGCGTGTTTTGCAGGTATGTGGGTTTTCTCTGACCCCCCCTCTGACCCCGCCAACCCACTAGGTTCATGTTAGGTTAATCAAATATTGAGTTTGTACCTGCGCCGAGATTTCGTCATTGTAATTTTTCTCAACCCCCCAAAATTATTTTTCAATTTAACGTCGGTTAGATGTATGCAGTATATCTTCTGATATAAAGCATCATTTAACATGGATGTAAAGATAGGTCAGCTACTTTAGCACTTGGAATTAATAACTGATCTAGCTTGGAACATCTCCCAAATAATCTAAAGAGAATCACTTGAGAGCAATATGGCGTCATTCTTGGAGCGGACGACAGTCAACTCCAAGGTTCAGCTAGCCGCAACAGCCATTGCTTCTGGAGCTGTCGTCGCGGGGACAATCCTAGGGTACCAACGTCTACAGCGAAAGGAGCGCATCAATCAGCTTAAGGAATCGATCCCTTCGTTGCCCGATGAGGAAAAGGTGAGAGTTGTTCTCTTGAATACCTAATTTACTTGTAGGAATAGTATACTGACCAGCGCAAGGTAGCTTACCAGCTTTGACGGCACCTCGACAACCGATAAAGAAGATCTCCGAAATCAGCTACTCGCGAAACGAGCACAAGCCGGCGACTACGACGACGAACTGATACTCGAACAGCTTGCACGGAACCGCGTTTTCCTCAAGCCGGAGGGTCTCGAAAAGCTACGAAAAGCCTTCGTTATAATAGTTGGCTGTGGAGGTGTGGGCTCGCACTGCACGGCGGCTCTAACACGATCGGGTGTCTCCAAGATTCGCTTGATCGATTTCGACCAGGTAACGCTAAGCTCCCTAAACCGCCACGCCGTTGCGACGCTGGCCGACGTAGGCACGCCCAAAGTTCAATGCCTAAAGCGACGGCTTTTAGCTATAACCCCATGGGTACATTTCGATCTGCGGCAGGAAAAGTTTTGGGATCAAGCAGCTGATAGACTGTTGGAGCCGTGGGAGAACGGACAGAAGCCTGATTATGTCGTAGATGCGATCGACAACATTGATACCAAAGTTGCCTTACTAAAATACTGCCACGATCATAACTTGCCGGTAATATCATCCATGGGGGCAGGATGTAAGAGCGATCCAACTCGAATTATCGTGGGTGATATCGGAACTAGTACCGACGACGGTCTCTCGAGATCTACCCGGCGACGCCTAAAACTGCTTGGAGTCACCAAGGGAATTCCAACTGTGTACTCGACAGAGAAGACAGGCGAAGGGAAGGCCGAGTTGCTCCCGCTTCCCGAGGACGAATTTCAGAAGGGTGAAGTAGGTGATCTAGGAGTGCTGCCAGATTTCAGAGTGCGGATACTACCGGTTTTAGGCACCATGCCAGCCGTGTTTGGATACACAGCAGCAAACCATGTCATACTCTCTGTCACTGGTAAGTACCTCTTATCATATCATGTTTTTCTATATGCGGGCTAATATTTAATAGGATATCCACTGGACTATGTTCCGGCAAAGGGCCGCGAGAAAATGTACGAGGGGCTCCTTGCCGCAGTCCAGGGAGGGGAAGAGAAACTCCTCCGCCACATGACCGGTGGCGACCCTAGCATCACCTTGGGCCTAAAAATACCTATCACAACAGGAGACATGGCGTTCCTAGTCGAAGAGATCTTCAAGGGCCGAAGCGCCATAAGCGGACTCACAACTCGACTGACTTTAGTGAGGTGGCGAAGGCCGGCGGACTCCATACTGATAAGGATTGGGGAGGGCACCGACGAGCAGAAGTCGTCGAACGTCAAACTTTCGGACCTCGTTTGCATGACTAAGGAAGAGAGCATAAGGCACGACAAACAGGTTCTTCGAGGAACTGAGAAGCCTGAAGAGGTATACGATGCGGCCACGGTAGAGAAGGTGGAGGCATTACTTCGCGATACTGCCAAGTATGAGAAATACAGGTAATATCAATCAATTCCTCTGCTGCGCCGTCTCACGACCGACGTAGCAGTGGGTATTTTCTCATTATGGTCTTAAGCCGCCTCCCGACAACCAACTATGAAATGTCGTGCTGCTCTACTTGGCTAGCTCTAGAACTTGTCATAAACGCCTCCATACCCAGAACGCCTTAATTACCTAATGCCTTACAGTTTACCTTCACTCCGTAGTCCTTCCCATAGCGCCACCGCAGCAAGGCATTTTGCGTCGCGCGCGCCTTCTCTCCATAGATCTCTCATCGGGACTAACTTAAGCGTGATCATCTCCCCGTGATCCCGGAGCCCTGTCAGTTTACCGGTCCATTCCTTAAGGGTTTCACGCGGCACCCGCCGTTCGTGCATGAATATCGGAATATGTTCGTCGCATCCCCCAGCTGAGGGATACATAGCCTGAGGCAGGTTCTCGTCGCCTTCACCCTCGCCTCCATTCTCATCTCCATTTGCATCTTCATTTCCTTTGCTTTCGATAGGACTAGTAGTAGCATTGCTTTCGATAGGACTAGTAGTAGCAACCAAGTCGCTTAGACACCGTAGCTCCGAAGCGGGGATCTCAAGCCCAAGCTCTTCCTTAATCTCCTGCGCTGCGGTCCCCGCGAACGTGCCCCCCTCGTCCACCATGCCCGCGGGCAACTCGACAAATGCTAGACTACCGGCTGGAATGCGGGCCTGCACCGTTAACACTACGTACCGCTCATCGTCTTCGTGGCCCGCGGGCACGTCGTCCGGTACTAGCATGACGAGCATAGCGACGCTCGGCCCGCGCAGGAATATGCTACCCGGCAAGGTCTCGCCGGCACTGTTCTTGATCTCGGCAATAAGTTTCAAGAATCCGAGGCGCTGACGCGGAGCCCGGCCGAATAGGTCGAAGCTCTGGATTGTGATGCCGCGTAGAGTGTACGGGTCCAGATGGAAGGGGTGCGCGGCGTTGGTGTGCTGGAGGGAGAGGGAGTGGGTTAGGGTGGTGAGCCAGTTCTGTTTTCTCATTCGTTAACATGTATTTCAGTTGATTATGAGGTACGAAGTAGTTTATATAAATTATAAATAAGAGCAATAAGAAAAAGTTAGCTTACATTAAAATGTGAGAACCCCAAGAGTTTCTCTTCAGAGAGGCCCTCGGGGAGCTTGACTGGTATGTTGGGCTTGATGAGCGTTATCGTCGCCATCGTGCGTCTAAGTATCTCACTTGGGATTATTCGGCGATGGGTTGATTGATGTAGGAATCTCGTTGGTTGAAGTTGAGATGCTTTACTAAATGTAATGCGCATTTGAGTTTAAGTCGCTGTAAGATTTGATGGTAAGATAGGTATCTATATATATGTAGAGGTAGGCATATTTGCGTGCCTGTTTGGCTGTCTGCCTTGCAATTGTATTGTACCTTGGATTCTGGGATGACGTCTGCTCTGTTCAGGAATACTCATTTCTTTGAACATTTGCATATAAGAAACTAAGGGGCATACAACAAGGATTTTAGCTTGCCTCATTCATCAGCATAATAGTTCATTTTTAATGATGCTGTTCTAATTCCTTCTCGTATAGGTATTTCTATTAGTTAAACCTTGTGAAACAACTTACTTGCAGCTAAACTTACGCCTAGATGCTCTTTGTCTGTGTGACATGCGGCTGTGTGACCAATAATATGCTAGGGCTACTGCCGGCTTTTTGCCGAATTCACATCAACAGCAATTTGCTATATAAGTACAAATTGCTGAAAAATTGGCATCCAACATTATCATCTAATGTCATATCCGGTATAGTGTAACGGCTAACATACCTCGTTTTCACCGAGGAGCTCGGGGTTCGATTCCCCGTACCGGAGTTTCCTTTTTGCAGTTTTTATTATTGTACATTGATAATGTCAACCAACCATTAAGCATCAATTTTTCTTAGTTGTTTTTTTATTTGATAATTTCTTTTCGTTGCTTCTACTTTTCGACTTTTCGCAATGCTTTGCCTGTTTGAATGCAACTCTTTCGGCTGATGTATTCTGAATGTGTGCACTGCCTACCGATCTATGGTTGGATAGACTGAAATGCATGAAGAAAAGTAAATCTGGTAGATGATTTTTTTTTACCATATTGTTCTGTCATTTGGACATATGAAGAGGTGAGCCTTGACCGTAGCTCTTTGTACGGATACAAGTCCGCATTTGGCCTTGCTGCTTAAGACATATCTTGAAAAGGGGCTACGTCGTGACTATTACTGGAAAGGCTGACGCCTATTGTCGAACGCCAATCTACTCATTAAGATGCTACTCACTTCAGGAGAATGATAACCGCTATATCATCTCCCTTCTAAATTTATACATATTCCGCGGTCATTGTTGCCAAGGGTAGTAAGGATACTAGAAATAAGTTGAATAAGTTGAATATGGATGCTATAAGCTAGAGCCAATACCTCAGGTTAGGTACCTACCTGGCATTCAAGAAACGACTCAGCCGCAACGGGTAGTAACATGGAGTATGCCTCACCCCCTAACGACACCCCTTCCCCCTTAGACAAGCCCTAAAGCCTCATAGCACATCACCCTAAACCAAATTACTACCGCTCCTAGTCTTCACAATCTCCCCCGTCGCATTCCTATCCTTCATCAAATACAAATACGCCTCCGCCACATCCTCCACCGTCGCCGCCCTACCCGTCGGGACCTTCTCCGCGACAGCCCTAGCCTGCCCCTCCAACTGCTCGGCCGTCAACCCCATCGCCCCCCATAGTCCCGTGATCACGAACCCCGGCTCTACGGCGTTGACACGAACGGGCTTGAGATCGACCGCCAAGTTGCGCGCGAGCCCCGTTAGACCCGCCGCTACGTACGCGATCATGCTCCACCCGGGGTTCGGCCGGTCGGCAATGCCGCCCGTGGAGATCGTCAGGCTGCACTCGTTGCTCTTGGCGAGGCGGCGCGCGGTTACTTTGCCCAGCAGCAGGGGCAGTTCCATGCGGAAATGCGCTACCTGCCGGATCTTCTCCAGCGTGATGTCCTGCACGTCCGCGGTTAGTAGCGGATCTCCCGCCGTGAGGACGACATGGTCGATGGGCTGCGGTTTCTCAGCCTCGATGAATAGTGCTTCCAGGTCCTCTTCTACGGAGTCCTTGGATAGGTCGCAGGCTATGCCTGCTACTTGTGCGGTAGGGTATGCGGCCTTGACTTCGGCTAGGGCTGTCGCGGCGGACTTGGGCGAAGAGCCGGACAGCGTGACGCGAGCGCCGGCTTCGATGGAGCCCTCGACTACCCCGCGGCCAATGCCACTGCTGCCGCCGATGACGAGGACGTGCTTGCCAGCGAGCTTGTTGTACTTGGCCATTGAGGTATTGTTTCGTAGGTTTATATATATGGATAAAGGGGTTGTGATTCCGAGTTTGCTAGTGTCTCGACTCTGAGAAGTTTGATGTGAGCTATGGTCTTCATCTCGGCGGCGGCCCCTCCTATTTATCTACGTCTAGCAGATTATTACCCTACCCCCTTCTCCCCTCTTCCTGCACAATATTGGAGGTCGTAATTCACCGTCATATCATGTGATAGGTTATCGATCTAGGTAGAAAGGCGTAAGGTTTGTCATGGCACCACATTCTGTAATCAGGGGCTGCCGTAAGCTGATTACACATGCGCAACTAATTTCGCCGTTCACCTTGAAAGCTTTACGCTTCATAAGCAAGTCATGTTTTTTATAACGAACTATCTAGTAGTTGTTTCCACATGGGGTTTCTTAAAACCGTGTAGCTGCGGCGGCGGGTGGCATTATTTCCGCTGCTCTGCAGATGACACCAGTAAGAACATGAACGGAGTGGACGGGATTAGCGGTGATTGACGGGAGGACGGGGGTAGCTATCGGGGATGAAATACGGAGTTACTGCTTTTGGATGATGCTATCATGTACGTCCACGGATATAATTCGCATAAGACTACCTAATGCTTGTCAGCTGAAGGGGAAATGCTATAGTACCAAAGTTGCATATTGCATGAAGTCTATTGAGTCAGATTGGCAACTCTGATGATCACTTAAAACTCATGAACTCGGCCTAGTAGCACGTATTCCTGATTCTAACACCAATTCCCTTTCCTCCCACACCACCAAGAATGCCATCGTATATCAGCAAGACTAGAAGCTATGTCTCTACATAGGAAATTCGGTCCTAAATAAAGACGAAGGGGCAATACATGTAACGACCTAGCAGAATCATCGTACAAGCGAGATTTTGTGTTCGAGCTTATTGCGAAAAGTATGTTCGGCAGTGGAAAGTTCCCATCATGATAACTTCAGGTTGTACCAGTGGGCATCAGGTTGTTCTTTTAATACCCTTGCTGGAATCTATTCAAGTCGCGTTTTTGCTGCGCTGTCGGTGATGTACGACGGAGATCCTCCAGGGGTGGTTGACCGGGATCTCTACATAGTCGAAACTGCTCATAGAGTCCACCTATCCGAAAGTTAGCTGCATCCTCATTGTACCATATATTCTTACCTTTTTTGTTCTTACGCTCTCGCCAACCGACAACTTGGTACAGTCCGTCGTACCGGATACCACATTCAGGGAGCCAGCGATTGTTGTTAGAGGAATGAGGCCCACCGGAACGTAAGACGCGCACGGGGTGTCTTGTCTGTAGCGAAGCCTTTAGAGCCTTTGTGCCAGCGCTGGACGGTACTGATTGAAAGGGGTCTTCATTTTTGTGGCTGTTTGAGCCGGAGTAGTAGAGTATGTCACCTTGGTCGTTGTCGAGGTCATCGTATACGTTAGAAACCACGATAGAATAAGTACCTGCTTCAGTAGAACTTCAATGATTGTCAGTGATTGCCTCTTTGGATGGTTATCGAGAAAGCCGTGGAAACATTTAACCAGTTAGATTAATTAAGAAACCTAGATTCCCAAGAGAAGGGAAGAATAGGGGATGACGAATCTGCAATGGCACTTACCCGGCAATTCCTCCCATTCGCGCACCGTGGGCACCACGATGAAGCGCAACCAACTGGTTAGCAAACCAAGCCCCGACAGGAATATTGTTATGCCCAAACACCTTGGCTGATCTCTTAGGCACACGTGGATTCAGCTGGTAGGATATTCTACCTTTAGGGCCACGAGCGACCACAATCCCGTGCATGATGCCGTGTTCCCCATAAATGGGATGGTTTGGTGGTGGTAGCTGGCTCTGAATAATGGGAACTTCCTCTCCAGCTTCAGGAATTACCTCTTCTTCGGCTGCGTCTTCCGAGACTACCTCATCCGCACCCCAGTTCTCAGACTCCCACTTTTCATACAAAGCACCAGCACTATTCTTCATGTCTTCGGGGTAGAGTAGATCAGGGTTGTTTATAATTAGTTGGAGCATTTTGGGTGTTGTGGTCTTCTCTTTAATCTCAGGAGTCATCTCAATAGTATCTAGCCATTGTAGATAGGCTCTTCCCTTTTTAAGGAGGTCTTTACACTCTGAACCATCCTCAGATGTTACAACCCGTTTAAACTTTCGGCTCTTGACACCAAGGGTGGCGATAGTGAATCTGTTATAGTAATTTATGTGTTGAAGCTGCGCGGCTCTGCTACTGCCGACAGCAAATACGTCGACAGTGGCCATTTCGATTGCCTAGGGAGGAAGAGTGGTCGATACCATAGAAAGAGAAGTGTAATTAAATTGAAATTAAATGGAATGATATGATATGATATGATATGATATAATACGGTCGTAGCTTGAATTTAGAATAAGTGTAAGATTTTGAGGGTATACTTGCAAGATGAAGTGCCTGACAAAGTTTCTTCTGAAAGGTATGATCCGCTAAACCTTCTTACTGTACTAATTATGGCGCTATAGATGCAGAAAGGGGTCATCAGACTGAGCAAGTTACCTAGATACTTAAGAGGTCGTGTGATGTTTGTTATTGGAAAGCTCGATGTTAGTGAAGCCAATATAGTGGTTTGCGTAGAACTTTAAGGCATCGCTCTAGTATTAGGGTTCGAATTATAAAGAAGAATTAGAAGAATGAGAAGAATATGGAATCGACATAAGAAATTTAAGAAGGGGACATTTACGACTCGGGGGAGACAGTACATTATGTACGCAATGTAGAGCAGACCAGCTATGGTTTATAAGTTAATATAAGGTAGGTACTTTTCACGGCTTCAAGTGATCATCTGTCAATGCGTTAACAATTTGTACAAGGTAAGAAACTTAACCTATATATTAATATGATTGCTCATAATCATATGCAGTATAGATAAAAGCTGGTTGCACTGCGCCTTTTGGATCTTATTACTCATTGGTGAGATCTGTTGACCCGTCGACTTGCTTTTTCCTATACGTATTGAAAATGGGCTGTCACTTTCATTACACTCCTACCTAAGTACCTGGGTTTTAAGATTTATGACAATACATTGAAGTATTACACATCTATTATACATACCTTAGGTGTAGATGTAGATATATATTAGGCATTTAGGCAGACACGGTGTAACACACTGGCACTCCTGTCCATTGATGCTTTGACTCCTTGAAAATCTCTGCGCCATCGTATGCAAAACCCCGAACCCGAGCGTGACGTAAGTCTGTACCAAGTACAAGCAGATCTATTAGTAGATACCTCGCTTCTAGTTCTACCCTAAGAAGTTTTTAATATTACCTCCAACATTTTTCAGATCCAGCAAGAATGTGTCGTGGCCAAACAGACTCTGTTCCTCGCTTAGCTCTACATGCGTTACGTTTCTATTGCCGGTGAGGCGAATAGCATTGGCAACTTCTCGTTGCTGCCAAGCGGGAAACAAGATGTCGCTTGCTACGCCCATCACCAGGGTTGGGGTATCCCTCAGCGGCGATAAACCTTCAATCAAATCTTGAGGGGGACGGGAGTCGCCTGGTATGGGTGAACTGGAATCATCTACGTATGTTCCAGGTTGCTCAGAATACGGCGAGTCGGGTAATGTGAGGCTACAATACCGGTCATTTGTTTCGGGGGATGATCCGGATTGAATGAGCCTCTCACGCTCGGCTCGTCGTTGGGTGGCTGCCTGTTGATTTTCAAGACCCAAGTCAAATAGATCCATGGCCTTGCTGACATATAGGAGGCTGTTTGGGTCATATGTCAGACAAAACTTCTCGCCCGCATGGTCTAAATATGTCTCAATTAAGAAATCCGGACATAATGCAGGCGGTTTTGTCGGGTCAGCTCTCCTACGACCAAACCGTTGCTCCCACTCGGGTCCGGACCGATATGTCACCGTGGCGATCTCTCTGGCTAACTTCATCCCGGCGTGCGGCGGGACTTTGCCATAGTAAAACCCGCGATTCCAGTTAGGGTCCATCATGAGCACTTGCCGCTGCGTGTGACGCATTGCAACACTGTAGGGATGGCTTCGTGCGCAGCCGCTGATGGATACTATACGGCTCACCCGTGAAGGAAACAGTACACCGGCTGCCAGAGACTGCATTCCTCCCATACTAGACCCAACGCTTGCGTATAGTTTCTCAACACCTAGATGACCTAAGAGCCGGAACTGTGCCCTCACCATATCCTCCATCGTAAGTATTGGAAATCGAGTGGCATATCTCTGACCGTCAGCAGGATCAATGCTGCTTGGCCCAGTGGATCCGAAACAGCCTCCAATGACATTTGTACATATCACAAAATACTTATCCGTATCGAGACAGGCCCCTGGGCCGATAAACTTCTCCCACCATCCAGGTTGAAGGTTGCTCTCGGTCGAGTGGGCATGCGACGAAGCTGATAGACCCGTATGTAGTAATATCACATTGGACTTGTCTGAGTTTAGCTTTCCCCATGTTTCGTAGGCGACATCGAATTTCGGTAGTCTTCCTCCCCAGTCTAACGAGAGAGGATCTTCGCAATGAAATACCTCGGTGGCTCCGGTGGTATATGCGGGCTCCGGCCCCGTCGAGAGAGATTTCGCCTCCAGCGTCGCCGATCGTGTCTCTATCGCATCGAGGCAAGGAAATGCCATAGCAGGGTTGGAGGCTTCTCCTTGGCTTGTGCTAGCACGCCTGGGAGGCTGGGAATGCAGTAATCGCGTGCCATACTGTAGAGAGGGAGTTTTGAGGGATGCTAATAGCGAAGGCCGAGTTCGGAGTAAAAAGGTGGGAGGTCGCGCGTTGATGATGGGTTGTAGAATGGTAGTGACGCGTCGCAGGTCTGCCGCGCTATGACCTCGGATTCTCATGATGACTTATTGAATAGCAGGAAAGTATAGAAGCCCAAGAATGGACAGCTGCTTAGATATTGTTCTGAGATCCATGATCCAAGTTAGAAGAGATTAAAGCTTAGCTTTAAAGCTTAGCTTGCGTAAATTGAATAGTGCTATCTCACGTGTTTTTTCTTTTAGTTGGACTTCTAGAACATGGAATCCCCCGCTTTCCCCAAATTTTTAAGCTATAAGCGCTAGTATAATCGATAAGATAAAAACGCGCCTTGAAAAACTTATGATGTCACGAAATGACATACGTAATGCCCACGCCTCTTAGTACCTAGCATCATCTATCGTGAGATTGATTTGCCTGACATAAGAAGCTTGTGTTACTAGGAAGTATGAGAACCGAGTGGAAGCAATCCGGTTAGATGTACCTATAATGTATACAGGTAATGTATTACGCCGTGCATGCAATAATCAATCTTAAAATAGGTTGTATGTACAACAATTATCCTATTTCTTAATGACATAAATATGTCAGTTCGCCGAGAGCATGCGTGCATATACATACACACGCACTTGACGTATGTATTTAGATACTCGAGGTTCCAGTTTTCTTGTAGCTGTATCTCTGCCATCTCCACTTATTCTAGGCTGCGGCAGGGCAAGTATTAAACTGCACTGTGCTTTATCAACCTTCCTTCTTTCTTTGATCAACATGTTTGACCTTGTTGACGTTATTTTATTTCTCTTAATTTCAATAGTCTTTAGCTCTCAGCTCCTTAGTATTCGTAATAGAACTATGGATAATCCAAACCCACCTGCACCCATCTTCAACCCTAGGGGAAGGAGACGGCCTCTGATACCAAACTTGAATCGGCACCAGCCTCCACGTGAAAAGCCGCGATTCTTCACAAGCACCTATGAGGTTACGCCAGAAGATATAACCGAGGTGAAAGATATCTTGGTAAAGGCTAGGAATCTACCTCTTGAACTTGTCGATATGATCTTAGACGATGCCGAGTATTGGGTTTGTTCTTCCACTATCATCGATCATGACGATTCCGAGTCGGGTCGCATCTCCATCCATGGTGCACGTGAAGGAGAAAACCAATTCCTGGTCAGCAAGGCTTCATAAGAATCTTAACTTCATCTTGTTCTCGGCTAACGTGTGATCATAGCTTCGCACCAAGCCGCTTGGGCTTACTAAATGGTCACCTTCTAGTCAAGATCTGTGGAGAGTAGAAGCTACTCCTAAGCAGCTCGAGAAGGAATACCCTCAGTCTGATCTGCAAAAACTTGCAGAGGGGCCTCTGCCCACGTTAGAACATCCATTTCGAAAAGTTGTTTTCGATATTGAGAGTTGCGACCAGGGTTGGAGTAGCCATCATGACGACCATGGCACTTATCTCAGCTCCTTTACGTGGTTTGAGGCGGGGTTAGAGCGCTTCGATAAGAACAACGAATGTGAGAGAAATTCTAAGCCACATTGGAGACGTAACCTGCGTTACTTACTTAACCATATAATAGGCCTGCCGGATTGTCCAGATCGGAAATACAACGATAACTCCAATGACTTAGATATCCCAACATGCGCGATACGCCCAATTTGGCCCTCAGTGGTACACGACCAAGGCGGCGCCAGTGGTCCACGGTATCATCATGATTTGCTTGCTGATAAGAATCACGAGATACAGCGCAACAAACACGCTGTAGGTGAATTACAACACCACCACGTCGAGTGGGCCTGGGATGACAATATTGACCCGGAATCCTTGGAGACGGAACGCCTAAATGAAATTGGCCGGGGATCAGGCACTGGTAACGGTGAGTTCGTTAGGAACTTGAAATTTGGGGATATGATCACTGTCTGGGGTCACGCAAGATTTCCGGGATGGACGAATAGCGTCAAAAAGGTCGGGGTCAAGGTTTATTGGACGCTATAATTTGCCTTTCGACCCTGGGGTAGAGCCGTGATGGTGCTTATGCTCTCTGTTACTTGGACATCCACAATCCTTTTATACCTTATACCTAGGTCACTAATAAAATAAACGAAGTATTTGCCTTACCACCGAACGTTCTATTCTACTAAGGACTTCATCTGATCGAAAAACTCGGCTACCTTATGAGGTAGGTACCTAACGTACCTAACGTAACCGGCCCTGGTATCTGATTCCCCAAGGAGGACGATAGAATGTACTATGCTGGAACATTGTTCGTCTCTAACACCATTAATTACGTCATGATACTGCTCTTACGCCCAGGAAAGGCAAGCTCATTTATCTTATTCTATAAAAATCTTGATTATAATGCAATATTAATACAATAGTTATATGATCAAAGTTGGACTTTACCACCCTTGAGCTCCTGTAAGTCCTTACCCCTGAACGGAACATATACCTTCTCGCCGGGAGGCAGCCAATAAATCGCATCGGCTTCTTTTCCATTTTCCTTCGCCGCCTTCTCAATAGCCTCCGGATCGATCCCCTCAGACCTCAGACGTCCCTTCTGAACCTTCATCGTACCCGTGTACTCGAGCTGCTTGACGACTCTTAAAAATATCGGCACCGCGTACCGGGGGAGATTCGCAAGACAATGCTCTGTCAGCCCCTTTAGATCTAAGCCCTTCCCACTGGCTATATCCTCAGCCTTAATAGACGTTCCCTCCGTCGCAACTACAGCCGCGCACCCGGCTCGCCCGTCTGCGTTGGGAACTAGGACGCCGTACACACTCGCCTCAGCAATTTGTGGGAATGCGCCTACGACGTCGCCGACTTCGGTTGTCGACACGTTCTCCGAGTGCCAGCGGAACGTGTCGCCAAGGCGGTCTACGAAAAACAGCCGGCCCTCCGCGTCTATGCGCATCGCGTCGCCCGTTCGGAACCACAGGTCCCCTTTGCTGAACACGTCTGCGACTAACCGCTTCTGACCGGCTTGTGGGTTGCCGTGATACACTGGCGGTGTAGTCTTCGCCGGATCGATGCGATGGATGGTCTCTCCCGGCTCATCGGTATTGCACCGAATCGCGAAGCCTTTTGCGTCTCGCACGATATCCTGCGTGTCCGGATCGATGCGCACGCGCGCTTCGCTGCCGCCGTTGATCAAATGCCATAGCGGACCTCTTATAGCTATCGCGCCCCGCGAGTACTCGTTCCGGCTTGAGTTACTAAGCAACCCGACCCCGTCCGTCGAGGCGTAAAACTCGTGGATGACTTCGATGCCGAAGCGTTCCCGGAACGTCTCCCATATATCTGGCCGCATACCGTTGCCCCATGCCATACGGACATTGTTATCGGTGTCGAGAGGGCTGGGCGGCGCGTTTAGCAGATACCTACATAATTCGCCTACGTATTGGATAATCGAGGCTTTCGACGAGCGGACCTCGGGCCAGAACGTGTTGTGAGAGAACTTGCGCGATAGGACTAATGTGCCTCCTGTATGGATACAGGAGGCGCAGGCGAGGCCCTGGGCGGAGGCGTGGTAAAGCGGGAGGCACGTGTATATTCTAACGCCGGGCTTGATGCCTAGTCTGCCTCCAGCTTGCTTTATGAGCACATAGCGCCCCCGATTTACGACTGTGCCTTTAGGTTTGCCCGTGGTACCGGATGTGTAGATAAGACATGCTATATCCGTGGGCTTTATATCTTCGCGGCGTGAGGCGGGGAGTGGCTCTGTGTCTGCGAGAGCGCTTAGAGATGAAGGGTTGTAGTAAACCGTCTGGATATTGGCTGAGGTGAGGTCTTCTTCAACGGGGGAAATGAGATGGCGGACGTCTGAATCCGCAAGCATGTACCGAGCACCGCTAAGCTTGACGCAATGAATAAGCGATTCGGCTGTCAAGTTGTAATTTATAAAAGCCACCGAGGCGCCAATCCCCTCGAGGGCAAGCCAGAGCAGAATATACTCGGGGCTGTTAACGCCATTTAGCGCGACCATCTCGCCCTTCTTAATCCCCAGATCCTTGAGCAACCAATTGCCAACAGGTTGTAGGGCCTGGTAGAATTCACGAAAGGTCCACTCACGACCCTCGAAAATGAGGAAGGTAAGATCACCCATGGGGGTATTGGCGCGATCCTCAAAGGTATGGTAAAGGAGCAACTTTCCTTTCCGGGCTTCCTCGGTGATGAGCCTTAACAGCAAAGCGGCACGCAGCTTATTGCTTCCCTGAGCTAAATCGTTCATTATATGAAAGCGAGCGTCCATGTAGGCCGCGAGGGCAACACTGCCTGCAGCGGCCGCGGCTATAGGAACTAGAATTGATCAGTATTAACTATTTAACTATAGCTATGTATGAATGATTGAGATAGTTTAGGTCCATACTTACAAGCCATTTTTAGATATTAGAACTTGATGATGATATTTTTAGATACTGGGTAGGTAAACATAGAGTTTGAGACCAAGATAGGTACGAAGTATTGTCAAAACATTGATCACAGTGCCAAGAGTAACTTCTGGCTGGTGTTTTATCCGATAGCTTTCTTCATATTTGTTTCTAATTCGACTGTAAGATAGCACGGTGGTACTGCAGATGACTGCGTGGCTTAAAAAGAGAGACGAATGTCTCAGATCGACTGGCCGAGGTAACTCGATCGTGTTCGTGACGTGAAGTGGGCAAGTCTTTAATACAGTAACACGTCGGGTTTCGGTAACATACAAGGGGTAGATTCCGGAGCATGAGTGGAGTCGGGACGGCATTGTGCATTTTTCACGTCCGCTAGAGTCGTATCCCCTTATCAATCCTACGTTTCTCTCAATGTCACCATTTGGAAACTATACGGCGCTTCGTGGTTTAACTGCAGCTCAAGTATCACTAGAAAAAAAAATATATGCATTGGGTACTTAGCTGATGAAGTTGGCTGATGGTGTTACACGCGTGGTCATTCTCACCCAAGTTGCCTTAGGTACCTAATTTAACTTATACCTAGCCTAGGTTAGTGAAGCAAGTTGGTCCATTACTTAGTGCTCTAGGAAGACTAGCAAGTGGATGATATAATTTATATAATTTAAACCCCGAAAAATAAATAAAGCGGTTCTTCGGTAGCGTAGTTAAATTTATATCTAGGTCGAGATTGTTCTTACCTAATATGTAATGAGGAAGCTTGATACTAATAGAATGAGATCGTTAACCTAGACACTCTAGGCACTTGAGGTAAAACAGACTGGGAAACGTACTGGAGTTATATTAGTGATGTACGTTTTCTGTTTAGGGATCATAATGAAATACAGCTCCTTATATGAACTAGCTAGCTGCCCCCATCGAAACTAGGGTAGATGATTTATTAAACATACTGCTAAGATTGATGGTTAATAAACATGTTGTCGATGTTGTCAATGGTGGGAAACTAAGGATAATTATGGTTATCATTGAAAGTTGACTAAATATATCATCTGGATGGCTCATTGAATAGACAAGACCGTTTTCTTGCTCGATAATAAGCAGGATTAGATGCCACTGCGAGAAGGCACGGAGGAAAAACAAATGTATTGGAAAATAACAACAAGATTTAGGATCTAAACCAGGACTATTGGTAGATATATCTCCTAGGAGGTATGCAACTCCTTAGGTTAGGTAATTTAGTCCCCTAAGATGGGTATATGTTCTATTCCAGTCAGCCGGGTACTGTATAAGAAAAAGATGGGTTAATTTACAATCCTGATGGCAATGGTATAAATAACCGGTGGGTGGGTTTGATTAAGTAGTATCTAGGCCAGTAACAGTACCTTTTTTCTTAAATAATTACCTACCTAAGTAATTCAGTAGCATACCCAAGGCATAATTATAATGAGGTGGACAATCTACCAACTGTAGCGTTGCTAAGGTGCCTTAGATGCCTTAGATACATTAGGTAGGTACGTTAATATCTGAATAAACACATCTGAATAAACGGCGCTACAAAGACAGTACGCTCCTTCCACATTGCTTCCCACCTGGTACGTTAAGATTCTCGACGTGTTGACGCGTTGACGCGTTGACCGCCTTCAATAACTTTTTATCGCCGCCTACATTCGGCAATATTGCTTTGGAATTTCTTCACACACTGAAATTCATCCTTAAGGCGTTTATCTTCCACCGGCATCAGTTTTCCCCTTTGTCTCTTTCACACTTCCCTAGTCAATTCTATCCTGAACAGAAAATGGGTTCTCAAAACAAAACCGTGTCCCAAAGCCCCCTCCAACGCCTACCCATTGAGCTGAAGAGATATGTCATGATAAAGCTTGATATTACCTCTCTTTACGCACTTGTCACTACTTGCAAAGTCTTCTACAATATCCACAAGAGCGACAGAGGCTTCATTCTTCGCGCAATCACTACAAATGCTCTAGGTGACGCCCTCCCATCGGCTCTGGCCTTACACGTAGCAAGGCGTACCGACTGGGAAACAGAATCGCCCGCATATTCTCGTGATGAGCTTATGGATCAGATCCACAAGTTTGGCAGCACATATCTCGATCGGAATAATAAGACATTGATTTTCCCGGAAGACTTCTCTTTCTCCTTGGCTTGGGAGCTCGTTTCTTTCCACTCCATCGTCGAGAATTTTGCTCTGAAATTAATGGAGGAAACATTGTCAGACATGTACTTCCACAATTTTCGGGGTCACCCAATTCCAAAACCTACAAGCACAGAAATTGCCAGAGTACAGCTTACATTCTATTGTATGGAGATATCTCGAGAACTTCTCCCTTTCCACGTTAGCGGGCCGGACAGTCATCTGGATAATGAACGACCATGGGAAATGCTCTGGCACTATTTCGCACCATGGGAGAATCGAATCGCTGAAGTGATTACCTATTTCCTAGATAAATGTCTTGATAATGCTATCAGTCGAGGTAAGTCCAAGCTGGCTACATTATACTCCTATATTACAGACTAAGGAAATATATAGGATCTATCAACATGGGAGACTCAGCTTACTACGAGTGGTATACTGCTTTGGGATTGCGTGGCTTTGATAAATTAGCCGACGACGAGTTTGTATCTCGCAATGCCGCCACTATCGAAACCAACCGATACCCATTCCGTTGCATTTGTTATTTCGCACTTGGTGTATCTGGTTTTACATGGTTGCGACCTGTTGGAGAAACCCTCATGGTCCGATCTTTCAACATAGACCACCTCTTAGCAAGATTTCCCCAGGAAGAAAACGGGGCATGCGATAACTGGTACTTCACGATCATCTCAGAGCAGCACAATCCTCAATATACTGACTCACAGCCCCTTCCTTCGGAAACCGCTTGGTGGGACCGTGCTCGAATCAATACCGTATTTCCAGGTATTCTTCCCAGTACAGCAGAGATTCAAGACATGGCAGGAGGCAACGAATACATTGGGAATTCTTTCGAGCCGGAAGTCGACCATTGCAAAGAGATTGGCTATTAGGGAACCGGCTGGATACTATACTTCGCATTCCTTATACCTAATACGTACTTAGTACGGCCGTCAAGTCGTTGGATTACTCGTCGTTGAGGCTTGGGAGGTTTCGCGGGTCGTCGTTAACGTACCGGAACGGGGCTAACCCAATAGTTAGTAAGGGCAAAGGTGACTCGGACATGAGATGGACGGTTTATGGTATATTATGGGCGATTTATGGTCCTTGAATTCATGGCCTGGAGTGCGAAGTTGTAGTAGGTAGTGAGTCTTCTTGTTGGGTTGATCGGGCGCATATGGTTTCGAGAGTTGGAAGACACATGATATAAGCTTCATACCCTATGAATGCATAAATCAGCCAGGAATATCAAAAGCTTCGAGTACATTGAAAGTTACATGATAACTAGGTAACTAAGGGGCATTCGCATTATTAAGTACTTTCAATCACTCCTATTCTGTCTAGATTTTGACTCTCGCACAAGTCGACCTTATATACAAGCGGTACGTCAGCGTTCAACTGATCAGTAAATAAATTTCCAACTTTTCTAACGATAACAAAATTAAACACTACCCTTTTATCCAAAGACACTACTTCCTCAAGCTGATCCGACACGGATAACCATCAGCAGGATGCGCCCCTCCGGATTGCGTCTGATAAGCGCGCTCGTTGTTAACACTCTTAACCTTGCTCGTAGGGTGCAAGCGATCCCATTCATCATACGCATGCCTAATGCCAAACTCACGCACAGTAAGCGCCAGCGTGATTTTCACATCGAGCATAGCTAGAGTCTGACCCAAGCAATTTCGCGGCCCATGCTCAAAGGGTCGCCAACCCCCCTTAACGGGGTACAGTGGGTCCCCCGGCTCCACGAGCCAGCGCTCGGGTATGAATTTCATTGCCGAAGGCCAGTACTTCGGGTTGCGCTGTACGGCTGAATGTAGAATCCACATATTTGTTCCCTCGGTCGGATACCTGTTGCCCCTGTCGTCCTGGAGATACACGCCAGGTTGGCCGCCACGCATCGCGGACGCAGGAGGGAAGAGACGTAGAGATTCTTTAATGACTGCCGTGGTGTAGGGGAGTTGGTTGAGCAGATGGGGCCGTTCGCGCATTGTGTTAGCCGTTTCGGTAATGTCCGTACCAAACACGGCATCATGCTCGGCGCGGAGCTTAGCCATGGCTTCGGGGTGGGATTGTAAGAGGTAGAAACAATAACAGATTGTGGATGATGTAGAATCATGGCCAGCAAAGAGGAACAGGCGTATTTGCACTGTGGCCCAGTCCCTGAAAGCTGAGTCAAGTTTCTTGGGGCGCGGCTTGTCCTTTTGCTGGGCCATGTAACCTGCTAAGGCAAGATGGATGATAGAGCGCGACGAGGCGGCTGTCTCATCCTCGGCCCATTCGGTATAGCGCTTATCAAGTTCCTGGGCTATGTAGTTGTTCATCTGGTAGCTATTGTACCATTGCACAAAGGGGCGAGCTGGGTTCCATCTAATTAGAAGATTCCACTCGTTGTCAAGGACATGCCAACGAATTTGCCGGCGCAATGCCGATGCTAGGGGGTTGAACTGCTGTTGGGAGTGAAGTCGCGAGTCCAAGGTTACGGCACCAATGACATCCATCATGTACCAGCAAGTCACATCGTCTAGAGAGAACATTTTACCTTTTCGAGCATGTTCTCTCAAAACATCGATGTAGACTTCAGCCTCGTCTACAACGTGAGAAGTCTGTTGTAAAATGTAGCTGGCACTAAAGCCTGAGTTGAAGAGTGAACGAGAACGCTTCCATTCGGGCCCATTCATAGTGAACAAGTTCGCGCCACCAGCTAATGGATTAAAAAAGGCATGTAGAATGGGCGGCTTAGGCAAGTCGTATTCCTGGCAAGCTTGCACAGCAAGCACAGGCGAGCAAATAACCATCATAGGGTCAGCAAACGGCCACATGTCCAGATAGATGATGGAATCGGCATCATTTTTCTCATTTGCACAGCACAAAGCCTCAAAGGCATCAGGCTGCTGTGTATCTTCAGGCAGCGTTTTCAAAACTGATGGAACGGCAAGGAGATGTCCCAGGATGGAATTCCATGGTGGCATCGGCTACGCGACGATCGCATTAGAATTAGCAAAAGCAAGAAGAATCAGGCAGCCACGGGATGATATCATACCATTCCTTGCTGGCGGAGACGGTAGAAGGTAAGTCTGGCTTGGTAGCCTTTGACCAGTAAATAGAAGAGCGCACTGGCACAGGCAACTAGCCCAGCCGTGGTTACACGTCCCGCACCGAACAGTTCGTCGCCGATCATAGTAAAGCCGAGGTTATAAATAGCGGTAAAAGGAAAGAGTAACAAAAGCCAATGTTTAACACATGAAGTGAAAGAATCCTTATTAGTGATGTCGCGGGCGGGATTGTCTACATGCAAGGGATACCAATATCGCTAGGATGTAAGGTAATTGAGCGTGGGGTGAACGTAGTAGAGAATGGCAGTAATGGCGAATACTATAAAGGAACCAACGGCGGCATTGGTTATTCGGTTAGAAAGCGCGAAATTATCATTACTCTCGGATTACTTTTAATGTTCTTAGAGTTGCAGACGTAGTAGCGAGTAGTGATGAGGCGTCCTAGAGCCCTACTAGGGCTCTATATATTGACCAGATAGTAACTATTCAAGTAGTGAATAGGAGTTCGCCGGGCACTTACAGTACTACCATAGATAGATTACGGGCTTACATTAATCGGGCTCGAAAGAAATATAATAACAGAGTTATCTATTTATCAAGGAGGTTGCCTACATAACGACACTCCTCTTTAAAACTTGGTTATCTTAATGCTAAATGAGTGGTCATAGGACTGTTGCTGGGTTAATTAGGAGGTATTTTAGCAAGAATATAAGGTATATAATTCAGGCGTCCTCTTCACTTATAAATAGCCTTGGTTCGTAAATCAAGCTAGGTAATATACCCCTTTTCATGTAATTTCATTATTTGAGATATCTCCTATTTACAGTAGGCCGACAGTCCTATGCCGATATAAGGCGCCTCCATCCTTGCGCGAAAGGGCGAAGGCGATCTGGGGGCTAGATGTAACGAATATCTTCACCGCTAGAATGCTAGAAACTTAGGGGTACAATAACATCAATGCTGAAGAGGAAGTCCAGGCAATCGAGAAACATTGGAGATCAAGAAAAAGATATGAAGAAACTCTGGACTCCCGACAAAGTTGAAATCCTCGAACAGCCTAGAAACTGTAGCACGATGCGTTTTGCTTGTCATGGCAGAATAGATTCAACTGCTCTACGAAAGAGTTGTCTCATTGTAGGGAATAACGGGAAAGACAAGTTTACTATTGCCGATTTCAATAAGGTTGAATGGTTGACGGCGTATAGTACATTGCTTACATGGAAATAAGCTTCTTAACGTATGGAAATATAGGCTCTAGTGTAAAATAAGGCCGACATCGGCTCATTCGCCTAAGATCTATAAACCCGAAGATGTCACTAACTACAAAGGTAATTCTGTGAAACGGCAAGACGGGAGCTCGGACGTTGGTGGATCACCTCCGCACCGGCAATTATCGGCTTCCGTGTGGAAGTGACTCTATCGGGCAGCTCAAAGGTTGCCCTTTTTTAATCTAGTTTAATATACAACCTTGGATAACATATCTGATTCTCCAATGCCCTAAGATATAGTAATCGTCACCATTTACAGGTAGAATCGCTTTTTATAAACCTGATCCCACCCTTTCATCAAAACTCGATTGAAAATCTGACAGCCCTTCCATTGATAGATCCTATCTACGCTGTACCGGAGAGCCGAGTCGTCACCGCTATTCATTATGGGCGCATATTTCGAAGAAATCCCAAGACAAAGCCTCATCGATTGGATGTTGGCACAGAAGGTTTTCTGGATAGCTACAGCACCACTATCGGGAAAAGGACATGTTAATCTTTCACCAAAAGGGGGCCAGTATTTTGGTGTCCCCGACACTAAAACTTTTTGGTTTTTGGATTTGACAGGAAGTGGAAACGAGGTCTGCTATGGCTTCTTCAATCAAGAGATCATGCAATTAACTAACCTTAAACAAGACCATATCACATCTTCTGGAGCCGGGTAACGGCCGTGTAACTATACTATTCAATGCCTTCGAAGGGCCGCCCCGTATCGTGAGGCTTTGGGGAAAAGGCCGCGTACTTGAAAATGGAACACCAGAGTTTGACAGCATTGTGCAAAGGGAGAACATCGAGGTCCTCCCAGGCACGCGGTCAGTCATTGTGGTAGACATCCACCAAGTCGGCACCTCATGCGGTTACTCGGTGCCAATATTCGACTTCAAGGAATTCCGGACTACCCTCAACGACTTCTTCAAGCGCAAGGAAGACAAGTTCCTCGAAGGCAACGAGAAAGAGAGTATGGACCACTACTGGGCCCTCAAAAACGCTTGGAGTATGGACGGACTCCCAGGTATGCCGCGGGGTCTGAAAGCCGCGCGTTCCTACGCTATTGAACCTGTCAAAAAGATGGTTGGACCCCTAGCTCCTAAGAACGGCGTAAACCTAGGTGCGCGCAGCGGATTCCTACTTGAACATTTTATCATCATAGTACTGGCTCTCTTACTCGCTATTGCGTTGGCTACACATCCTGCTTTCCAGCATCATGCCCAGACACGGATACGGGACGTGATACTACAGGTCAAGGCCGTGCCAGGCGCGCTTCCGAGTTCTGTTAGATTTATGGAGTAATGATCGACGCGGGAACGAGTCCATATTGCACCACCATTTTCTTAAGGGTGCAGAGCCACTTTATAAGAGTCTATTTTGGAAGTATTGGGTATGCATTCGTTTAGTTACTCTTTTATACTGGGCACTTAAATCGACCTGGATAGTGGATACGTTCCTTTTTAGTCAACGTCGTAGATAACTTCGGTATCAACGTGTCTCTCTCTTGACTATGATCATTACTAAGACCGTCATGATAAATTCTTAATGGAATTTGGAAGATGCAATTCGCCTTCATAATTAAATTATCCCACCATATAATCCGTCTGCCACAAGCAAAATGCTAACCAGTCGCCCACCCCCTGAGCGCCGTGTACTTGTTCGGAGTACAAGGGCCGTCATCGTTCAGTACCTTATGCTCCGGAATCGCGCCGTCCTTCGTGGGGACCTGAAGAAAGATAGTCTCTGAGACACCCGGGAAATAGTTGCCATGGCCCTCACGGCTGACCTCCGGTGTATCCGTGGCAAATAGCAGGCCCATCTCTCCCGGTGTTGTCGCGACGGTGACAGAGCTATTGTCCGGTAGTGTTATAACCGCTAGTCCATTAAGGACAACAATCCATCTGCCTTATGTGAGAACTTTACTCATCAAGCCTTACATCTAGGGCTAGGTAATATTTCTAAATACATAAGTATAAAACACTTACTGGTTTCTAGGTGTATTATGGACTCCGCTGTCAAAACCCGCCGGGATCACGTTATACGTAATGTTGCTAACATCTCCTAGAAACGTAGTCTGTGATCCGGCAATGCCCGTTTGGCTGGATGAGACAAATGGCGCGTCAAGCTCCCAGCATTCAAAACGGGAATTGCCATCCTTGGCGCCAATAGCCGTTACGTTGAGGCTAGTTGCTAGCACTACGTCGAAAGCAGCGAAGAAGGATAGGTAAAGCGAGGAAAGACTCATCGCCATCTTGTCGGTAAGGTATTGAAGTGAAATCTAAGTCGTCTCGGGGGATCACCGATGTAATCTTTCGAGGAAATCTGTCAAAGGATGTGCCCGACGATCGAAGGACATTTTATCCTAGGTATCAATCGCCCGACAAGGGGGTCCAAAATCAGTCCTCCGCTTTGCTGATGGATCCAAAGGCCGAGGATGAGTTTTATGGCCCTATACCGAATTGTCGAATTTACGATAACCTATTTGACCCATTAAGCACAAGGCATGTATCATGTATCATAGGATACGACGTTATCTAACTCATATAAATTTAGTAGAGACTTGCTAGACTTGCTAGAAGGGTATTTTGTACTTGGCCGTCTTGGCTTAGTTAGGTGGGGTTATTTTGGATTATTTTGGATCCATGTCTGGCGGTGAATTTTCTACTGCAACCCTTATACTACCTAAAGGCTAACTACCTCTTACATAGTATACTACGTTTAGTACTCCCGAGGGATACGTGTCTCGGCTTAGCAAAGGCTTGGAGAATCATTTAGACGGTCTCTTTCTTGTAGGATCGGCATAGAGACATTCACAGCGTTAGGGGCCACTTACGTCTGTAGTTTTACATACATAACAACGGAAAATTGAAATCAACCGTTGAATAGGTTACCACGGTTTTCGAAGTCTCGCCAATACCCGGTAATCCGGAAAGCCCCTGTCGAGCCCCGTATGACGTATTAAATATATGCTGTTGGTCCCCTTCACCGCCAATATCAGAATCTGCCAATACATACCTACGCAACTCGACGTTCATCAAACGAATCAGGAGCTAGTAGGTTTAAGCCGTGCTTCTCGTTAAACCAACGACATTTTAGTCGCTTCTTCATTACCTTAGTATCTAGGTTAGTGGCCTCCTTGTGGCGGTCTTTGATAAAGTGCCTCTTCTAGTGCACCTTGTGCATGACGAGCTACTTGCTATCCGCTATGGGTATATATTCAACTAGTACCGATAACCTCACACGTCGCTCGCTTTTCGCGTCGTGTTGGTTTTGGAGCTATGAACCTGAGTGAATCGGTACCTATCATCGTGGGATTATATGTGTCGAGTTGAGTGAACACGCGACACTTTGCTCTAATCCGCCCAATACTATTCCCGTAAGTGCACTGACTCTTAGCCGTTTCCCGACCATTCTATCTAGTAAATAGGCAATTTCAATACCCCTTAGATATTCCGCCTTAGTGGATGTTGTGGGACCAAGTAATACTAAGGCCGCATCCTTTTCGTCGGTGTCTTGATACTCCTGAGATGTCTTTTTCTTGGGAGTCCTATGTCCCGAGTGGTGAGTGTGAACAAGGTCCCCGGGGTCGGCCTTTCGCGCAATACTTTCGAGCGCTCCGGTGACGTTATCGTATGCAAGCCATACCGCTGATCTTTACGAAGGTAAAAATTTACACCTATTAGTATCCGTACTGCCCACCTTATTGGACTAGGCATATTAATACTCGTCAAGCCGCAATATTTAAACGAAGTAAAAGAAGTACGCCAATCACACTCATAATGGGGGGTATGATATTTAGTAGGTAAGGGGCATACATCTACCAAGGCATCCGGGGCCGAGACAGGTCCCTTAAGCCTTTCGGTTTACACAGGAACCTGTGATCCTTTTTTCAGCTATACTGCTACAATAGTCTCTGGGATGTAACACTACTTGCGTTATCTTCTGCAACCCACGGACGCTCCCTCATAGACGCATGTCGGGTCTACATGATGAAGTTGGTATCATTGTTCTGGCAGCACGCATTGTACCCCTCGCCTGTTATAGACAGCTCGCTACACTACTATTACATACATACTTCGAGCAGTAATGTTACTATAAAACGAAGGGAGGCCAGGCCATAAGAGGATGTTATGTCCTTTGGACAGCCTTGTTCTTCTGACATCTATTTAAAGGAGTGACATAGACCAAGATGTCACATATCATAGAAAATGGCGCGTCCTGACGCAAATCATAACTTATTATGAGTCTTAGCGCTCCTCAAGACAGTAAGTAGCACGAAACCCGAATATTAGCCCCCGTGACATTGATCTGGGATTACTTAGTTGAAGCCCAAAGCTCACAGAGAGTATCATGGATATTCAAGCGCTGGATTGATGCCATCCGCCCTCTTGTTATGCTCTAGCCACTAGACCGTTGGTGGAATCCTTTATCAGTATTGATACATGGGTAATTATCACTCACTCCTGGAGAGAAACGTGAGGGTTCTTCAATTGCCGGTAGCTTCCGATAGGAATGTCTCCAGTCTCTGGAACTGGGTCACCGGAACAGGCAACATTTACCGCAGAGAAACGAGGTTTCTTTATGAACCGGATCTCTGTGCGGTTGGCTGTCACGATAACTATGGAATGGTATGGTTAGAATCACTTGTTGAAACTATCGCCATAAAGTTGTTACGTTGCTTTAAGAAGGTATGAATACCAGCCCCCCGGGTTTTCTTACACGCTGACAAGTATTAGACATCTAGACGGGGCCAGATATTCGTCTTCTCAGAAAATATGCTTCGAGTCTTAACGAGTTCTCTGATTACAGCACTTGTCCTCGCGCTACTACTTATTCCCGTCATTGTCATTCCAGCTGTGGACAGCACAAGTTCCCAGATGTTTTGCGTCTTGGTATCTACAGTATTGTTTACAATCACATTGTCTGGTCCCATGAATGCGAAGCCAGCTGAAGTTTTCAGCGCAGGTGCTACGTAAGTTAGAATGACGCCCCTGAGTGAAACCACGACTAATGCTCACTACCTACCTAGGTATGCTGCTTTGTTGGTTGTCTTTCTGGTTACTACTAGAAACGAGGGATGAGAAACTCTTCGCCTGTTAACGAATTGGTATAGCAATTTGAATTCAGGGGCTTAAAAATTCAAAAATAAGGAAATTTTAATCATGTCATTTTATACAAGGTTTTGTTATTAGTTAGTAAACACTTGACTTACCTTTTTATCCATGCCTAAGAAAAGCTTGCAATGGTTCGCAATTCGAGAATATTCGTAGTTGCATGGTTAGAAGTATCACGGGGATTACTTTAAATATGGAAGCCGAAATCATGGCAGAGGTGTTCGCGCACCGTTCTGGAGGTATTGGAAAGGGGATGCTATCGTTATTTTCCTATCATTTGAATACTAGCGCTTTTACAGCATATATCAGAAGGGGGATAATACAGATACATAAGAACCAGGCGAGCTTGTGTTAAAGTTCCAAATCCCACACCTACAGCCAAATTTCAATATTGTACTCGCAGACAAGAGGTATTCTTTAGAATATTTTACGAATGTTTATACACATCAGCCCCTATGCTGGTCCGTCATATCAAGCTACCTTTTAGTCCTCTGCATTCTTTTAGTCCTCTGTATTCTTTTAGAGATCACCTGTTTCATCCGGGATACGTCCGGTTCAGAACCACTCGAACTAGTAGTCCCTTGGGCAGTAATCAATTGAGACCTTTGTGAGCCAAGATCCGACAGGATTGTAGCCCTTGAACCTGTGGCTGTTGTTGTTTCTGAGTTGGCTGTGTCACAAAGGTGTCCGACGCATTGTTTCTTTGTTCGTCCCGGCGCACGCTTGGTTGCTCCGCCGCTTGTTTTCTCATCTGGGCCCTTCTATTCTGTTCCGACTCCAGAGCGCTTCGTTCTTCTATGAGATGTGTCAATATGTCCTTTAGTTCCTAAGTATAATTTCGGATTACCATAGCGATGACGAAACTAGAAATACCGGTGAAGATAATATGAGGTATACTATTTTCTTATTGGATATCATAGTATCATGGCTATGGCGTGGCTATGTTAACCGCATAGTAATCCTCATCCATTCAACTAGAGAACTAACAAGTTGAGCACCTATCTACCCCCTAAGTTACATGCATGGCCCCTTTATATTTAAACCAATCAAAAGCTTCGATGCTTCAAAGTTATTTGCTTCGTAGCTATTTGTCAATTTAATAGGAGATATTGTGACATATGCCTAATACTTCCCAGGACAGTATTAGCCTTGTGATAGAGTAGGTAGATACACAATTTGGTGATTGGCGCCAGCGCATCACATCGTGTGCTTAGATAGTATACATAAATACTGAGTCCCAAACATGGGGCTATTTAATTATATTTTTCTAGAGCATTGATATTCTACGTATTTCCAAGTTCTAAGAATTATAACTTGCACAGTCGCTAGGAGTTGTTCGAATTGCTCGATATGGATATGATCGGATACGCAGCAATTGCGAGTCGCATGTCAAATTCATCTGACCTTACCTTACTTCGTAGTTTCTCATCTCTTAACTATCAGAATATTCTATACCTCCAGGCCGAATTGACGCATATAGAACAGCTATGGCGAGAGAAGGAGGTGGAAATCCAAAATAGCATAAATGAAGACATGAGAGAGAGGTCTCCTCATGACTGGGCAGAACTTTAGAAAGACGCAGAGGTCTGGGCCTAATTTTTACAGCTGAGAAACAAATTGAAGGAATATAGTGCGTTCTACCCCCCCTAATGTCGTTCCGCTACCTAATAGAATAGCAGACGAGGCCTTGATCCAACAGCACATAGTTGCACATTTTGAGAAGCCGTCCAAGCGGAGTTTGAAAGTATTAAATCACATTTTGGACGATAATTCAAAACGTGTCTTTCTAATTGGAAAGGAATATACAACATGGTCTGACGCAGAAATCTCAAATTAAGGAACTGGGTTTTATCAGGGGAGTCAAATAACTTCAAGTATCTTATACATATTACGGTAGTGCTTCTACTCGGATACCCCTTATATCTGCCTAGTTTTTACACCAAGTCCTCCAGTACGGTACATGCTGTCCCGGCTCCCATAGCAGCGTATTTTCCAACCGAGCCGCAAATGTCGTATTGGGCATTTTAAACTCGATCGAGTTCTGTAGCCCGGGACTTGAAACCGTACCGTTCTCCCAGGTAGCGAAAGCGGACGCGTTTACATTCACACGACCGCCATGCGGGTACTTCCATCTAAACACGTCGTCGAGCCCGCACACGGCATAGTACACAGCCGTAACGTCCCAGACCGGGTGCTTCTGGTTGTACCCGATGTTGGTACGCAGAGCGTATCCGAGCGGATTCTGGGTGGGGTCTAGCTCAGTGGTAATGCGGCGGCCGAGGATGGTGTTTTCGCCAACTCCATCCCAGGCAAATGTCAGTTTGCCCGGCCACCAGTTTAATACTTTTTGAGCGAGAGTTTCGTTATGCGTGTTCGTGTTATAGGAATATCCCACGTCGTTGGCTTGCACGACGAGTTCGCGCACTTTAGAAGCGAGTAGTTCAGCCCCTGTATATGGGGATATTTGGTCGGGGCCAGAGTTAAGGAGATTGAACACGTTGTCGAAGAAGCCGATTACGGCAAGAGTAATTGAATCGTCCGCTGATGTAGAGAGGAGATAGCGGTACGATGAAACTATTCGAGTGAAGCTGTATATTAGACGTAGTCCCCTTACACATCGTAACTCTAGGTGGATGAAATCACTGCCGCACCTGGATCAGGGGTATTGGTTCCATCTCGCACATCTTCAGTGAAGTTATAGGTCAGCCCCGTAACGTAGGCTCCAAACTCTGGGTACTCTGGTAATCGTGTCTGTGATAGAATATATTAACCACAATCTGACTTATTCCATTTCAGCGATTCATGACATACCAAATTGTCAACAGGCTTTTGGATCGCTATTGGGATCTGTGGATACCCGAAGTAAGTGTTAATCGCATCGATAGCTGGAGGAACATATCGACTATTGACGCCTACATATCCGTTGTTACTGTTAATGAACATACGCTACGTAGCACAAGGTCGAGAATTTGGAGGATATATACTTGACATGACTCCAATTAGTTCAACCTGTCCCCAGTTCTGAAGTATACCACTTAAGCCAATTGCCAAGGGGTCGTCATCAAATGACAAGAGGTCCGTGTCGATGATGAGTCTTTTCTTGTTGGACAAGGCAGCGACTATAAAGACATGTAGTACCAAAAAGCTTAAGAGCTTCATTTTGAAGACTTAGATATTCGGACTGCTAGAGAAGACTTGAAGATATATCTAAGTCGGTCAGTAAGAGGTCAATGGAATATCGAGTCGTATCGCCTATAACGCGTGTGCTGACTAAATGAGGGGCGTTTGTTTCTTCTGGGGATCAGATCCTTTGGATTCTAGTTCCGTTATCATGGCGGATCCAACCATACAATCAAGAGCAAATCCTAGACCTCGCTCATGCATGCTTATAAACAGCCTAGCTTCTACGACACCCTAGCTGGTCCGTTATGGCATCCTTGCAGGCATACAGCACGTGCTGAAAAAGAAGTCCACATTCGAGTTGTCCCTATAATTCGACGACGAAGACAACCCGACGTGATGAACCTTGTTCGTAAACCTAGCTACTCTAGCAAAGGGAAAGGTTACCCCTAAACTGGCTGCACTAAGACAAGCTTCCAACCCTTGGATATTATCATGGCTACCCAAAATATGCCTTTGATGTTCTGATGGAGGCGGTCTGCTGACTTAATGGCTGTGTGCTCTTTGTCGCCCTGAGAAAAGGGGAAGTAGGAAACTCGGGACTCAGATGATCGTTCGAATTACTTTAGGTACCTAATGGATAAAAACTTCTCGACCTTGAAAACCTCGCATAAATATATTACATTTGAATTCCATAGTTACAAGTCGCCGTCACATCACGATCAATACTGCTGTTGCGGAATAAAATCGTTTCGTTGTCCATGCGCTATGCAAACGTAAGCTACCTTTTATGGATCGCGAGGCGATGTAGCACATCACCAACCAAGTCCTATGACTAGACCCGACCTGCTAATACATAGCGGACGCCTAGCTACGAAGACGCATAGAAGCAGCCTTTCAATGGCCCCTATTTTCGAATCGGGCCATCTCGATCCGGCGTACTTAATAATTTTCCGTATCCTGCCACAAATGAACCACATCCTAGAGGCCGAGTGCGCATAATCATCGATGCTAGATAGAAAATGGATGAAAGCCCCGTAGTCTGGTGGCCTTAACGTAGTCACTTGCCGCTCCCCTAACGCCGGTCCCAAATTGATGCCTTGTTACAAAAAGACTGGTATCTGAAGATACGAAAGCTGGACGAGCTTATTATAGAATGAGGACAAAGGGAAAGAACTCGTGAATGTGTAAAGGATGGATGTCAATATGTACCTAGGTAGGTGGTCAGTTATGTTGATACCGGGCAGAAAACATTAATTTGACTGTGCAATAGCTAAGTTGATCATCGCTCGAGTCTTGGTTGCGGTTGCCACCCGTTTATATAAGCCATTAAGCCCATACCGATAAGGACAACTCCCATCATGGATGCATAAGGTATGCTGTTTGCCAATGCCTGATCGCGTGGTAAAAGCCCGGACGTCGTAGAATGTGGCGTAATGGTATTGGCCCTTGAGAGCGTGGGTTGGTCAATGGTTTCGCTAGAATCTGACTGGCCCTGGCTTGAGCCTGGAGGTAACGTTCCAGCCACAGTGGACAAGTCCTCAGATGTCACACTTGCATCGTTAGATTTCTCGATAGCACGGGAATCCGATAGAGCTTTCTCTCGTGCAGCAGCTTCTTTAGCTTCAGCATCTCTTCGAATCTGCAAAGCCATTTCTGCTAGACTCTTGCGGTCTGCATCTCTTTCAGCTTCAGCTGTCTCCGCCCGCTGCTTGAAAGCATCGAGCTGCTGTCGTAGATCCCTGATTTCTAACACCATTGACTCAATCTGAGTATGTAACTGCGTGGCGGAAGCTTCGATGGCTTCAGCTTGCAGAGCTGTTTTGTTAGTGTCGCTGAGAATATTATCGGTAGCAGACGATACTTCATCTATAGGTGGTTCGAAGGCTTCTTCCAATGCGGTCTCCTGAGCTTCTGACTTCACAGGAACACCATTTGTCTGTATATTAGAGTTCTCTTCTAATCTTCTGGCCAACTCCTCGGCAAGCTCTCGAGCTCGTCGCTCTTTCTGCAAGGTCTCCTCAAGGTCTCGCATACGTGAACTCTGATTTTCTATTTCCCGCTTCGCGTTACTCAAGGCTTCTGTCAAGTGTAGGATCTGGCTCATCCCGTCCTGTCGGATCGGTGACATGTTCTGGCTGGGCTGTTTAGGCCGCTCGGTGATACCTCGCTTTAGAGATGGAACATCTGGTTTCTCGGGCAAAGGTTGTTGTGGTGGTGGCGCTGGAGGATCGGAGAATCGTGTTTTATTATCGGATCTGAATGATATCCCATTCCCATTGATTATTTGTGACCGTGGCTGCTCAGCTACTTCGGGTTTCTCGATATCCTTAATATCATCTTTCGTCAGAAGTCCTTGGACAAACTGATTTGTTCGACCTAGATCTTGCGATTGAAGACGCTGATTCCGCATCTCATGCTAGGAATAGTTAGATGCTGATCTAGTATGAGAAATGGGTCTTGCTTACCTGAAGCCGCTTTACAATCTGCTCGGTGCTAATAGGCGAAAAGAACAGACCTCGTTGATGAGCCATGACGTTTCCTTGGGACCCCATCATACTACCGCCCGCAACAATCCGTCCGTTACTCGCCATAGAAGCTTGGCTTCCCGTTCTAGGCCGAGCAGGCAAACCACCTTGCGGACCCATCATCATCATCGAGCCATTCGCAGGATCGAGATCGCCGAAATTCATATCGAGAAGATTACTCGAAGGGCTCAAGAAACCTGCATGTTCAACCTTCGCCGCCACTTTATGATGCACAATGGTCTTCTGATCCTCACTAACGATATCAATACCTAGTTCTAAATGATCGTTGGTTTGCAATTCATGTGGCTCGGACTCGCGATTCTCTTGTGACAATCGTGTACCATTGACAAAAGTACCGTTCGAAGACTTAACATCGCGAATCCAGATCTTTCCCTGGCGGTCCGCCCAGATCTCTGCGTGTTGGCGAGAAAGGACTTTCGAGTCGAAGAAACCATTAACTGGTGTGGGAACTGTCTTTGCGTTCGTCTGACGACCAATCCTAAGGGTCTCAGGAGAAAACGGGACAGATATCGTTTTGCGCTCGAATGTTCCGTTGAGAGACAAGAGATATAATACAGGCTGGTTCCCGCCGGTTAAGGAATCAGCCATAGGACGGGACATTCCTTGCTGCGCTCCAATCATGCCTTGGGAAGGTAATACTGGTGAAGGTGAATGCATCGGCGCAGATCCATTTATGCCACCAACCAACTGCGGGCGTCCTGCAGACATTCTTACAAAATCAGACTGGGCATCTGGTTTCGGAGTCGGCCACGGGGCTTTCGGCTGGGGTCGCTTTCGTGTTCCGGTACCATTATTCCACGCGCCCATGTCACCCGAAGTTGGTACAGAGTTGCCATTCGTTTGGGAGCCGGTGGTAGCGATAGTTGAGGTAGATGATACGGATGAAGTCGAAGAAATGGAAGAGGAAGAGTTGTTTCGCTGCAAGTTCTTTCGAGGCAGAAGCATCCGGTTCAGCTCATCAGGATTCATGGAATTGATCTGACCGGCGTGTCCGCCGTTAATACTCCATGCCGGCCGATTGTGTTGAGCGAAAGTTGGCGGGCTTGCGACAGCCGTCATGAGGAAGAGCAGCGAGATGGGATGCGAGATGGAAAGGGAGCGGGTGGATGAGAAGGCAGACCAAGAAGCCGAGTCGGGGGGTTAAGCGGGCCCCTTCTGTTGATCATGCACGCGACCGGAACTAGCAAAGTACGCCGAAATATGTGTATATGTGTATCGTATTGATAGAAAGAAGCGATCGAGAAGTAGAGAGGGTATTTGCAGGCGAGGTGTTTGCTGATGTTATTTCTCTAAACAGTGATAAAAAAAATGGTTAGTTAAAGGGGCGTTCCATAAGCCAAGACGAGGGTAACAAGCAACTGATTGAGGTTGATTACGGGAACACCGGGGTGACAGGGAAGACAGGGAAGACATCAAATATGATTTGTGCGCGGTTAGAGAAAAAAGAAGTTTGGGACATTTTGGACACATACCATGCGATTTTGATAAGGGGTATCTACCTAGGTAGGCGACGATATGTGATTGGAAATATGTCGAATTATTAAGGTACACAACTCTTTGAGCGATGTAAGAGGAGCAACACTTTTGAGGATGTGTGTCGTTCAAAGATTTGGAGTTGCTCAGGTTCCTTGTCGAGGTCGGGTCTCTCTTTTTTTGCTGGCTAATCCCGTTACCTCGATGTTCTGTATTCTGTATTCTGTATTCTGTATTCTGTATTTCGGAGGTACCTACCACCTACCCTACTTGCCTTAGGTACCACCTACCTAACTTTTTAGTACAGAGTTACTTTAATAAGCGCTTTACATGCCTTAGCAGCATTTTTAATGTGGCAACAACATGGGTTTGATACAACAAATAGCAAGCCTGAGGAGAGCCGCAAGTTCCATTTTACTTTTCTCTTTCCTATTTGTCCTTGCCATTGGAAAGTTTGATATCTCAACAGTTACCTCTAGGTAGTTTAGGTTAGGTAGGTACCTAGGTAGGTATATACTTGAGTAGCACAGCTTTGTCTTAAAAGAATATACGTATAGTATGCATAAATATATCAAAATCACATATTGCTAATATTGGCAATTTACTATATATGAATATTAACTACCAACTAAGGATTCCTTTGTACACATTTGCTATTCTACCTAGGTACCTAGCTAGGGATGGAACGAAGCAGGTGCTATGCTCCTATCACGTGATATATCTTCAAGAAGGGTAAAGCGCCAAACCATTTTCTATGTAATCGATGATCCATGTGTCATTACCCAAGGTACGTATTTGTTTCTTTATCGATAAACTCGACCTGTGGACCTAATCACTCAGCCGCGCCAAGAATCTGAAGATCCTGGCTTTGCAACGGCTGATTCGCGAAATCATTTCCAAGAGCCTCGGAAGAAAGAAGCATCCCACCAGCCAGCAAAACCAACTTAAACTTCCCTTTCTAAACTATTATACCGCCATAAAGATTCAGTCAGATACCTAAGATTTGAATTAGCTCAAGATGCCGCCTGTTCCAACAACCCGCGGCCCTCAAGGCCCCTCCACCGTTGACAAGCGTTCGTAGTCCCTAAGACTTTAGATGCTCAAGACTACCTAAAGCACCACTAACATTGTTTTATTTAATAGTTAAGATGGGAGCTATGATGGGCGGTAGTATGTAACTACCTATACCAAGTTCTTCAACCAATTTCTGTTTACTAAAACTAAAAATCATTATAGCTGTTGGCGTTATTATCGGTTTCATTTTCGGTACGCTCTATCTCCCCTACCCCGCCGAGCCTATGACTCGGTGGAATCTATGCCCCTGACATGTGGCGCATAGGAACTGTGAACATATTTAGATACGGCGCCGGACAGCACGGTATCATGCGAACTTTAGGTCAATATATGTTAGGATCTGGCGCTACATTTGGGTATGTAGAGTTTGAGATATTCGTTAAAGCCGTGCCCAACTCGGAACTAACAATTTTGCGCAGCTTCTTCATGTCGATTGGAAGTGTTATCAGAACTGACGCGTCGCCCATCGCCGTCGAAGCATTTGCGCGAGCACAACGACGACCTTTTATCATGTCCCCCCAATCAAGCACGTATCGACCACGAAGTCAATAGAACTTTGCCCACCTCATAGTACCGCCGCGGAGCTTGGGCTGAGGATAAGACCTTACGAAAAGTTAGCGTCCGATTCTTTGCAGCTTCGATTTTTATAGTTCTGCAGAAAAGTCGTATCAACAGCTAAGACATACCAAATTCATCGACTAAAGAATTTCTATCATCAAGGATGCTAGACTGGACGGAAACTATGGGTCGATCTGATATTGAGCTTCTACTAGCCACACCAGCTGGGAAGTTGTAATATATCGAATCTTGTATATATACTAATTATGACAGCTCTGAGACTCAGAGAAATGTCAAGCAAAGCCCTACGCCACACCTCTGATAATTAAAAGCAACAACACTACCGTCGATTCTGATTTCCAAAGTATGAACACGGCATTAGCCGAAAACATAGCCCTCCAGCCATGGCTTTACCTAGGATATCAAAAACTTGTGCGAATTCGGATAGTTACAGCTAGATTAACCTGTCGAGTGAGCAATACAGCAAACGGGCGAGTCCACGGGTTTCCGCATTTATCAAAATCATGTACTAGCTGCGTCTCGTATTATTCACGCTTTCATCGTGCTTTATCTACCTAGAGGTACCTAGGTATTTCTTGGCTTTTGTATGTTCCATGGATTATGGCATACCCCAATCGAATTTCCGGATCAGCCACACCGAAGCCATGCATGCGTGATGCGTGGGAAAATCATACCTAGCAGAATTAGATCCCCTAAGATGAGCCAAGCTAAGGAAATCTCAGGTTTTCGAAGCACAAGAGACTTGCGACTCAGGCGCCCTTGTTTCTACCTAGGCTTTTGTATGAGCAGATCGGTCCTTTTCCTAATTCTACCTGTCTACTATAACATATTCTTCATTCATGGTGTCAACTCCCCAACAAACCTCAAAATTCCCGCTACTTTGTAAATGTTTCAGTTGAAACCGGTGGGGAGGTCTGGAGGAACGCTGCTCGAACTAAGGTATTTTATTTTCGTGACGGCAGTCCACGTTTCTATCACGAAAATGAATACGAAGCTCAGGACCTGAGGAAAACAGTGGGCCTAACGCGACTGTCTCAGACATTGTTCGTCTCCTGCATACAGTTTAATGGGGCGAGGCTTGAGATATCTCGAAGCAGCTATTGGTAGATGTCAATAATTTATGAGAAGTCTTCATCAAAGCCTATCAGTGTTACAGTTGGTTTTCGTCCAACTCCCCTAATCTACCATGGCCCCTTCAACGATGGCCAACGACCAGGTAGCATCCGATTGGCTCAGAGTGCGCCGCATCAGCCCTTCAAGTATAGGTATGTATATCGTCGCTCAGCATTGACGGCCTTTTTTCTTCAGTAGGGTCTGACAGTCAACAAGCCATATTCAGATCTTGTTTGACAGGTCCGGGATGTAACCCACCAGACAACATATAGATGCTAGCCGCAATGCCGATGACGCTTACAATGCCCTTTCCAGGGTGATAAGTATTATGCAAACATTAGAAAGGGATCATGCCCATGTCTCAACGTTTTCGTACGATTACTTCCTATCCCTGCGAAGATAGGCGAAACTGTCTGGTTATCTAATATCATATACCTAATAGGTTAGCCCACTTGACCTGGAATGAGATGACTTCCTTCTTTTATAGATTGTGGTGTCTCCCACGTAGTTGCTCTGGTCAACCTTGACCTTATTTCCTTATTCCCCTGGCTTTCTTGAGGCCGTCCGATCGTTATTTGATTTTTGTAATGGGGTTCCTCAACTTTTGCTGTTGCTTAGCCGGCGAGCTTTCGTTAACCGCACAAAATGGGTAAGAGAAACCTATCTGAGTGCTTTTACTAGGTAAACAATCCGCAGTAACTAATCTATCTCGTCTAGCAATTCTCTTTGGGGCACGCTCCTAGCCCAAGCCCTACCATCATTTATCCTTGGGAGTGGAGGATTCAACGTTATCCCATGGGGCGACAGGGGGGCTGGGTCGAGCAATCCTTATACCGACGCACCGCACACTGGTATAACGCGTAGATACGAGTTCAACATTAGTCGAGGCATAATCGCGCCAGATGGGTATCAGAAGGAAGTGTTGCTTGTTAATGACCAATTTCCCGGACCGCTTGTTGAAGCCAACTGGGGTGACTATATCGAGGTGAAGGTCACCAATTCCATTGACGATGGTCCACCAGAAGGGACAGCGATTCACTGGCACGGTTTTTTGCAAACAGGAACGCCGTGGATGGACGGTGTCCCCGGTGTTTCTCAATGCCCGATTGCCCCTGGAAAAAGCTTCACTTACAAGTTCCGAGCCGAGCTATACGGTTCGTCTTGGTATCATTCCCACTACTCCGCTCAGTACGCAGGTGGTCTCTACGGTCCTGTTGTCATCTACGGTCCAAGACATGTGGGCTATGATGTCGATCTTGGTCCGGTCATGATAAACGGTATGTACAGAGAAGCCAGGGATTGGATGAACTGCTTATTGACATTGACATAGACTGGTCACATAGAAACTATTATGCGGTCGTCCAAGAGATTATGGGTCCTGGTTCGAATGGACTGACCTACTCAGACAACAACCTAATCAACGGAAAGATGAACTTTGACTGTTCTACGATAGACGCCGATGATGAGACACCTTGCACAGATAATGCCGGGCTATCCAAATTTGTCTTCCGACCGGGCAAGACTCACCGTCTTCGATTCATCAACTCTGGAGCGGAGGGTACCCAGCGCATTTCTATCGATGGACATAACATGACGGTCATAGCCAACGACTTCGTCCCAATCAAACCCTATGACACCCAGGTTATCACTCTCGGCGTCGGTCAGCGAACCGATGTGATTGTGCATGCTCATGCCGATCCAGGATCTGCATTTTGGTTGAGAGCAAACATGACGTCTTGCTCTAGCACGAAACAGCCGCTGGCGCTCGCTGCCATCTATTACCAAGGCGCCGATAATACTTCTGTTCCAACCAGTACGCCATGGGACGTCCCAGATCCGGGCACCTGCGAGAATGACGACCTAGCACTTACCGTACCTTATTACCCCGTAGCTCTACCCGAGCCGTCGTGGACCCAACATATGGACGTTAGCGCATACATTAATTCGAGTGGTAGCTTTCTCTGGGAATTTGGTGTAAGTATATTTCTATATGTTATCATTCTAGGAATAGTAGTCTTACATGATCTTCAACAGGGCGTCGCTGCGAGAGTGGATTATAACAACCCGACTCTTCTCCAGGCTCGTAAGAAAGGTGGCTTCCAATATACAGCTGAGTCTAACCTAATAAACTACGGGACAAATTCATCAATCCGCATTATAATCAATAATCCCGCACGGTCGTAAGTTACCTATAATATTCACCTATATATATCCAAACCGTTCTAACAAGAACCCCCTTAGGTCCCATCCGATACACGCGCATGGTTTGCATATGTATGTCCTTGCAGCTGGACCAGGCAACTACACCGAAAACTCGCTATCGCGCCTCAATACGAAGAACCCCATGCGCCGCGATGTTCAGATGGTCGCCGCCAATGGCCACCTCGTCGTGCAGCTGGACGCGTCCAAGAGTCCCGGAATCTGGCCTTTCCACTGTCACGTCGCCTGGCACTCATCTGCTGGCTTCTTTTCACAGATGCTGTTTAAACCAGACGAGCTAGCCACTCATAAATATGATATCCCACATGATGTTAGCCAGACGTGTCGTGATTGGGCCAAGTTCACTAGTGGCGTCGTTCCGGATCAAATCGATAGTGGGTTGAAGGCAAGAGCGGAGATAGTGAAGCAAGAAAGGAGTGCTACCTTATTGCGGTGAGCATTGTAGCGATCATGTTCTAATCTTAATCAACCTGTTGCATTCTTCAGGCCAAACTCCGAAGAAATATCCCTGCGCTTTCTTCGTTTACATATTGCATAATGGCGGCGTCGGGATCAGATAAGAGGCTCCGGTGCCCCTTCAGTGTGTTGGATTTTGGGTAATGGTTAATGCCAACATAACGAATGGTCTTTGGTGTAAATAGTTCTTCGCAGCTACATGAGCGGAGTACCTGAAAGATTATACATGTATCTAAACTTCAGCGTTAATTCTCAACATTTTTACCAGCGAGTCCGTGTCCTGTCGCAGCGCCACATGTATCCGCCGACGTTATGTGGACATGTAAACTGGGTGCCCGGTGAGAATTGTACAAATAGTTATCCTTAGGTATACGTGCCCGTAGTGTGTAGGACGACTGATGTGCCGAGGCAGAGCCAGTTTATCGCCTTACAGAAGAAAATCCTTCCTGAAACACGTATAGTACAAAACTCAGGATCGGCAAGGACTAACATAAGCCAATAAGTCCTCTTCGTATATCTTCTTGGTCGTATTTCGTGTTTAGTGCGGAAATCCAGTTCCTATAGCCCGTTGACTCTAGTGTCAAGGGGTATGATGGCTTCGATAAGGAGTTGAATACTTCTGCTTGTTGTAAAGAAGGTTAGGGTGAACTGGATTGAGGGCTACTACGCGAAGGACAGTATTAACTTCGGCTTACTATTGCGGAACTGTCACCCACTTATGATTCGTAGTATATGATAAACTAATATTGTCATGCGTGGGATTTCGAAAGCGGCTTAGGCTTTAAAGGAGATCTCAAATAAGGAAGAATATTTCTTAGACTCCCTCTTTCCGCGGATACAAATCTGAGCTACCCGTCCATGTTGGCCATATCAATTGATCTTAGAAGCTATGTGAATTACGAATTAATTGATGCTATGTAGGTTAGGTAGGTACCTAACGTAGTTAATACAAGGTATACATTCACTTATATTACAGCATATAGTACTTGAAAGCCAAATATTATTATCTTATTCATATATTATTCTCACTTACTCTATGAGGGGCAGCTGTACCCTTTTTTTTTCTTTCTTCTTTTTACTCTTTTTTTCTAGATATTTCCTAGTAGATAACCTTTACTGTATCTGGCCCACTACATAACGAGCATATGGATTACTTATTTGCTGCCGCGTCCCACTTGGTGAAGCCTTCCTCAAGTCTTAGAAGTGCAGATGTGACATTGTCTCTCAGCGTCCCCAGCGTCTCGGCTCCGTCAAAGACAACTTCTAGCTGTTCAAAGGTCTCGACAGCGGTAGCCCGGTCTCTCATAAAGCCAATCATCCTATTCAGTGTGGCTAGTATCTCCGCATCTGCTGGCTCTATCGGGACGAAGACTTCATTTTCCTTGAGCGCTGCTATGGCTACAACTCGCAGTGCTTGTCTGCCAACGTCGCTCCCCCAGCGGGCCCGGATAGTGACGGACAGATTTGAGAGCTGCTTATGGTCTAGCATATAATAGGTTGCCGTGCCCCATTCCTGGAAAATCTCGTCAAATTGCTGCTTGAATCCCGTAGAAGTGGATTTGCGTTGGGAGATGAACCGATCAAAGATGTACGTAACTAGGTGCTGCTTGATGTGCGGATCGCAGAGCTTTTTCGTCTCACATGATTTCTGTAGATTTTTCAACAGCGTGAGAACGCCCCCTGGAGTTCGGGTCTGACAATCTGGACACGGCTTTCGCTTGTCTTGAGCTATGTACGCTAGATTGGCGCCAACGCGCGATTTTAGACCATGGCCACAAGAGAAGTTCGACATATTGGAGACTTACTGTACTGTAGAAACTATAAGCTTTTGGTTCTAATTAATCGTTGAACTATTACTTAGACAGAACTTATTAAGGAAAATTGCCTCTTAGTTTGAGAAGGAACTTGATTCTTGTTTATTCTAGATTATGGTTGTAGCTTTACGTCCATAGTGTGTGCAAGCTGAGAACTCTTTGTGCGGAATCAAATCTTAGTTTCGAAGAAGAATCGCAATTCTTTGTATTTGAACAAAGTGATGCTATTAGTACAATAAAACACGGCTTATCACAATGGCACTGTTTTAGAGAAGCATCAAAAACCCAGTTTACTACTTGGACATTTAATCTTTTGATGGTACCTAAGTAGGTACCTGGTAGTAAACCTCTTGGGAAAGCTATCCACTGTTCATATATCTAAGGCTCCGCAAACCTTTCTTTAGGTACTCTTATCTACTCTATCACCATTAGAATCACGTACAAATAACAGTTATTTCTTTGTTTAATATAGATAGCCTTTGCTAATCGGGTGCACTCGATAGCAAACGAACTGTAGAAATTATTGGCCTCCCAATCTAGGTACATAATCTCCTCAATGGTCTGACGAAGTCGCCTCCTAACTGGAGGGCCGAACTACTATTATTAGGCCATTACTTGTCTGGCCTCGTAGATTAACATAGGTTACCTAGGTACCAATATGGGATGCGCCTCATGACGTCGAATGTCTCGGGGCTATACCGGCAGGCTGCCACACTGTGTTCATGTTCAAAGACAACCGTAACCACTCCATCTTAGACATATTTATAAAGAAGGCCACTAATGAAATATTAGAATAGGTCTATTTTTAGCATAGATAGTTCAACATTGAATGTGTATAACAAAGTCTTATAATAATCGGTTCTTCAATGCTGGACTATACTCTATTAAGGTTTCCAATATTCATATGTTATGAAGATAGTATACTGGTCCAGTATCAACCTTATAAACTGATGACGGGGGTCTCTTTCATAGTCAAAGCTTCCGAAAACAAAATATAACTGGTGGGTTATATGAAACATGTGTTACTATATAGGTAGGTAGTCGTATGGTGATGATATTCAACCCTTTCCAAGCCTCTGACGGGCGGTTTACTATATTTAGGGCAAAAATGGCTTATTAGAGTGGGAGCAGCTTACTTGCTTCTCTTTCCCATCACTTCTGCCGTTTTACTTTCGTACGTAAATGCAAGTACAGCGATGCTAGTTCAACTTCCTTCAGCCAGCGCTATTGTTGTATCCTGAAACATCAATGGTATTTCAAGATACACTATTTAAGACGGGAAGAGCGGCACTTGCTTTCCAAAACTTTGCGACAATCATGGCCCTTGCTGTCTACAATGAATATCTTAGCGCATTTGTGCAGTTGGAAGAAGTAGAGACCTCCTTTGCTATGAGGGCCCAAGCGCCGGGTCCTTGCTATGGCGATTCAAATTGTCCCGGCTTCATATTTATCGCTACCATGATCAGTCTCTATTTAGCCTTTGTTGCGGACATTACGATCTTGTATATCCAAAAGGTTCGCTACTCACGGGTTGGGAATATTTGGAATACGATTAGTCAACTGGTATCCGAAGAGCTTAGGGAGTTTCTTGAAGAAGGTGATAATGCGAACGATAAGACAGCTACAAGAAAGACAGCGCAAGATGTTGATATATTCGTGAAAATCGAGAGGCTAGACAATGATGGCGCAATCAAGGTTGTGAAGCATTCCTATCGGCAGGAATGTCCTAACCAAGAATAAGGAATGATGAACAGCTATAAAGTCATTACGGGTTTAATGACTGTGGTAACGGGAAATTAGGATTTCTCGGATTAGATAAAAACAAATTATTTCATGTGCACATGAGACAGGGTAAACTTCGACCAAACACATTCTCTCCATATTCCTCCTTAAACTAGAGGTTCCCCTATTTCAGGCTGAACACAATACCTAAAATCACAGGACTGATCTCTGGCTTCATATTATTTGAGCGTCTTGTGCTCCTATCCTTTGAACCATTAGGCTTATCGCTTGAGGTAGAAGACATTTTATCGCGGTCAAGTGCTAATTTGTATTCCTTCGAGGTTGGACATATTGTGTTAGTCTGATGCCAATTGTATCTAAGTTTTAATATTTTATCTAACTTACTTCGCTATCAATTCCAGACAGAACTTGGCGTAGATGTGCGTGCTTCTCCATCGCGCTGGATGATTGCTCTTGGTTGGTCGTAGGGGACATCTTTATAGATGATCTCAATGTCGGAGACAGATTTTCAGTTTTCAGTAAAGGTAGGTAGTCTAGGTTTCGATACAATATTTTTGATTAATTCTTGTAGTCCAGAATCGATGTATAAGGTACCTATATAACTACGCTATCACTAGAAAACTTTCAATAGTAACCACATTATATATTTTATTCTGCTGACCAGTATAGCTCTGTATTAGATAACACATCCAGCGTCGGCGTAAGAAACGTGTCTCGGAGTTCGTCAGGCATCCATCAACAGGGCATCTTCAAGGAACTACGTAAGATAACAGCTTGCTTTGAGTACCTAGGTAGTTTATTAATGATAGTCACCAAACCCCCAATAGCCCTTATGTAATTATGTAATTGATAATAACGCCGTAATATTCCAGTGTGATATTAATGCTTCGTTGAGTGGGTCGCATCGCCGGTGATTTCCCCGGGATTTCCATTTTAGGAGTATGAGTCTACGTTGATTCGCTAGCAGTAAGTGGTAAGGACCCTTCAAACAACTTATAAGCATTAAAAGTAGATACAGTACCTCTCCTAGAACTGGAGATTTGGCAGTCCGTAGTTGGGTTAACTAGTCCGATTATGCCGGCTAGTCCGACAGGTAGACAACATCCAATAATATGTACTCCGGCAATCCTTGTTATGCCGATGTGAACGGACTACTTCCAATTCCGTTTTACTTGTCTTACGAGCTAATGCGTTTCTGCAAATTGACTACGTCAACATGTCAACAACAAGCCGTCGTCGTAATGGCTCTCAAGCTTCGTGTGAGCGTTGTCGTAAGGCAAAGATCCGATGTGATCATCAAAAGCCTGTCTGTGCTCCCTGTCGGCGTCGAGGACTCGAATCACAATGTTGGTATCATCCCGCACCGCTGACCAAACGCCGAGGCCAACAAAAATCAACTCCGCCGATGTCCACTCAGTTAAACAATATTGAACGGAATGAGATTATAAGCAACATAAGCGCTTCTCATGGTATTATCGAGAATGAATCACCCGAGGAATCCCCAAAATTTCATACGTGGCCTTTCATCTTGAATGACACCAGCAACACGACATCGCGGTCTCTTCTATATGAATCGCTTGACAAGAAAACTTACGAGGAATACTTAACTTTTACGAAAGAAATCATCGTACAGCTAAAATTCCTCCCATTAATCGAGAAGCTATTCCACGAATACCTCCCATTTAGACTGGTTTCTCTCGTGCCGAGGCCAATCATTCTACAACTTGTAGCATCGATTCGGTCCAGCCCTATAACTAAAGGCTACATCGGAGAAGATGCGACGCAATGCGATGATGATCTCTCACGTCTTGCTAAGGCTATACTATGCATTCCTTCGTCCGAAATTTCTATGAAACCGGATTTGGATCTTGAACAATTCTGTGAACTGTTCAGCGGAGAGAACCTATGCTTAGAAACACTTGGCCTCTTATACACGACTGCTGCTCGCTGTTATCTCTGCGGCATCGGTCGCGACGAAAAGAAGCACGCTGAGTTCATTCACGAGATGATCCGGTGTAGTAACTTGAGCCTACGAATTGCTCGTGAGCTTTCTACGCAAACAAATGATATCATTAATTGGTTAGCCTATGAGAATTTACAACTTATGATGCTCGTTGAAGGGGATGCAAGTATGATTCCTTCTCTAGCTATAACGACTTAGCATGCTTACAGGCTCGCAGGCTTGAGCGTTTGGCGTAGATTTGGCGACCTTGTTACAGACCTCTTCGCCTTAGGTCTACATCGCGAGGCACTCTACTCAGCTGAAACGGTACCATTCTTCCTTTCTGAGTGTCGGCGAAAGATCTTCGTCACTGCATATTATATCGACAAGGTCTTCGCGCTGGTCTTCAATCGGCCGCTCCGGATACCCGCTCGGCATGCAGACTGCAAGTTACCGCTGGATCTGTCTGAGGATGAACTCTTTGCGACTTCGCCAGAGGTATTAGAACAAGCAAGGGGTAAATTATCACTGGATGGCTGGAGTACTGATGGGAACTATAAGGCTACAACATGGGTTCGCATACGCTATATCCTGGCTGGCTTTAGGGAAGAAATCGTTGAGTACCAGTTTCGATCGGTACAGTCTGTTGACGAAAGTTATCTAAGGTACAACCGCCCCTGTTAGAACGGGCATTTTAACACTAATATGCTATAGGGGGATATTGAATCGATATAACGATGCCTGGAGCTCTCTTCCTAAGCATCTTATATACAGCAAAGACTGCTGGAAGTCGAATCTGCCGCCCGCTGTTTGTCTTATGCTGGGGAAGGTGTACCTAGCATACCTTTACACCATCTTCCAACTTCATCGTCTCCTTCAACAAGGCAGTACATCACACGAGCCGGAGCTGATAGAAGTCTCGAAGAATATGCTCGAAACAGTAGTGCAAATGGCAAGCGCTCAGGGCAGGGTCTTCCGCTACCCTCACAGCATCCCTACAGTCGTACGCATCTAACTCTATCCCTTCACCGAGAGGACTTTACTGACCAGCGCAAGATCCTTTTTTATGGTGTACCTAGTGCTGCCATCTTAACGTCTGTACTGCTAGACGTTACCCGAAATCCATCAAGGACTCTTCCGCCCGACATAAGCGGCTCTGTCTTAATACGAAATCTTTCCGTGCTAGTATCTCATCTCGAAAGCGCGACCAGCCCTGGAGAAACAAACTACAGATTCTGTATGCAAGCTGCTAATCTTATTTCGCATAATTTGGATCAGATCTTGAGCGGTTTCATTACTTCAACTGTCACGACACCGGCAGACCCCACACAAGAACTTGATGATATTTCTGCTGTATGGGCTCCTGGGACGAACGATCTTGATGCTTTCAGCTTCGGTGATTTTGATAGTCTTGATTTTGAGACTTGGGCGATGGACACTAACTTGAATACAATCAGTTCCGAATGGAACATTCAATAGGCATCGAGTGAATGTAAGATTTGTCTGAGGCACGGATACAGAGCCCAAGTTTCATACCTATTTTTAAAGATATGAAGTATATTCACACTTTGATAATGAACTATCCCAGGACCCCTCCAGCGTAGGAAGTATCTATATCTACTGATTGGTATTAGGGGCGTACGAGAACCATTGCTCAAGAGATATGTATCGATCTGGATGTAAGCATCCCTGAGGCCGCCCAATGCCCGAATTTTATTATCCTTGAATTACTTGGAGTACTCTCACAGCTACTTCTAATTCACCTTACTCACAAGATCTTGTAGGATGACTCGGAAGAGACCGGCGATGACGACGATAACGAAGGAAATAGTATTGTTTCCGAAAACAATTAGAACTTAATTCCCTATCCCCTACCTTTACCGGCTTTTCATGTCACGCTCAAGTAGAGAAGATGGTTTCCACCGGAGCAAAAAAAAATTATCATAGCTTTACTCATCTAGCCATAATAAATAACAAAGGACCTCTTTCTTCAGTGCTGCTTCTCATCGGCAGTATACCATCCATCCCTCGATGATTACAAAAACAGATATAAGTCCAAGTCCCATGTATGTGCGTAGAAGTTGAACTAATAAGTATATGTACAGGGGAAAGGAAGTGCGTATCAGATAGTACAAAATCAACTTCATCGAGGACAAGTTCGAGGTGCTGCGCCCGCGCACAGCGTTGGTGAGTTTGCATTGGCACTCCAAAAAAAAAAATAAAAATAAAAAAAATAGGGATATTCTCGTAATCCCAAACTCCTGCGCTTGTCCAGGGCCTGTAGAAAGAAATTCGTATCGAGTCGGGTGGCACGGATTCGTACTGATCTTACATGACAGCACACTTCGAATCACCCTCGCCGCTTGGTTTGACGCTTAGAGCCACTCGAGCAGCCTCGGTGAATGCCTCGTTGACGCCTCGATTCCTCATGGCTGAGCACTCGAGGTAGCGCATAGCCTTAATGCGCCGCGCAACATCTAGGCCTTGGTTGTAGTCGATCATGGGCTTCTTTTCTCTTTGGGGACCGTCTGTTCCGCTCGCAGCAGCGTCGTCTTCTTCCTCGTTGTTCTCTCGCAGATCGCACTTGAGGGCCACTAAGACCAGCTTCACACCAGGACAGTTCTCCTGAATCTCGCCAACCCATTTGCTCTCCACGTTTTCTAGCGAGTCTTTACTATCGACGCTGAAACAGAGCACAACTACGTCTGTGTTATCGTAGGAGAGACTTCGTAAGCGGTCGAATTCTTCTTGTCCGGCTGTATCCCATAATGATAATTCGATGTGCACGTTATCCACAAAAATATCTAACATCTGGTTAGTAAAAGCCTACGCAAAAATGCTCTGGTTACATTATCATGCCCTCCTCGATCCTTGCATGTTTTTGCTGGAAATGCTAGAAATATTAAGACGTACCGTGAACGTAGTTTTCGAAGACCGTAGGCTCATAAACTGTCGGGAAATATCCTCGCGTGAAGACGTTCAGTAAAGATGTCTTTCCGCAAGCACCGTCTCCCCTATTAGGAAATATTAGTGTTTGTAGACTCACAATAAAGTTTCGGCGCATAACACAGACACGGCGATAGAGAACTACCAATAACCAAGAATGGTTAAACTTACAAAAGAACCAGCTTACGCTGTACTGTCTTTGATCCTCCTAATCCGCAGAGCGACGGCATCTTGACTTTGTCGCAGAACTAATAACACGGTATAAGGCGTAGGAAAAGCGTGGTACGATCCAAGAAAACAAAACAAGAAAGGGGCAACTCGAGTTGATGATGTGATGCGCCTAAACCGTTGCAGTGCAGGTAGGGTGTGCTTCGTCGGTTGATTGGACGGTCGGCGGGATCGGAATTGAATATGTTGATTGAAGAAGGACACGAATTAGGAAGAATCGAAAAGCGAAAGGACGTCGCGCGTTGTGAAGTGAAAGAATATGTTATTAGGTGCACGTCTTGTCGGAGATGGAATGCGGAAGAGGTAAAGTTGAGGAGGTAATTGTAATTGTAAATTGTAAATTGTAGCTAATCTTGAAAGACTTAGGTAGTAGACTTAGGTACCTCTTAGGCCTACCTAAACTTAAACCGTACCTCCCAAGTTGCCTTAAAACCTTGGCAGAAATGAAGTCAGAAGAGTAATCACAAGCCTCAATCTCTTCAATCTTGCCGCTAAAGGGGAAGTTGGTGGGTTAGTATCTGCTGTGGCGTTAGCGGGACAGCGGGTTCACGGACCACTTAGGGGATCTTGCAACGTCTGATCGGCGCTAAATTTAGGTAAGTACCTTTACTTAATTGTACCAATTACCTACCTGCATGTAATCAATTTCGTAGTCAATTTCGCATCTCAAAGGTACGACATGATTAGGTTACAGGTTTCTTGTAGTTAATAATAATAATACTTCATTCTTAGTATTAATTTGGAAGATACCTTCTATTAATACTGTTTCATAATTCGGAATGATGTTTGAAAATTGGCTTCTTTATGTGTACTTTATTCATATGCTTGGGAATACCGCAAGCTGAGACGCCATGCTTATAGAAGCATGTATCTGGGTACTTAAATGAGTGCCCATTTCCATCTGTCCTAGTACACCTCAATTAGGTACCTTAAGAGGTACATGCCTAGAGGTGCCTTAGGTACATTATTCCCGTATACCTAGTACCTGTAAATGACATCGAATCTGATTTTACAAATTCACTGCCAGATAAATATAAATATATCTCCTATACAATTCCCTGATAGCTAAGCTTTTTGCTTTTTAACTACAGCCCTAATGCCGCGGGTCGATAAGCGCTGTCATGAGGATCTTCATAAATCACATACAGTAGCATGCCAGCTCATTGGCCACATTCTGCCCTGCGATACAACCGAAACTCGAGGCTTACTGGGTTCGCTGTTACATTTTTGAGGATTGACAAATTATCGGTAAAGTTCGCCTTACACTACTCCTTTACTAATCGTCCTTTACTAGCCCTCAAATAAGAGATGTGTGGCTTGACAGTGAACAGTTCCCTCGCCAATTTATCTTAAAATCATAGACTTGCTAATCCGCTTAAGAAGGACTTTATAAAACCTTTTTGAATATGAGATACCTAGTGGCCTACCAGAGGATAAAGTCGAGGACACGTATTATAACCATGTCAGCAATTAGATAATTACAAAGGAGCAGCGTGGGTCCCTCGTAGAACAGGTAGGCTTACCTATCATTGTCCATATGGCGTGTCATGAATGTTGTGGAATGTACCTAAGTAATAAGATAAGCCACACTTACACCTGGTTCATCTCGGATTCTCCGTGGCTCATATTTCGGACATACCGTATGTCCATAGTACTGCATATGCCTTAGTTAAATAGATATCATCCTGATATGTAATTGCGCGATAACATCCCAAAGAGTAATTCGCATCTCGTCGGCCGACGGGATCTTATCAAGTCAAAAGAAGCTCAACTTCGGACGTGAATCATATACATAGCTCAACTTTAAGAATCAAAGTCAAATAATAACCTAGGTTACCTTAAGTATTTAAATCTCGATTGAACACGGAGTGAGTTCCGAGCGGCCTACAGGCCAATTCGGGGTAGCCGGAGATCTGACTCGCGTTATCTATCAGCGTCTTCTATCAGCCTCTTTCAAGCTGCAATTAATCCACACAATTCATACGGATAACGTCTGGTTCTTCATATTAAAATCCAGATATTCCACAATGCTAAAACGTATGAACTTACCCCGGAAAACCAGGACAGCCACGAGTACTCCTACTCCTGTACCTCTCATCGTCACCATCTCCCGCTGTCCGCCGCTACCCCTGGAAATATGGACCGAGGTCATGCGTATACTCGTCCACGGCGAGGATCTGCCAGAACTTTGGGCGGGCTTACGTCTACTCTCCCATACGCTGAAGGCGGCGCTCGAGACTGCCTTTGTGGATGAGCACCTGTCACGGCTGCGCGGCTGGTTGTACGTGGGTGATCCAAACCCACTGGTTCCGCGACGTTCGTGGGGCGGGAGTGGCAATAATATAAAACGCATCATATCTCTACCTCTGGTACTAGCACGGTTATCATCTGACCGGCAGCGCGCGTACTTTGTATCGCTGCTACACCGGGACGACCCAACTTTAGAAATGAGCCCGCTATTCGCCGAATGCGGCGATGATACGGTGGTAGCAGAATGGCTGCGGTCGGCTCACGGGATCCCGCCGCCAGGCGGCCGCGCCACCGAAGCACGGCTGCGATTGACCATCGGCCCTGACTGCGAGTGGACGCATTGGAAACACCACGTTATCGACAGCGATAGATTCGTAGTCGAATCGCAGAAGATTATCTTGGAAGATACTTACGAACGTGAGAGTAAAGACGGAGGTGGGAACGAGAGAAGAGGGAGAGGAAAGAAGAAAGGGAAACCGGCGCATGCGATTGGGCTCGAAGTTGATCGTACTAAATGCGAAATCTCATTTGAGTGGACTACCCTGATTAGCTCCTTGTTCGCTAGGCCGCGTAGAACGTTCGGTGAAGCGCTCCGGAGCTAACCATCCATCTCCTGAAATCCTGAAATTCGACTTTAATACATGGAGATGGCCTACCGACTTGAAGGTTTGAAAGGTAACCAACGGAACAAGGGCAGAGTACGAGACTTACAGCTGAAATGTATATCAGTAGTACTGTTGTTGTAGACAATGACATAAACGCTGACCTTAAGCCACCTCAACATCTATCGATAGACGAATATCGTGAAAAATACAAATACAAATACATACATACGAAGTGGTAAGTTCATCCCATCCCATCAGTTAAATTCCAAAAAGCCACCATGACACGATGTGCCTACATAAGTCATACGTTTTGTTACTATGCAGGCTACTAACCCATCCACTGCATATAGTTTGTAGAAACTACAATAGGTTCTTACTAGGTCATAAGATATCAACAGTTCTTTCAGCGGCTAATACAAATTAGCAAGGATATATAGATCAGGAAACCAGTATTCAAACATACCGTACCAAAAAATCTAGAAAATTGAGGATCCAGTCCGTTTCCCCATAAGTAATACAAGTTGACCACAATTATAGCCATAGATTTCGTCCCTAGTGTTGTATATATTCTTACGATCAACAAAGGAGTCGTAGGGAAGACTATACTTGTTGATGGATGCACCTCAAACCAACGTGAAGTAAGTGTTTCGACATATGTGCCGGGTTGAGCTCCGTGTGGGTGTGTTGGTTCTTGTGCATTTATTTAGATACATTGGCTAATTCTCGGCACACTGTAAAAACTTCTGCACCCCTTGCAGACGATCTAGCTTCTACAACATATCTATAAAAAACATTACTTCGAGAGGATAGTTAAGTTAGATATACCTAGAAACGTGAAGTGCCTACTCTTAAAATCTGGAGCTTCTTTAGTGAAACTCGAAATAGTCAAGATGCCTACCTAGATACCTACTGTATGTATCAAGAATAGATTTCGCATAAGGGGGGCCGCCGTTCACTACCTTAAGCGACTCTTATGGCTCGAAAAAGTCTTTCTACCGTACGTTAATTATAGTACATATATGGCATGGCTACGTAATGGCTTACAGGTCGTTATTTATGAGAGATAAGGTAGCTTTGGCGTAGAATATAGTACATTTCCTCTGCTCGCCATATGCACATGAGATAGTAGTAACCCCGTTGTGCAACCCACGGGAATTTTTTGTATGACGTGCGTTGATGATCTTAGGAATATTATGAGGAACTAGGCAAATGAGCCGATTGGTCGTCATCCAGCCTCTCGCAAACCAGGTCCCTCAAGATGTAAGAAGCGAACTACTTGCCTCTCACGTTGTGTCGTCCATTCATTCGTCCGCCACGTGGTCACGGTACACACCTTCGATGCCACGGCCGAAGAGCCCGAAGGACCTTTAGGAGGTCGTCATTCGATAAATGCCGCATTACGCTGCCGGACCACGCCTTAAGCCCTAATATTCTTCCGACTGTGCATAACATCTCGACCAGTGCAGTATGCGACTCCTCTCGTGACCACAGGTCGCCGGCATGGGATAGCCTGATACAAGGTAGGTAGTTAAGTTACCTTGAGTAGTTGGGCACTCAGTTTTATGGAGAGGGTAACCTTAGGGTAGGAAATAGGTAACAAAAGAGAAAACTACCTAACTGGCTTCGATAGTCGCCTGCACCTTCTCTATATACAAAGGAGTGAGTGTTTATTGCGCGAGTATTATAAGCGGACCGGCAAGCTATACCAGAGAATTCACGGGGGAACTGGCGAACATGTAGGATAAGCAGGCTAATTAGTGGGCTAGCATGCAGGTTCGTTTCTTATTTGTGCGTACGAACGAGCCGGGGTTTGAAAACCCTTGGATTTACACGCTGTTGATGATAGTATGCAGATCTGTGTAGGTAGGTAGATATGTATGAGTTAGGTATATATGTACATGATGTGAATCCTGCGGTGAGACGTGAGCCGAGTATTGAATAGGCAGGTGTTTCATTGCGTACGCAGAGTGGCTAATACCCCCTTAAACGTGGCTAATATTGAGGCAGTTCGAGTCGTCCTCCCTCCGCCATGACCTTGAGAGATTCGGCTTATTCTGAACTGGCGCTTTTTTTTTTTTTTCTTTTTTTTTTTTTACACACCCTAAGATCTGATGGTACACTTACTAAGCGGCGGTAATAAAAATGACAGGTGGAATATGACAGTTTCCTACTCGACTGTGAGAATCGAGTACCAGTTTTCCGGCCCCGAAACTGTTAGGGTAAGCCGTAACCCTGTAGCATTAGGAGGTAAAAGCACTTGCAGGTTGGCTTGGTTATTCAGAGGGCACGGAAGCAATAAAACAAGTCCCCACGACATATACTCCTTGCTGAGAATATTTCTGAATATTATTATCATCATCGTAACTAGTAATGTTGAAGACGACTAGGAAACTCATGTATAGCGTCATGATGGACCCTCTTCACGAGGCTTCCTCGCGGTGGTGAATACGCTAGGACCTGTCAGTACTAGTTGATTAGAAACATGAGGGGGATACCTTACGCTCTTATGTACGGTCTTATTTCTCCAGAGTAGATTTCTTGCCAAAACGGGGGCATTCGGGCGTCATATTCGGCTTTTGTCCACCCGCCTTTCTGGAACAATAAGCCACAGTGGTTGTCTAATGTGCCTGTAAGAAGGTTAGGATGGTTCGGTTGCGCGCGGGACTTGAAGTGTAGACTAAAGTTTACGAATTGGGTGAAGGGAATAGTAAAAAAGAATAATTGAAAAAAGTACACGCACAATAGTCTTCGTTTGTTATCTTGTTCACTAAACTCTGGCGTGTCTTCATCTTCTCGTCTTGGGCCCAGCTCCCGAGTGGAAGTATCTCGCTCCGCTGGACTACCTTCTCAAAATCGATCTCGACAAGCCAGTCAGGGACGAGCGGTGACGGGTTAAAATCCATATCGACCTCTTTGTATAAGTCTCGACAAATCTGTAGAAACTCGGGGCACATTTCCGCCTCTGCGAACTTGCCGTCGAAATCGAAGATATTAAGGGCGATCTCCGTCATCTCGAAAAGCCCACCCGGCTTCAGCTTGTTGTATACCTGGCGAAATAGCGCCGGCCAATCCCGCACACCGCCGGCCATGCTTCGTGCGTGGATGAAGTCGAACGTGTTATCCGGGTATTTCCACGGATTTTCTACGTCGTCGATCTCGAACTTGACGTTCGGCGGTATCCCACCCCTTCTCTGTATAGGATAGACGTCTACTCCAGTTATTTGGGCTTGGGGGTAACGGGCTGCCATTTCTATAGCCCAGACGCCGGTTCCGGTACCTAGGTCTAGTATTTGAGTTGTATGCAGTGGTAGCCGCGTGGAAGTCAAGGCTCCGTCTAAGCAGTGCCTGTATAGCTTGTGTTGGATTTCCATCCTCTCCAGTTCGTTTTTGTCGAAAGGTAGAAAGATTTTGCCAGAGGCATGATAGCGGTGACCAAAAGCTTCGATATATGGCATGTCTTTTAGTCTTGGGTCTACAGCATCAGTATCCAAACTAGAATCGCTGCTGTCCTCTATGGCGCGTCCGCCCTGAAGGTCTGGGTTATTTAAAGGTAAGTAAATGTCTGGAAATTATCTTCGCCTACCTCGTGTTGGCTTGTCTCCCCCACCTCCTCCTTTCTCGATGAACGACTCATATCCAAGGCTTTTGTCAACTTAATTCTTAGATAGTTAACTCCGTTCTTCACTCGCCGTGATCGAATAATGCCTTCTGTTATGTATGAGAGCGAGCATGCCGTCCTGATATCTCATTGCGCGCGTTGCCCTCTTCTCTTCGGGATATCGCCTCAGACGGTGCAAGTGCCGGTGGATCCACCGCTTCTACCACAGTCCTGCGTTGGGGTTCCAGCACAGCTGGTCTACCGTTTAGAGACGCTGCTCGTCAGCATTTGTACTGAATTACACATTAAACTGAACGTCCAGTGAGCGACGGCATAATTACATCTATCGGCACGCTGAGCCAACACATCGGTCGCCGGTCCTCGGCAAGTCCTGCCTTTGCACCCCGAAGGCGTCTTGCGAGCCGAACCACGTCGGCTAAGGCTTGGGACTCAGGTGGTCAGATCTCTGTAACCCCCATCTTATTCGATTAAGTATGTCAAAGCCGCAAGTCGCTGCATCAAGTATACATGTATACATAAGGTAGTTAGACAGCGTAGAACCTGAACCTGAACCTAGACAGGCCCTCCTACATAGGAGAATCCCGGAACGTACATGAAGGTAGCTGATGGATCCCACCTACGACAGGATAATATTGAGAAGTGCAACAAATGCTGCAGTCCAAGTTGCATTTGCAGTGCGTGCTTTGCAGAAAGAGCCCACTCTGGGGAAGAACGGTATGTGGATAGGCTAGAACGGTCCGATTCCTACTGGCTCGAGAGCGGGACATGCCGGGTCGAAGCGCATCCTGCGATACTGACAGTTCGGCCCCTAGCTATCCGCGTGAACGATGATGTAGTTTAGTTTAGTTTAGTTTAGTTGAGAGGACCACCATATGATATGAGGAGTGTTGTGGCATCGGACGTCCAACTTGTCTAAGTGGACGTGACCGTACGTAGAGGTATTGGCAACTGCATTGTAACCGCATTGTAACCGCATTGTAACCGCAGGGTGATTTTCTTGTCTTCTAGACTTTTTTTTCTTTTCTTGAAGCGCACATGCAGTGGTTCTGTGCCCTTGTCCCTGCAGGGACGTCGACCAGTAAGCGTTGTAGGCTCGGGGGCTTACCATGGCCAAACGACCCCCTAATGCAACCTTATGATGTCCATCGGTGGATAGCGGTGACTGGCATTCTTAGACATCGACTCGTCTAATGTATCGACCCTGGCATTAAGTGCCCCAGTATTTTCAAGCACATATATCTTAGTTTGGTTAGAAGGTACATACATAACCGACGGCGATGGACCCCTGATAGGGTTTTGTTCCAGAAAGAAATCGTGATGATTCAGATTCAGATTTTTATAGTCACTTCACAGTAAACCCCTAGGATATCATGTCTACTTGAGTTGGTGGCTAAGTTGGGTAAATGTTAGATGTAAAGACCAAGCCCTTAATGCGAGACGGCATTAACTGTAACATGGTCGTATATAGAACGCGCATGTGCTCCGTGTGACCATATGGCCACGTGGATGATACTGGCGTCTGCGTGTTCCTATATTAATGAGTTGTAGCTAACGCTTGTAGATGTAGGGCTGATTTTAGCCTCGTGCCTCAAGTTGATCGTTTTGGGGGTGGGGTGTTAAGTTCATAAGATATGAGATATGTGTGGTATGTAAGGAAGTTAGGAGGTAATGTAGTTACAGCAAATGTGCGAAAGACTCCCACCCTTGGAAGCCCTAAGGATCTACGACTAGCTGCGGGAAGGGAAGAGTAGTGTAACCATAACCGCACCCGCAAGCATCATGTCCACCATCCTAGCACAACAAGAACGTGGGCTTGATGCGGCGGATCGATGCAGGCGAGACCAAAAACAGAAGTAGGGATTTCCTTCCAAGACTTATACTGGAGGACGACGGGGAAAAGGATTAACGAATGCTTGAGCTAAGGGGATGGGCTAAGAGGAGCGCCGGCGCCGTCGGCCGAGAATCGTAATTAGATCCGTGAGTATGCTCAAGCAACCCCCACTTCATTGCGTTAAGCTGCAAGTATTTCCTTGGAAGAATAAGACGCCTGCAGATCCTGGCATGATGTTGGGGTCATCAGGGAAAAGGTGTTGGTGTTGGTGATGGTGAACATATTCGTCACTCATCCATCCCCGTATCCTTCTACTGTAACAGCGCAAAGGACTCGAGTTTATTGGTTGGGTTTCGACGAACAGTCTTCCTTCTGCGGCACAAGCGAATCGCGTAACGGAAGAAACTGTCGATAGACTTAAGAGACGGGAGTTGGAGCCGGGAAATAGGAACTTCTTCTCTCCTGAGTGTATGATCTAAAGGTCACCTAAGGTAAGTTAGTAGCTACATACGATTCGTATATCTTAGGTACATACATGTAGATATGTAGCCCGTGTCCTTTCTAACTTATGATCAGTACAGGTATGTCACACTCTTCATTACATGTATGTACTTTCGTGCTTTACTAGGTTATATTATAAAGTTCAGTATCCTACCTCAGACACACCCTAAACCATTATTTACCTAGTCAACTATCAACTAGCCTACCTTACATCCAGGTGTGGGGTCAGGAGTAATAATGACAGGTGTGATATTATATCGTAATAGCCGCGACAGAAATTTCTAGTCTACCACCTTCATGAACTGATTGGCCATGAAGATAGCGCTCTTCTGCCCAACGTCCCGCTTCTTAGGCGGGACTGGTGTCCCTATTTTGGTCGGAACGGTGAATCTTGGCTTGCCAAAGGGGGTAGGAGCATGAGCAGATGTTGTCCTCTTATTGTTAGTCGTGGTTTTGTTTGTCGAAGAGTCGATAGCACCGTAAGCACACTTGCCACCTTTGAAAGCTGCCGTTGCGGCCGCTTTCCATTGCTCGGTAATGTCGGTAACCATAGGCGCTGTCCACCAGAGCCGGCAGTCAGATTCCTCGACGACGAATTGTGCGGGAATACCATCCTCAAGATTACCATGGAGGATCTGGTCTTTGACGTTGAGGCTGGCTGCCGTGCTGCGTTCGATGACGTACGTCGTATACTTGTCTAGCGTCTCGAGGATGGTCGAGTCATTCGTATATCGTCGGGCCGTCAGGGCCTGCGAATAGACGTCTTCGAAGCCGTAGCTCTGCGATCCCTTTACTCCACCGACGCCCTGAATAAGACCTTTCTTGGTCGGCCGTCCGCCCATGGCTATGCTCTTCACACCCGCATTGGACCTAAGGAATTCGGCGAATAATGTGCATGTTGACGCGCAGTACCCATCGAGCAGGAGTACAATGTTCTCGGGCCCACCGAACGGGCGCGTAAAGTTCTGACGGCTACGGTAGCCCGTGATATCAGTCCCGAAGCCGAAGGTATCGTTACTCGTACTCAGGGGGTCGTTAAAGTTCCATTGTATCAGGTCCGTGTAAGTATCGCCGCCAAACTCTTGTGGTGCAAATTTGTCTTCGTAAGACGTGAAGTTTCCGTTCGTGATATTGAGGTCATATCGCCAGTTGAAGACAGACTCGTACGCGTTGATAACGTCGGCAGGGGCAGTATTCGGGTCGAAGTCGGCAGAGATATCAGAAAATACCGTAGAGATAGCCGCAAACCCAGGGTGCTGCCGCCACCGTCCCAATCCTTCCTGCACTATATCCGGGAATAGCTGGCGGAAACCATCGTATCCGAGGAAAATATAACCACCGCCGTTGGCCTGCACGTCGACGACAAGCTTCTTCTTGCCCGCCTTCGCCGCAGCTGCGTAGAAATCCTGGGCGACGCGCTGGAACTCAACCGGGTCTTCAGGCGAAAAAGAGAGCATGACAAGAACTGCTACATCTTCAAAGCCAGGTTGGTCAATGAAATAACCAGAGATGGAAGAATCACTAGCAACAATGACAGGGTCAGGGTATCCTACGACGGGGACTGCGTTCGTAGCCGCGGGCGTCGCCGTCGCGGACGAAGTCGTAGTAGCGGCCCGGGCTTGAAGAGTTGCACCGGCGCAGAAAGCCTTGAAGAAGGATGGGCCATCAACGACGCCCGCCCAGGAATTCTTCAACCTCGCTAGGTTCGGTAGGTCGAGCACCGTTCCGTTCTCGAATGTGAATGAGGTGATGTTGCCGGGATAGATATATCTGAACAATTGTTAACTTGATTTTAAGATATAGCTAAGTCGCTTTCATAAATCATACCTTACGCGACCTCCCGTCTGGAAATACCCTTGGTTATTATTCTCAGCCAGGAATGCTTTCTCGAAGAACATGGAGTTGTAGGCGGCGTCGGCGTCTTGGTTACCAGAAGCCTGGTTAATCCAATCCTCGATATAAGTGGCAGCGTCTACTCCGTTGATGAGCTTCACTGCAGATGCCGTCTCTACTCCAGAAACAACATCGTCGTACACCTTGATTACCGGCGCAGATCCGTCAGGGCCCTCCTCGCTAACCGACACCAAGGCGAATGGTCTCTGCCACTCGAGGGCGCTGGACAAGGCATCCGGGTAAACTACAAAGTGGCCGTCGTGTGCCGGTCCGAAGAGTCTATTGTACAGGTCTGATTGCCAGGCATATTCGTTAGGATATTTGTCTGCAGTGATACCAGCCTTTACATCAGCTATCGTCGCCCAAAGATCCGTGGGAGGATAAGAATAGTCGGCTGGGGGATTTTTCTTAAAGGCAGTGTCGGACTGCCACTCGACATATGGCTCCAGCTCATTGATGAATTTGAGGGCGGCATCCTTATCAATTGGGACTGAGTTGAGACACTCGTACGCGATTGACGCTTCAATGGTGGGTGTGGGAGTGGCACTAATCTGGGCAGCCCACGAGGCGCTCACAATGGCGCACGGTTCTGTGGGACTGGCCGTTGCCGTTGTCGTCGCCGTAGTTGTTGTGTTTGTATCTCTGCAAGCTATTCTAGAACTGTTTGCCAGAGAAGCAAGCGCCAACGCGCTGACAGCTGAGGACTTCATGGCTGTCGACTACCAACTACTGCTTCGACTGCCTACTATCTTAACCTCTTGACAGGCACACGAAGATGAGTGAAGGTAGGCAGTGATAACATAACAGAGCTCGACGCGTAGACAGATACGAACTTATACATACCCAGGGCATATAATCACCCCCGCGCCGCGTACGAGTCTTCTCCAATCTCTTATGCATTAGGTTACTTGTTTAGGTAGGTGACGCGCCTCTCGCTTTAACCGATGGGGCAAGATCTTGATTGAGAGATGGAGAGGCCAGGGGGGGATGGTGGCACGGCATGAAGCGATCCGTAACTTGGGGGCTACGCTATGAACTTGCATCTGTAAGTGAGTAACATATATGTATAAGTACTATACTATATACCTATAAGAGCTATAGACTTATTGACATAATAGATAATAAATAAATACAGCTTTACAGTAACTTGCAATATGACTACATACATACCAAGCTTATACAATGCTGGTTTTCACTCTAGTTACCAGAATATGTCATTCCTGGTATTCTGAATAATCCAAGCCGACGACCCCCTACCAGGCCTCGTGTACGATCCCATCGCTGTGGGTATCCTAGCTAGCACGCCTTTCAAAGACTCCCTAGCGTCACCGTCTAACATTCGTTCAGACCTATGTATGTGACGATAAGCTGTGGAACAACTAGCTAGGTGTACGTATGTAGAACCGACACCTCCGAAGCTAGATAACTGCGCATGTAAACAAGTAACCAAATATAAGCATCGAAGACGGAATCTATATGTATGATATGCCAGCGTCTTGACCCGGCAACGGAGGTTAGTCTCTGCATTCAGGTTAGTTAGCAAAGTAACAAAGTAGCAAAGTAGATTCTTTGGCGGTGAGAATTCTTGGCGTCTACTTCCGAATTTATGCCTGACGTCGATCACCAAGATGATGTGATGTGCCTTACAGGTTCAATTTCCGACCCCTGTGCTTACCAGATAACAGTTGACATACCTATATCACAGCCCGAGCGCTATTATCGATACCTAACGTGCTATGTATTAGTCTTAACAGGTACCTAACCTAAGTTACCTGTTATTCAGTATCTACAACTTTGCAAAGGGAGGCGTCGAGACAAGAATTCCCCACTAAGACATTCCTACGATATCTGTGCCTTTCCCCTCAGTGGCACAGAACAGACAGTTTAAGGCTATCTTTCTATGTTACTTCTCCAATTCCGATATTGTCGTCAGAGCACGAAATACGCAGCGAATAGCCGCAAAGTTGGTGACATAGTACTACACTAGCGAGAACAACCTTCAAGCTCCTTTCGTGAGGTGGAAGTCTTGAATTACAAGCCCATACGAGCCATATATCATTAATAGTTATACGTTTCCAAGTATAGTACATTGTAGTATTAAATGGTATTACGCGGAATACCTTCTCATCCACAATTCCGATCATGGAATCAACAGTATTCGGTTTGTCCCGTTGGTGCCAACGACCTGTGAAAGATTCCATCCGAGAGCAGAGCCTCAGCAGCGCCGACCCCGATGAACTTCCACACCCCGGCCGTCCGCTCTTGGTTAAGGTTCCTGGCCGTCTGATCTGGGATAATCTTAGCTAAGAGGGCAAACTCCTGGTTCCCATCGTCCGAATTCTGGAAGAATAGTCTCGGCCATTCGACGCCAACGCTTTCCTCGGCTGCACGCATCTCCCGCTGTGCATTTTCAATCGTACTCTTCTCGTCGCCAACGACATGCATACTCCCGGCACCGATCCCTTCCGCCACCTTGCCCCATGCTTTTCTCGATTCCCAGGAGCTTTGCTCTGAAAGGGGTTTGGTCTGAAGCTCCGTGAGAGGCACGTCGTCAATATAAAAATCATCGATTTGTTTCCCATTCGTACTATCTATAATCGTAAGTCGGTCGTTCCATTGGCCAGTGACTTCGAACATCGTCCTGCCCCCGTCCCGAACACTAGAAATCTCGGCATGCACACTATTCTTCTTTCCGGATCCTAGCAGGTTCCTACCTTGGAAATCAATAGTTGCGAGATATCCCGAGCTTGACGATATGTAACAGGTGCCTTCTAGCTCAGGATATGGCCGCCCGACTACTAGCCCCTTTATCACTATAGTCGGCAGAGTCATTAGATGACTTTCGCCGTGTCCTTCATCACGGATGATCGCGTGCCCAATTTGCTTCACCCGAACACCCGAACCGGGATTAAATGTTATCTCTTGTGCTACGTAGCCCGAAGATGACATGCCGTGAATTTCGTTATATAGGCAGCAGGCCGTCACTGGTGGATGATGTGATACCTGTTCACATATCAATCTCGTTGTGCTTCCGTCATCCCCTTCGAAAGTGCCTAGGAAGAGTTCTCCTAGAAACGCATTAAGCGGCTTCTTGACTCCGTCGTCGCCGCAGTCATCGTTAGAACACCCTTTAGAAGCGGTCGCTGTGTAGACCTGCCGCTTAAGACTACAGAGGAAGTTCTTAAGCACTGAAAGAGAGCGTCGCGCAGGGTCCTTTTCCTGTGCTGGCTGCATAAATAAATCATGACGCTCAGCCCAAGAGGCCGGTATCTCTACCACCGACTTAGGTGAAAGAGTGAAGGGCGGAGCGGTGATATTTGAAAGGTCACCTTTAACGGTTACTAAATAAGACAAGAAATCTTTTAACTGGGAGATGTTTGATTGCGACTGGGCCATCTTCACGTAAACGATAAGAGGCTGTCGTTGGTAAATATCGTGAGCTTTTTTCTTATTCAACTTCGGGTCGGGTGTCTAGTAGATCATATTAAGGAAATCTGATGCATCTTGCGCATATCCCCTGTGACGAGTGTTAATAAAACTAGTGCACCTCTGATTGACGACACAGCTGATGACGTTATGTGGCGTCGTAAGGCTCTGAATTAGACCGGGAACTATTGCGACAACTTTAGTACTACGATATGACACAAGGAATCGATTCACCACGATCGATTTGTTTAATCGTTATAGTTTTGCTCGAGGGCTTCTACCACTATTATTTATTGCTTCCACGAAGTCGGCTAGGCAAGCTTCAGCCCTAAGCCTCTTCAAATTCATAGTGACCCATAGTCAAGAATACATAAACTCTAATAACAGCTTGGAATCGTGACGAGGAACATTCAGCTCTTCGAAGGTACTATCTTATTATCAATATAGTAAAGACCATGGGAAGATATGGCTAATAACAAGGCGCTTCGATATCTCTTGTCCTTGTATAACTTTGATCTTATATTCAAGACCTATAATCAGCACGCGGATTTATCGATCCGTTGAAGAATATAGAGCAGCCAGTATAACATGCTATGCAATACCCCTATTTCAATTACATCTATGTCTTCAATAGCCTCACAAGTGAAGACATGGCCTTCTCGCCAAATTCATGCATATCAGAGTACTTCTCCGGTCCCTTGCCATCGAACACTTCGATAGACAACCAGCCTCTAAACCCAGTCCCAAGTACAGCCTTTAGAAAGTCTTCAACAGGAAGATAGCCCCCGTCGTAAGGTAACGGCCGGTAATCATGGCTCCACTGGCCCCTTGGTCGTAGCCCCTTCTTATTGGCCTTGGCTTCTATGGGGGGTTCCATCTTGTAGGCATCCGAAATCTGTAAGAGGTAGATTTTCTCAGGCGGGACTGTTCTGCTTAGTTCGGCCAGGCTCTGCTTCCACTTGGCTTCGAGTTCCTCCCGTGAGATATCCTCAACTAATCCAGACTTTGTGGTCGGGTCTGCCCACTCGCCGCCACCGCTCTGGAAGGTATCTAGACACAAACCGAGATTCGGCCGGTCGGCCTTCTCGACGATACGCCATACGTCTTTCCAGCTCGGAGCGTGCGTAGCCCAGCACCAGTTCTCGTACGCGATGCGCTGCCCTCTGGCGACGCACATATCCGCCAGCTCGGCCAAGTCGCCAGCTAAGTCATCAATGGACGACGATATCCCGGGCGCATCGGATGATCCTACTTGCAACATGTCCGTGCCCACAGCTTCCATGATACGCATCCAGCCTTCGGCACGCTCAAACGCGTCCTTCCTTGCGTCGCTATCCTTCGGCCAGCCCTCGAAGTTGGCAAAAGGCTGCAGCATCAAAATCTTGAGGTTATGCTCTTCCACCAGCGTTTTGATCGTCTTTCCAATCTCGACTAGTGCGTCGTAATCTTTAGGGTCTAGTTCCTGACCATAGAGCATCTTACCATAAGCCAAGATATCTGGCATAGACAGTTCGATGGCGTCGAATCCGGCATCCGCTATTGCCTTGAGCTTCAGGGGAAGCGTGTGGGATTCCTTATGTCCGATACTGCAAGTAGCATAACATGTTGGAATTTTCGTACCTTGGTAGTCAACAGACATCATGCGACAAATGCGATTTTAGTCGGCTGTATTTTTACACCTGACTTCAAATGCAGTTGTTAAGTCGAGATAGCGAGAAGAGGACTTGTATACTCTTGAATCTATGTAGTTATGATGACGTCAACGAATGTAAAAGCATCTATGACCTACGTAACCTTTATGTAAATATCACGTACTATGCATATTTTTACAACTTTATTCTTCCTATTCCAATAACTACAGCTTTCTTGTCATCGATGTGTAGGAAGCAAATGATGGCTTCTATCAGTTACTTACCTACCTACATAATATATCTTCTTAATTCCTACACACAACTCTATTACTCTGGGTTGTAATCCCAAGTAAACGCCCCACTCTTCAATCCCCTCTCCCTCTTCCCCCCCCTTTATTTTCTCAGACGGTAGTTGCTTTTGGGATTAATTACCATTTCTGACATTCATATTGCTGATGGGCCCATGAAAGATTCCAGCTGGGTGCTCATACTTGACATGGATGAAGTACGAGAGGAGGTCAGGCAGGGTATGCCGAGTCTGTTCCTAAGCATAGTTTTCTTTCGAGAATCTTTGACCAGAGGGGTGACACTCGGTTAGCCGAGCCTTAGCAAAATGCACAGCCCCAAAAGCTGCCTCAGATGCCATGATTTGCGGCCCATAGTCTGTCTGGTAGGATTCTTCTTCCAAAACTTGCCGAGGATAGGAATTTGATCAATCTATCTTGAAATGCTAGTTTGTCTTTGCTCCCGATAGTGTGACCATGAGGCCAGTTTATCAGTGCGGCATAATCGAAAAGCCTAGCATCGTTGCGGATAATATCGTCGACGCCTATGTTGGGTTCGAGAAATCCATGCTGCTAGTAGATGCAAATTGCTTCTCTGTCTGATCAAATAATGCCTCACCGGTCCAAAACCTGGAAGAGGTAAATATACTATTTGAATGGGTAGAAGTATTATGTATTAAATATCCAATAAGATTTATCTGAGTATCTCGGATAGTCCCACGAAGAAAAGGAGCATATAAGTCTCTAGGATGACCGATTGAAAAACGGTCTTGCGACCTCTGTTCTTGGTAGTTTGGTTCTGGCGAAGCTGATGGATTTCTCACTCTGGGGCCTTTCCGTTACTCGCATCATTCATCTAGGCCACACTAATTTGACGCGACGTTTCGTAATCTAAGAGACATAGAAGCCTCGATCACCGATCCCTAGACCGAAACAGATAGAGTAGAAGCTGCTTTGTTGGCAGTTCTCGTTTTTTAATGCCCACGAGGAGGAACGTTTAAAGGTTATGCACGAGATCTATATGGCCATTTCCGTCTAATAGGGGGAACAGGTTGAGGGCGCCGAAAACGTGATCAATCCGATCCTGCTGGTCTCTACCTAGAAAAGCACCGGCTGTGGAATCAAGCGAACAGCCTAACGATAGAAGGGCCGGATCAATGTCGTGGAAAGGTGAAGCGAATAGCTCGTGCGTTAGCAAATCTTGAGGCACATTGGCTGATTCCATGTCTGATGGAAGAATCCCGGGCTGGCTAGTATCAGTAGGGAGGGTGTCCTCATGGGGCAGTCGCTCTTTTGGCACCAGTCCAAACAGCTTAGACGAGCTCTCTGTGATTCGAAGACGTTCGTCGATGTCTTGCTTTTGGAGATGCTTCAGAGCGCTAGATAGTAAAGACTTAGCAATAAGCGAGTATTGCAGAGCATGCGCATCGCTCCTCGCAAAATATTCTAACCCAGCAATAGACATCCGAGCGTACTTTTCGAGTATTCGTCCAAACCCCCCAAGGAGGCCAACGCCAAGTACTAAGGATGAAGCAAAGAGCCATGAGCTTCCAGAGGGTTAGTATGGAATGAAGGATTGAGAGGTAGTTTAGGTACCTTACACTATCAACGGCATGCGTCCGTCTAGGATCTGCCGATTTACCAAGTCCGCTATTGACTCAGCCATCAAACTTGCTGCATCAATACATGCATTTGCGAGCCTCGTTCTCCCTGAGTTGTCGCTACCCCCATTGGGCAGATTGGTCACAGTAGGAATGTCTGGATCAGGTAGGCGCTTATACAACTCGTACATGAGGAAAGGCCTCGCTACTAGCATGACGGCATAATAATAAGAAGACATGACTTGACACGCACCGATGATCTCCGCTTCATCCTCTCGAGGTGATTCTGCAACGGTTTGTTTGAGGCGAGGGAGCCACCTACTTGACCAATCTCGAAGTTGGCGGGAGATTCCCTCAGTAAGTTGGAATGAGATTTTTCTTCTGGAATATACCCGGAGTACGATTTCTTCGGTAATCGAGAGTATCTGCACCGAGGCATTCAAAAGGTCGTACTGCTCTTGGCCGTTGGCGTTAAAAGTTCGACAAGGCACCGTGCAGTCTACGTCTGACATAGATGGTGGCCTACCCATAGATATGCTCAGAAATAAATCTAGAACTCGCAAGCTCTTCCAAAGGCGGTCTCTATTGCCGTTAGTAACATCAGAAGCAATCTATTGCCATAGGAACTATACCTTTGGGTATGCGTATTGGATCCGAACCGAGTATTTACTTCCGTTCTATGCAGGCCAATCGAGTACGCCGCCCGCGCAGCGATGCCTTTAACGCTTAGCTACAAGGATTCAGTATTCCGCTGTGTAACTCACCGAAGAAAAGATAAGCCCCGTTGATCTGACATGCTCGAAGCATATATATGGTCACAAGGGCGAAAGCTTGAACTGTCTCAATTCCTAGATCACCACCGAGGCATGATAGAGCTAGGGTCTTCGCATATTGAAAAGATCTAGTAGCGGATTCTTCATTGACAGACTGCGAACCGATAGCCAGAACTAAGTAATTGACTGCGGATGTTGCGTCGGCGGATTCTCCTTCTTTAGCAATCCATGCCGATATATTGTTCTCGAGGTTTTTATTCTCAAAGAGATTAACTAGTCCAGAGGTCTGCAATAGGGGTTAGATAATGATTTACACCAAATACCTGATAAATAATCCAACGAATTTACCACTGATATAAACGATGACACTAGCTGTCCGGCAGTAGCAGAGTCCACATATGGTGGTTCCTTGCCGATAGCCGAAAATGACAGGTAGGAGGAAGAGTTTTCCAACATTGAAACCCGTCCCGTTTGTCCTGTTTGTGGAGCAAAGGCATTCGGATCTACCCGAGATGTCACTATCTGGCGTACAGTCTGGAAAAGAGAGAGCGGCGCGCAGTCTCCGACGAAAGCTGAGTTTACCTAATTAGTTTATTTATAAGTCTTTCCGAGAAGGAATTTGAAACTGTGTGCGTACTTAGTTTTCCATGAGCATCGCGCAACAAACGGGCTTCGCGGGGCACATCGGCTTCTTCCTCGGCGGAGGCGTCGCTGCGAAGGGTGATATCATCCGACGTGCGGGTTCGAGTTGTATGAGCGGTATGAATGCCAGACGGTTCGGCCGAAGAGACGGGAACATGGGCAGATACATCCGGCCCTACCGACGGAACGGACGATTGGGTTACGGATGTCTCCGGAGAAGGCAAACGCGGTCTCCTCGGTCGACGACGAGGCGTAGGAGAAAACCGGCACGTCGAATCTCCCTGGCGACGCTTACAGTAACTACAAGGTAAGTTCCCGTCGCATTTGACTACGGAGTGGTTAATTGCATGTAGAGTTACATTCATAGGACGTCCCCTGGGCGAATAAGTAGATAAATAGACGAATAGGAGAATGCATGCATGCCTTAAGAGGTAGGTACCTACCTTTACGCTGTTTACACGTATCGCAAGCATTAGCGATCCGCGTACGGACCATTGGAGAAGACATTGCCACTTTATTTATGCGTCGACATCGAAAATGTCATGTAATTGTGTTAGATAGAGACTTGGACCTGAGACATGTTGAACTTTGGCCTTGTTAGAACCGGATGTCGGAACTTCGGAAGCCGGATAGAAAAAAAAAAAAAGGGGGGGGGGTGGCTGGCTTGATCTTACGGGCAATGGCCCCTGTGGATCTTTCTACTTCTTCCCACTTCACAAACCGCCCGCCTTTGATATCCGAGCTTCCATACTGCACCACCTCATCCGCATTTTTGGTACAGCTTATCTTTGGTCTACGAACATAAGCGGTACCTAAGCACATAATTCTACCCGTATTCACGTCTTCGGTGTCATAATTCCCGCCAGATACGTTTCATCACGTGTCTGTTTTAGAAATGGTATCAATGCCGTTCCCCCAGTCCCAGTCAATTGCCTTTCTGAGCCCTCGTTCGATCGCGATGATGCTGTAGCTAGATTCACCACCCGACCTTGGATCTGTTTTCTCGAAGGCACAATAATGTATCGCGTCACGATTTGCATATGTCTATTGCGAAAGTCCCCAAGAGCTTTGGTAGCAGCTTGAAAAGATCGCTTCATATGTTCTTGTTTGTCCGAGCCACCTTGCTTGCTCGCGAGCTCCTTTATACTGCCCATTTGCGAGACGTGTTCTAAAAACGCCCTGTGCGGTGCTGGCATATAGGAGCGAACTTCTTCGTGGAAACTTGGTACGGCTTCGCTCGTCCCCGAAGTCAATGCCGCATTTGTACGCGCACTACCCCCGGATGAAGTATGTTCAACTCCAAGGACAATGTCGAGGAATTGAATAAGCGAGCTTTGTCCATTGCTGCCACCTCTCAGCTGCTTCCAACAGAGTACTCCGTTCCCGTCTTCGTATAAGACACCATTAGGAAGGCCTGAAGTAGCCATGTTCTTACTTCCAGCTAGATACGGACGAATCTGGTGGTAAAAGACCATTGGGTCACATCTCTCGTCCATCCGATCGAGTAGTCTGCCAAGTCTCCCGATACAGATCTTCAGCTGGTCTAATGCCCTGATTATTGTCGAGTAATCTCGATGTTGGGTCGCTTCGAGTGCTTGGAGCATGGTCGGAATTATATAGGCGCCTTCCGCTTCCATTGCTACTGACACCGAGTAGAACCACGACTCGTCCTCTGTGCCGCTGAATGTATGCAAGGCTTTTAGCTTGTCAAGATCTCGAAAGTCGGGTCCACTACAGGTAAAGTTCCATAGGTTAAGAGCAGCGTACGTCGCGACCGGCGGAAGGCGGAGGTGCTCCGAAACTTGAAGAAACGGTACTGATATCGCCGGAGGAAGTACCTAATCGCTTATTAGCCACATGTGTAATAAGTCTATTACGATCGGTTATACCTCTGATGCCTTCTCGCCGCCCCAGATGTATCCATGCGCCAAGAATGATAATACTACATAAGCTCGCTGCCATTCTTCTTCTGTGTGTAGTTTGCTCGTCGAAAGCACCCCTATGAAATTTACAGCCTTTCGGATCGACTTGCTGTTTAGCATTGATGGGAGATCATCTAGTATAGACTCCCACGGGGTATAATAATGGTGTGGTAGACGGCTTAGGGGTTCGCGCTCCGGAAGGAATCCGTTTCTCGAGACGGAATAGTTATGGAGTAGGTCATAATGATCTGAAGATCTCTCGTTGCAATCCGACAAAGGCTGAGTACGACCTGGCATTATGAAGGGTTAAACACTTGAAGCTTGAACTTTGGGTATTTAGGTATTCAAGTGAAAGCAATATAATATAAACGATATTAAATGTTAACTAAATGTAAAATCATCTGACAAGATCTACGAGGTGATCACGTATTTAAGAGTAAACAGGTACGGAAAGGGGTTCGGATGTCAGTACATCGGATCTCGGATACCGGATCACGGAAATGTCTTTTCGATAACACGAAGAGTGTTTCCATTCTTCGTACCGTGGATATCATCGGTTGATATCTTATTCACTTTCTTAGGATCGATGTCTCTTCGAACCTCACGCTTACCTACTTTTTGTAAGATCATTTACCCTCTACGCTCTAACCGTTGCATGTGAAATATGCTGGTTAGGTATATTATAGACTACGCTATCGAAATAATCATCCTAAGTTAGGTAGTCTCTAAGCTATATATTCAGAGTATAACACTAAATCTTGAAGATTTTCTTGTAGTAAAGTCGTCCCAAATGTCTTATTCTTCAACTCCAATCTCAAGCAACGCGATAATGGGCGTGGGGGGATCAGCTTCAAACTAGCGACCCGTTAATTGCATATTGGATTTATTTTGAGGGCTAAAATTCCCTTAGAGTTGGGTCAGAAGAACGAGGCTTTAATAATAATCCTCTCTTTAAAATAGACGGTCTGGACTTTGGAACCCTTTCAATTGTCAAAGAGATATGACCAGCTCCGACTTAACGCATCAGCTGCGTTCTGCCGTCCCCTCGCAGGCGTACAAGGGATTAATCGACTCGGTACTGCCGACCTTGATCAACTGCATCTCGGACATTGCCAAGTCGCTCAGGACGTCACACCATGTCTCGCAGGCGGGCAGCGCGAATGCTTTTGGTGATGATCAATTGAACGTGGACGTATTAGCCGAGAACAGCATCCGAGACGCCATTTCGCGCTGTCCTTTTGTTGTGACCGCCAGCAGCGAGGAGGACCCGGTCGAACGGCATGTTCAAATCCAGGAAGAAGCCGAGGGCGGCAATATTCCAGAGGAGAATTATACGGTTGCGTTTGATCCTCTGGATGGCAGCTCTATAATAGCACCGAATTGGACTGTCGGTACAATTATTGGTGTTTGGCAGGGGAAGACAGCACTCGACCAACCACCCGCAAGCAAATTGGTGGCCTCTGTGCTCGGTGTCTACGGACCACGTACCACAGTTATTGTTGCGCTACGCGTCCCGGGCTCCGAGCCAGCATGTCTCGAACTGGGAATCGGCGAAGACGGAGTTCGCGATGGTGAAGTCGAAGTCATTCAGTCTGCCGTTCGACTAGCAGAGTCGCCATATAAAACCCGTTACTTCGCCCCCGCAAATCTCCGCGCAGCAGCGGACGACGAGAAGTACATGGGTCTAATCACGCACTATATCCAGAACAAATATACGCTGCGGTATAGCGGCGGTCTTGTTCCAGATATAGTTCATGCGCTAGTCAAGGGTCACGGAATATATATATCGCCCGTAACTTCGACTAGCAAGGCTAAATTACGACGTTTATATGAACTGTTCCCTCTCGCGCTGATAGTCGAGTGTGCTGGCGGGACCGCGATCGACCCAGCTGACGGGACGAATATACTAGAAAGACCTTTAGGAGACCTGAACGAAACTGCGGGACTAATCTGCGGGACAGCCGAGGAAGTAGAATTCGCGAAGAAGACTCTCCTTGACTAATGTCTATTGTTAAAGAATCCAGAAAGCAAAGCTAGGCGGACCAGTCACGTTGATTGCATATCAGGGGATCTGATAGGATCTGCGATTTAGATAAATACTCTTAGAAACTCAACTAGGGCCATGATAGCCATCGCCTGCCCATACGGCATGCTCGTAATTGGAATATCCTTGTAATGCTGCAACGTGTGACCCATACCCGTACCAAAGGACGTATTCAGGAGCTCTCCATCGGCATCAACGTTATCCAGCACCGCCCGTATAGCCTTAAGGGCTACGGTTTCGTATTTCTTCCCGATATACTTCTTTCTCTGTGCCTTGAGGATTCCAAAGGCAAAGCCCGCCGTCGCGCTCGATTCGACGTAAGAGCCTTCTTCTTCCGGTTGGTCGAGAAGCGTGCGCCACAAGCCCGACGACGTCTGCAGCGGCTTGAGGGACTCGCATTGCGCATTCAGCGTATCTAGAAGGTGATTTCGAATCGGGTCGTTGGCGGGTAGGTCTAGCAATTCCAAGAATTCGGGGATTACAATTGTCAGCCATGCGTTTCCCCTGGCCCATAAGGCGTTTGCGAAATTGTGACCTCCGTCGTGGAACGTCCAGCCGTGGAAGAACAATCCGGACTTCGTGTCGAATAGGTATTTTACGTGAATGAGAAATTGACGCTTCGCTTCGTCGACGTAATGAGGCCTGTTAAGTAGCTTTCCAATCTTAGCCAGGGGCATGACGGTCATCATAAGTGTATCATCCCATAGCTGCTGATCGTTCACCTCTAAATATGTAATGTGCTGCATGCCGCCATATTTGGTTCTCTCCAGGTCATGGTATGCCCATTCTCCCCAACTGTCTAGCCAGGGGAGATAGGTCTGGTTTCCCGTCTTCTCATATACGTAGGCTAGTGTTAGAAATACAGCCATGGTATTAATGTTCTTCGTAGTGCCCCCGGCTGCGAATCGGTTGGCAAACCAATCTTCGATAATCTTGAGATATTTTTCATCTCCGGTAAGCGAGTAGTAAGCCCAAATTCCGTTGAGGCCAATACCATGGGTCCATTCCCAGTCGTTCCATCCTTTCGTGTCGATTACGCGACCATCTTCTAGTGTCAACAAGAATTCCCCAGTCTGGTCTTTGATATTTACCAGTCCGTCGATGAGGAGCTGAATCTTGGCGTGTATGTCGCTGGACTTGATCCCGTGGATTTCTGCCGGCATCTTGCGCAAGGTAAATTTCTTAGCTCTCAAGATGTTCGCAACCCGAAAGGATAATCAAAGAAGGGAATGTCTAACTACGTCGATGGATATATCCGAAGTAATAGACAAGGACTCTCTTAATTTTCTTGCTTGATCCCTTGTCTGATTTCGTATAGCGAAAAGGAACTGAATAATATGCTTCACTCTAATATTTGATAATGCCTCACGTCCTTTAAGAACAAGGCAAGGAGGAAATTCAAGGAGTCTTTTCACGAGGAGTCAAGAATGGTGCATCTTTTGGTGTACTCCACATTGTGTCGTAGCGCCTTGAGCGTCTCCATTGTCGGGATATCACTTCGTCGTAATACCCACACCAATTCATGCCAATCTATAGAACCATTCAAGGTCTTATTACCACGTGATGAGAATTACACCATCCTACCGCTATAGTACTATTCATAAGATATAACAGACGAAGAATATCACGGGGATTTTCTAAACCGAAGGAGCACAGTCCTTGGAGTACGCAGCTGCAGCTGATCTTCAATGGGGAATTTGATTCCGATCCTTTTGAACGTGGTAATGGGTTCGGTCTAGCTTGCACCGAAGCTAGCTTGCTGAGGGGAAGACCCCTAGTGGTCGTATTCTCATCTCTCCCGAAAAAGTTGGAGCTCCGTTTGGAACAGCAGGGTTATTTGCTTTGGGTCGGTCTAGGGTTCGGAGGGACTTCAGATTTGTTGTCCTTGGGGTTTTATCCCCATCCCCCGGATTTTGGGGAAACTTGCCCCAGCTGATCCCCAGGGAGCCCCAGACTGCCCAGATTTGCCCAGGTTCCATTTCTGATAGCCTGGCACTAAACTAGGCACTATTCCTCGTTGAATATAGTCAAGTAATGATTTCCGAGATGATTCGTTAGAAATGATATGTCTGTATTATATCTTCCGTCCTTAGTGTTAATCCGACGAGGTGGCTCCTAGTCCAGGCCAATGCAGACAAATGAGAGTCCATAGAATGGTCGGCTATCGACCCCTTGTTGGATGGCTCGCTTGCGATGTCACTGCGCCAATACAAGGCAGTCATATGCATTATGTGCTCGATAGTGTCGGTGTGTTAATGATACGAGACGTGAATACATAAAAATGCCATCGTTCTCTCAACTCAAACTCTTGCTCCCATCTCCCATTTTTTTTTATCCTTGCAGGTAGAATTTTCCGTGTGGTGCATCTTTGCAGTCACAACTGCGGAGAACATCGCGCCAAACGCACTGGATAAGGATGTCGTCTATGGAGGTTCCCGACCCTGAGATGGTCCAACCCAAAATACCTCACCAAGACGATGCCGCGAAGAGGTACTCAATGGCGGAGGTAGAGCGAGCACACTCGGCGCTTGAAGACATCGAGGGTAAGGGAGATCATGCGGACTACGACAAAGTCGACAAAGAAGTCGCCAAATATTCGTCGGCTCTCCGTATCAAAATAACGCCCGAGGAGAACATCAGACTACGGAAAATGATCGACAAGAGAATCTTGGTCGTAATGATCACGACGTATTTTCTCCAAGCTATTGACAAAGGCACACTATCCTTCTCTTCGATCATGGGCCTGCCGAAAGACACCGGCATGCTTACCCCCGAGGGAAAAGTTAGCCAGGACTTTTCTTGGTTGACTACGTGTATCTACATAACCATCCTCGTCGTTGAGTACCCGCAGGTAAGACCCGCTATTGTTGTCCCCAAACCTTTGGGTTAGTTACAAGAGCCAGAGAGATATACTGACAGCAAAAACTATTGCAGAATTATATCATCGCCCGAGTTCCCGTCGCTAAGTACCTTGGTTTTTCTATCATTGCGTGGGGCGTCGTTTTGGCTTGCCATGCTGCATGTAAAAACTTTGTCGGGTTGGTAGCCGTCCGCACGCTTCTAGGGCTGTTCGAGTCGGCTTGCCAACCTGCTTTTGTGATCCTCTCCGCCATGTGGTATAGACGCGAAGAACAAGCCTCGAGGGTTACCTACTGGTATATGATGAACGGCGCGCAGCAGATTGTCGGCGGACTCCTCGCTTACTGCTTCACTTTGATCACGGACGGCCCCCTCAGATCGTGGCAGTGGCTGTTCATGGCTTACGGTATCATCTCCGTCATCTTCGGCTTTTTCGTCCTTTGGTGGATGCCTGATTCCCCGATGCGTGCCAAGTGCTTTAGCGAAGAGGATAAGCATCTGATGGTCGAAAGAGTTCGAGATAATCAGACCGGGCTGCAGAACCGAGTTTTCAAAAAGGAACAGGTCTGGGACGCGTTGACTGATCCCCAGACATGGTGCTACGCCGGAATTCAGTTCACCACGACTCTACCAACTAGCGGCCTCGGCGCCTTTGCGAACTTGATTATCTCTGGGAGTCTAGGATTTACCAACCTTCAGACGCAGCTTCTGTCTATGGTCCTCGGCTTTTACATCGTCATGGTGCTTCTAGGCTCAGTTTGGCTGGTGAAGAAGTTTAACCAGAACATCTTGACTATGCTGGGCTTCGTTATTCCGTAAGTGGCATGATCCCGGTTTCATTTAGTACCTACCTAAGGAATGTGACCACGACTAACACGACGCATCTAGATCATTCGTGGGTACCATTTTGCTTATGACCATACCTAACGAGACCTTCGCGCAGCATGTGGGACTGCTCATCTCCTACTACATCACTCTGTCTTTCTGGGCGGCGCAAACTTTGGGTCTCTCCCTGATGTCTCGTAACGTCGGAGGCCAGACCAAGAAGACTGTTGTCGTGGCCACGAATTTCATCTTCTGGTCGGCAGGTAACGCTATCGGTCCCCAAGTATTTCTATCACGCGAAGCACCCAAGTATCATACAGCATTTGCAACTCATCTTGGTTGTTACGGTCTTCTTGTTGTTATCCTCTTGTTCTTCCGCTTCTATCTGTCAAGGCAGAACAAGAAGCGGGATGAACTAGCTGCGGCTGGTGTTAGCGAGGCTCACGACGAGAGGATGGCTCACGCTTTTGAAGATCTGACTGATAGGGAGAACCCTAATTTTAGATATGAATATTAGAGCATCGAGGGAGAATACTGTAAATACACACATGGCATTTTGAATCTATTGAGTACCTAGGTACCTATTGGGTACCTAAAAACCTGATGTATTCCGTATGTCGCGTACAAGATATAATATTTTTGATGTGAAGATAATAGCTGATGCGACGTCTGCATATATCAGGTAAATTGGTGTTATTTTATGTTCTTTTATATTATTTTAGACGTTAAATTTTAGGTCAGACATTAATAACGCCTGAGGCAGGAAGCGTAGGTGCAATGCCTGCGTTTGGTACCTGCTTGTATGAGGTAATGAGATGCTACTGCCTTCAATTCTCATGATACATTCCATCGGTAATGTACCTTAGGAGGTACCTAAGTACATAATAGAGTGCGCTAATGTAACCCACCCACACCCACCTTTACCGATTCTGGGATTTTCCAGCCTTAGCAACTTTTGTTGAAGCTTCAACTCTCAATTTCGATAGCTTCCATCTTCGCAGCTTTCTAGCCTTACAACCCTTTACTGATTGATCCTTTTACCATCTATCCTGAGGTACTCGATTGGTTCTAGTTGGCTATTAATCCCTCTATCTACATCAAATATAATCCTTCAATATGGATTATCGATCGCCTTCACGAGACCGTTTTGAGTCGCGTTCCCCGACCCCCAAGTCGCGTTATTCTCGATCGCCTTCGCCAGTTCGACGACGTCGATCCCCTACAAAATCGCCATCCCCTGCTCCCCGTCGCAACGGCAGGCTCCGCAGCGAGAGCAGAAGCTCAAGTCGTGATCGTGATGACCGGGGTAGAAGTGAGAGTCCGCTTAGGGGCAGTACTAAGGTCAGTCCATTCGCTCTAAATATATCTCGCCACGTCTCTATCATCGCATGATTTATACCAATCCTTACTCCGAAACACCATACTAATTCTAATCTTGTATTAGATCGTCGTCGAAAAACTGACGAAAACTATCAATGAGGATCATTTGCACGAGATCTTTGGCCAGTATGGCCCTATCAGAGACCTAGATATGCCTATGAATCGACAGTGTGAGTGGATTCGTGCGCATCGCATTTCTTGTAGTGTGCTCGTATGGCTGAACTTTTTATAGACAATACCAATCGTGGTACAGCTTACATCCTCTACGTCCACGAGGCCGATGCCGAGGCGGCTATTGCTCACATGCATGAAGCTGTCCTCGATGGAGCAGTTATCAATGTTTCTATTGTTCTACCCCGACGCAAATTCTCGCCTTCTCCCCCGACTGCGAGCCGTGGCGCAAATATCGACCCTCGACTCCCGGCGCCCGGTCCTAGAGGCTCTGCCAGAACTGGAGGCGGAAGAGGGGCTGGATTCGGCGGAGGAAGGCCGCCACGCTCGCCGCAACGTTTTGGTCGCCCCGGTCGTGATAACTTCGACACCTACCGACCGCGATCATACTCGAGATCCCGGTCTCCGCCTACGCGCCGTAACCGTAGTCCTTCGGGTTCTTACGCATCTAGGTCTCGGTCTCCTCCAAGAAGACGGGGCGGAAAGAGAGAGAGCTACAATGATTACGATAATGATAGACGACGTAGTCCCAGTTATGACAGCATCCGAGGTCGCAGTCGTTCGCGCAGCCGTGGTAGGGGATACCGCTAATCCAAAGAACTATTCTTTTTTCTTTCTTTGCATGTCGATGGGCGTTTGGCAGGGAATAAGGAATACCAGATCATGGCAAGGAATTCTTCATGAGGTTGAGATTACGAATTTGGTAGTAGTACGTTTGTTTATTTTTCATCAAGCTTCCCTACGTCGGCTGCTTATGGTCCTTCCAGGTTACCATGTCTTATAACACCCGCGGCCATGATACTATTGCGCATTACGTACCTAATGTAGCTCGTCCGGTAGCATATTCTTAATAATAACGGGATCGTTCCAACAATCCCCTGGCTAGGTCGTCGAGAAGTTATCCCGATACCTCGTTTCCTTGGTAAACGACTGTTTCCCTAATTGTTGATACTAGCATTAATTCATAGTGATTTATCATCAAATTTCACTTCTCTATAGTGGCTTCGGCGTTTAGCTCCATCGTGGTTTCGAACCTGGCTCATTTTTGCGGATCCCCTATACGTTGCTTGATCGGTAAGCTATTCAGAAATATTTATTGCTGATTAATTTTCTATATTTGTCATCTGTGTTATTCCTCAAACTAAAGCTAATCGCTTTAGCTAGTTATATGTATTCTATGCCTCGAGAGTATATATAACATGTCATGTCTATTTTGTCGATTGAGTACCTGAACCTGGCTAAATTAAGCAACTCTACGAAGCCTATACACCTTGAACACCACGACTCTTAAACCAAACACGATTCGATCCAACTTATTTTACTTTTCAATTTTAGTTCTCTTTAAAACAAATCACAAAATGTCTTCGCCAATCCAGCTATCCGCTCCCAGTCGCATCACTGCTTCCAACCTCCCTCTTCTAGAGGCCAGCAGCTCCTCGAAGCCGCACTCAGAACCCGGCGTAGAAGTCCGCGTTGATAAACTCGAGCCAGAACCTATTCTGGGAGGCGAGTTAAAAAGGGCTAGAGTGGCATCTAGCAAGAAACTGCCAACTAGCAACGATGGACAGTGGGTCTCACTCTATATTTCCCTTTCCTTATAACGGTGCAATCATCTTGATCCATCCTGCGAGGGCCCGCGGCATTACAAGTAACAGAAAGAGCTGACGAGCAATCAAGTGGTAATTTGGAATTAGACCCTGTGCCGGGATTTGGAATCGTGCGTATGTATCCCCCTTATCCCTCTTATATCCTTATATCCTTATCTCCTAGTTCTAAGCAGAAGCTGCATATTCTGGCATGTTTAGAAGCTGTCATCATGTATGATAGGTCTTAGGGGTCGAACTCCACTTCTGACAATTCCCACAAATAGCCACTGCTGACCTGACGCGTTTCTTCTAGTTCCGGGTGGTCTTAATATGTACTACCTAGACATTGCCCCCAATACGGAGGGCGTAGTGCACCGTACGACATCTACGGATTATCTTGTCGTGTTGAGTGGGACTTTAAGCCTCATTACCCCCCCTGGCTCATTTGATGTGGTCAACGGGCGTGGTACGTACGGCGAGCTTGTCGAAACGCTGTGCAAGCCAGGTGATGTCGTACTTCAGCGCGGAATAATGCATGCGTAAGTTATATACCTCCTACCGAAGGGCAAACCGTCTGGCCCCCTATAGCATTTTGCGAGCTTCGGCGTGTATACGAATAGGAGACGGGTTCTGACAAATGATGTATAGCCTATCGAACCGTACCAATGAATGGGTCCGTATCATCGGCATGGTCGTGGCTTCGGAGACCAACCGTGTGCCTACCGTGGGATCGGGTCACGGGGACCAGCCAAAGACTATCGTCTTAAACGACGAATGGCTTCAGTAGGCCAATCGGGGTGTTATCGGCCGGCAGGTGGACGGCGCGGCTATGGTAGCCATTCTATTTCTCACTCATCTTCAAGTCATCCCGCGTGATGGTGTAACTAAAAAGCCACCAACTCGCGCATCTTGCTCGGTTACATGAGGCTCGAAGCGTGTAAAGCAGCCAATCACCGAAGGAGACACTCCCTAGGTTACCATGAGCCGCATCGTTGACTACCGGTGTTACCATATATGATCCTCATGGGTCGCTTATTTTCGTTCGCTTTCGCTTATGTGGTTACATGGAGTTTAGATTTATAGTCTTGTTAGAATTGTTTGCGGCTGAGGTCTCCGCCGCAGAACTTGATATTCCCATTGTCCACCCAACGCCGAATGCACTACGTATAACCAAAAGACTACCAAGTCTATTCGTACTACCTACGTATTCAAATTAAGTGACACTATACCTAATATCCTATCTTGCGATTGTGAGCTTGAGCTGACTTTCTTGGCCACGAGACGCCTAATCCGTGTACAACTTTCGAGTATAGCCGGATCTGCGCCAACAAGTATGCCTAACTCCTCAAGAAATATACTGCGAGTGGACATGGCGAAGATCGTGGCGTGCTTAGTGAATCGCCATTCCGCAAGTTACGAAATATATGCACGCTTTGTACCGGTCTCGCCCTCGAGGGTATGCTATGATGACTTGGGTTTTCTTGACACTAAGAGATCGTCTAGGAGAGGCCTAGTCGCGAGCCGTAAATAATAACGGCGCAGGACTGACTCTACGTCGCAAGTTTAGTCCCTGGGTGTATGGAGCTTATGGTGGAGAGGACCACAGATGACAACATGGTGGTCTGCTCCTTAGTATGGCAAACAGGGTAGGCTATTTTATCCTCACAGGACTATTCACGAGAGCTTCTTTCGGTACGGTTGCTGAGCAGTGGGATCATGAGAAATCCGTTGCGGTGCGTCCCGACCCGTCATCTAACCTACATCCTTTGCTTCCTTTCGCCGTGCCCCTATTCCTCCTCTACCAGGAAATACGCTCGCTGTAAGTCAGGAGAAAACTATAAAATGGCCACCTGGAAGCACATTTCAGTACAGCTTCTCTCGTCACCATCACGGCGATTTCAACTCCAAGACACAGAAGCATCAAACGTGGCTATTTTGCAAAAATCACGCGGAGATTTCAAAGATATCACACTTTACTATGTCAGTTCCCCCTGGCCTTAGCCTAGGACCAATATCGGTCCTATCGTCAAAGAATAACGACAAGGAGATATTCTACCGTGCCAAATTCAACTCGGCAGCGTACTATATGGAACTTCCCGGGAAGATATCATTCCCAGATCCGCCGCGTCCCCCAACTCCAGGGCCGCCTCGGCCACCCCCAATCCCTCCCCGTCCACCGGTACCGACACCGCCACCCAGTCCACATTCTTCAGTAGAGAAGGAGTGGCTACAGAGACTCGTGGCAGAGAATATCTCTATCCTTGCCGTTCGGATGATGAATGTCTGGTTCGCCGCACGCGAGCCGGTTTCATTTCCCCACCCCCCTCGCCCACCTACTCCAGGCCCTAGGTCAGTATCAATGATCCTTTTTTTAACCTCCCGGAGTGTGGTCACTATGAAACATGCCTGTGGCAGTACGCACCTCTAGAGAACTTCTACTCTCTCGCCGGGGGTTATCAAATTAAGTGAATCATAGCTAACTGTGCATACCATATCAGACCAGGACCGATCCGCCCCCAGCCTGATGTGCCTACGCCACCGCCTAGTCCACGCAGGTCCGTAGGGAGCGTAGACTATGAAGTAGTGGGCCAGGAAAAAGACAATCTCGAAACCGGTGGTCTTGACATGATTCTATCGAGACGGCTATTCTATGAATATCTGGCCCGCAAGCTCGATATCTTATACACACCAGAAACCCCAGCATGTGACCCCTGCGAAGGGAAAGGTATGAATACGCTGAAAACAAAATACGAAGATAAGCTTACCCATGATCCAGATCGGGATGAAACGAGACTGCATACTCTCATATATGTCCCAACGAGCGTATCAAGTCCCCACATGTCTCATCTCAATTCCTACAGAGAGAGCGGGCCGGATTCTCCAATCCAAGCACTACGCGCCAGGACCGGAACTGTTAGGCACTTCCCAAACCCTTCCAGCCTGTCAGGTATAGGAGAGCCTGGAAGGACTTCCAATGATTTGGCTGTCACCATTCATGGCTCACCTGCAGTTTCGGGCATATACTCTCGGCCGACGTCATCAATGATAACGGCCGTATAAGCACGCTTCGCTTCACCACCAGCCTCGCAAGCCTAGCCGGCGGATACTTGACCAACGTCGTCGACAGGGCTTCTTCGACACATGCAATTTAGCATGCAGCAGTGCAACGCTGACGCGCAGGTTGCACGGCATAGGGCAGTGTCCCTAGGGCTGGTATCTTGCGAATTACGATTCGACGATTTAATCTTTCTTTATACCTTTCCTCCCCCCTCTCCCCTCTCCCCTCTCCCCTCTATTAGATTCCATGGTATTATTTCTGTTTCTGTTTCATCTGTCCACTTTCGTTTATTAACATGGGGTTCGTCATCATCCAGCTGGCGTGGCGGATTTCCCCTCTTTTCTTTTTCTTTTTTTTTTTTTTGCTTTTTATTTTTATTTTTATTTTCTTTCGTTTCTCTAGATTTCCTTTTTTTCGCTAAACGGCAAAGTATCATTGGTTGTTATAGAATAGACTTACTAGATCGAGCAGCATCCTTCCTCGCGGAAGAACCCCCCCTATTCTTGGGTGGGGACTGGCAAAGCGGAAAACGGTGTCATTGGTATTCCTTGGTAGTGTACGATGGATCGTATTCCTCTTGAATTTCGGCAATTATGAAGACTCTCTTTTTTTTTGGTTCTATCATCATTTACGACATTCGACCGCCATACTTGCGTAAGACGCATACAGAATAGCCAGGGGTTCAAATTTACAATAGGGCTGCAAGGTCAGAGGCATCCAGGTCAGGGGATGTACAATATCACTCGCTCTCGCTTATTCGTTTATTCTCGTTTTGTTTTGTCTGCATGGGTCCGTGGGGGCTGTCGATCTTTTTAGCCATGATGAAGAAAATCGAACCAATCGTTCGTCTTATAGATGTTATACACGCAATAGATAGATCTGAATAAGACTTCCGTATCTATAAACATAGGTTACACATCAACTTGTCAATACGACTTGTCAATATGCATTCCTTCTCGTCCTATGTTCGATAGCTTTTACTAGAAGTAGCAGAAACACCGGCAATGCCCTCTCGGTCTTCGGTCCCGCCCTCACTCCGAAAAGGTGAATGAGTCTACATTTAACTACATTTAACTCCATTTAGCTGTCATCTAAATTACCTCTTCCCCTCTACGCCTCCCTTCCACTGCCACCTGTCACTTGTCATTGTGGGTCTTTATAAGTCGTCGTTAATATGAAACTCTGACGTACTGCTCAGTTGCTATTTACTATTTGCTAATTGCTATTTGCTATTTGCTATTTTCTATTTGCTATTTACAGTCTCGAGGGAAGCTTGACATACCATACCCACGTCTAAATCAATCGGATCAACTCCACATGATATCAACATTATCATCATGATAAATCTCCGGCCCCAGATCCAACTAATTGCCGTAGGCAGACCCGTGCACCTTGCCCCCATGCTACCATGTCAGCCTCTTCTAGTGTAAAGCTTGACTTTGCTGATCACTACATCTACATACTCATAATCCTATACGCTTATCATGCTTTAACCCCGGTTATCTCTATGCGCATCCGATACGATATTACGAGACAGACAGTTCTAATACCAGACAGCCTCGTTATATATAAGATCAGCGCCTCTTAGTTGTCGGATTATGTCGTGTTTCTATATCGAGCCCTAATACCGCCATTGACGTTCCACGGTAATGACGTCTCTCTTGTCCCCGAACGCTATCGGAGATAAGGTATAGCTGGTCATATATAGGTATTCCACCATCGGGGATAATGCCAAGCTACTGGCACAATCTGCGCCTCGTTGGATGTTCTCTGAATACAAATCGCTGTTTCAGGACCCACTGGCGTTATCTAGGTCTCAGTATACTCGACGACTACGGCTAGGCTCTCATTACGTGCAGCCAGGCGAAGGACGGAATGAAGGACATGTGCCGGCTCCTTCATTAAACTCAGATGGCTATCCATCTACCCGTAACTTACCTTACAATCGACTATTAGGTAGCTGGCGACTTCTCAAACACTTACCGTGGCAGGTCTTGTAGATAATTACGGGAACTAGATGGGTATCCCATTTTAGCACCGCTGACGGGAGCCAATCGGGGGTGCTATCGACGACTTCAACTCCATACCGCTGCGTGGACGCCATCTCCTAGCCTCCAAAGCTTAGTACGCCATTTGGCGTTTCCCGGCTATCAGGTCATATTATCTATACACGGCTTTTAGTACCAACTTTCGAGGCTTTCTATTTTTGGCTGCCTTCAACGCCAAGGTAAGAAGATGATCCGCGCTGATATTCGTAATGATATATTGCCCCGTAGTAGGACTCGCGGTTGTTATTCGAGCATCTTTAAAGCAGCTTAAATTACTGTATATACACCCGAAATTTACTTCTAAACTAGTGTTGTTTCTATTTGCGACCACCACCATGTAATCCTGCAATCCTAGCCACACGTATTAAGTAGGTAGGCATCATAGTTGCCTATCTAAATAAATTAGTTATAAAGAATCGAAGAAGATACCATGGTGAGATGATACTAGCAGATACTATTATATTTAACTATGTGCATGACACATAGGAAATGGCGAAGAGGCGTGGCTTTTTTTTATATACGATTATCTCTATCAACATCCCTAGTAATGATCCACATCTTATCTTCTGTGAATGGAGACACTGTCATGATTCTAGACGATAATCTAGAGAAGAGGATACTTCTAATATTTATAGCCATGAGCTCTCATAGGCTAGATTAAAGGTCCTTGCGGAACAACGAGGTTTTTTTGACGTCTTCTATGCCCACCTCGTAATACAGAGTGAGTATAACAGTTCATTACCAAATATAACTTCACAAGAGGTTACCCCCCGGGTAACATAAAAAGCCAGTGACAACGTAAAATACTTACATATATAAACGTATATATAAAACCAAAACCAAAATATAAATAAAAATAAAAAATATAATCATATAAAGCAAAAAAATATTCGCATAAAATAACAAGGCATGTGTTTTAAATAGGAAATTTTTACTCGCATTTAACACAATATCCCAAGGTAAACCTTAGGCATATAATGAAATTGAGAAGAACTTCAGATCTATGCTACTCTATTATAATAGAATTAAACCTATGGGTGGAGACCATCATAGCAAGCTAAAGCTTCAATGAAGTTAACTCTTAACTTAACTTTGCTATTCAGGTTAATAGCAATTTACCATCAAAATCAGAGGATTTATTGTCACTGTCTAATTGAAGTATATACTAGCGGTAGGTTTAGCCGGGGGGTTAAGAGCTTTTTTAATTGTTACCGTATAAGTATACCACCCCCATAAGACTATTCAAGATAAGGTCACCGGGATAGTAACTAATTTCTATAACGGCGCGATGTATAAATGTCTTTTCTTCTTTTCTTTTTACGAAGGTATCTTATGGGAGTATATTTCACAGAACGACGGCAGAACATTGGTTAATTGATGGTGACCGAATATTATAGATTTAGTAGTAATGTAATTTTCACATTCTGTCCTTGAAGTTGTTCGTTCCTTTTGCTAGCATCAAAAGGCGATATTGGATTGGAATTGCTGCTGTCAAAGTCGAGGACGTAAGTTTTATACGATATAAAGAGAAAATAATAGTTTAAACCAATAACTAGGTCAAAATACGATCCTGCGAATCACATCTATCACGTATTAAGTGTGCTTATTCATGTGGTGCCTAGATTTAGTTGGAATATAGTAGGTTGTATTAAAAGGAGTAAAAAGAACGAGTGTAACGAGCTTGAGTAGGTAGATCGCTTATATAAACGCTCAGCTGATTACTAAGCGGGGGGAGCGCTAGTGCGCTCCCCACACCGTGACAACATCTTAAACAGCAGTTCGATTCTTCTCATTAAGTGCTAGAGTTTAAAGATCGATATTGATACAGATGACTATAATGTTATTGTTACATACCTAGGTACCTGTTTAATGACGTTTGTTTGAAGAGGGTTATTTATTACATAATGGTTAAGTTAGGAGGTGCTTAACCTAGATCTTAATGCGCATGCGCTAGATGATCTTGGATTGAACCTTAATTTTGCTAGATAACTTTAGATAAGTTCCCGTTTCCTAAATTTAGTTGTGTTTACGGATCCGTATGATCTACATACCTAACCTTGCCAATTTTCTACTTGACGTAATTATCTAATTCGTCTCTTCGTACTTTAGGTGAATCAAATCCTTATTTTCCACGGAGTTCTTACCAATACGGTTTAAGATAAGCGATAAGAGGGCTCGATAGGTACCTAACCTAAGAATGCTAAGGATGTGAATTAGGTACTGCTATTCGATTTCAAGGCTTGAATTCGGGTAAGTGCATGTTAGCACGGTACTACGTATACAAGTCTGGCGATCAATAATTTATCAGCTGGGCGGTGCCATCGACGAAGGCGTCAATACTCAGCGGAATTCGTTCGTTCACTCCGTAACCTATCGATAGCTAGAATGTAACCATGCATCCAACATCCAACATTAGCCAGCCACATGCACCAGATTATTTAGAGCCTTCATTAATCGTATCCCAATGCATGCAGAAGCATATCCGCTTCCCTTTGGAGTCTAGCCTCGCTATTATTAACCGTGTCATCACCGGTACAATGGTAAAGGCCGACACGATAAACACCGTCTCGGGTTCTCGTAACGCGCCACTTTCAATATTGGGGATTTGGGGATTTAGGGATTTGGGGATTTGGCTCCCCTAGGTGATAAATGTTTTAGCAGGTAACTTTTGTAAGCTAGCATCCGCCCTCTCCCACTTTTGTCAACTGCACCCTCCCTTAGCAACTCTATAGGTAAGACCCTCCGCTACTAACTTTAAGCCTTGGGTAGTAGGTACCGTGTAGAGCTTCAAGGGGGGAAAGTGCACTTTATTGGCTGTTGCTGATGAAGGGGATACACCTGCATTTCTAGACGTGCCCATACGGAATATGAAATATATATTACGAACAACCTAATGTAGTAGCGCCTACCTATTGCTTACATCTAGGCGTACATAGATAGGAACACAATGACCGTCTGAGATAAGGTACAGCTCGTACGTATAGTATACTTAACTTAATATATGTTGTATCATGTAACTATACTTTGTGTTCTGTTCTCTCATAAATAGCCTCCTACCAGCATTCAAGAATATATTTGGCCCCAACCCCAGTCTACCTCCTCTCGCTATTATATCATTCACTCATTTTCAGCTTCAGTTTTCTTTTGCTCTCAAGTCCATATTCAATATCACTTGCTATTTCAAAACAGCGCGGAGTAAAATGGAACAACAGCAAGCGGGTAGTTCTTCTTCTAACCCAACAACATTACCTACACCTAGTACTGATAGGAGTCCCTCGAGAGATGATATAGGAGGCTCCCAACATTCACGTCGGGTAGAACCTACAAACCCTCTCGCGTCGCCGTCAGTCTCACGCCCGGCATCTAGTGAGAGCTCTGGTGTTATTACTAGGCGACCAGCTGCGCCACGGTATTTTCACTCGCGAAGGATTAAAAAAGGAGAAGAAGTAGAGAAGCCCTGGCTCAAAAAAAGGGACCACAGGGAGAAATGGGTCACTATTCTTCCTATTACGGGGTTCTTAGTGGGTTTGGGCATATCTGCTTTTCTGGTATGGGACGGGCTACGATCCGTCGCCAAGCATAATTACTGCTTAGTACTTGAAGATAATTTCGCGAACTTCAACGATAACGTATGGACAAAAGAGGTCCAGGTCGGTGGCTTTGGGTAAGGCAAAACTTACCTTGTTGTCATGTTTTTGTTGAAACTGACAGCTTATATGTAGCAACGGCGAATTCGAACAGACTACCGGAGATGATGAGAATGTCTATGTAAACAGTGGTCATCTCTTCATCAAGCCGACCCTTCAAGATGCAAACCTAATCAACAAAGATTCTCTAATCAACCTCTTGGAAGATGGAACCTGTACTTCCAAGAAGCCATCTGATTGCATAGCTGCGACTAATACCACTGCCGGGAATGCAACCATCGTCCCTCCTGTTAAATCTGGCCGTATTCATACCAAGAAAGGCGCAACAATCAAATACGGCCGCGTCGAAGTTACCGCTAAACTTCCCCAGGGAGATTGGCTCTGGCCGGCCATCTGGATGATGCCCGTTAACGATACATACGGGCCTTGGCCAGCCAGCGGCGAGATCGATATTATGGAGAGCCGGGGGAACAACTGGACATACGCTCAAGGCGGCAATGATATCGTGTCGTCGGCTCTGCACTGGGGGCCAGATCCTAACAACGACGCGTGGTGGAAGACTAACGTAAAGCGCAAGGCTTTGCATACAACATACTCTTCCGGTTTCAATACTTTCGGCGTCGAGTGGTCCCAGAAATACCTCTTCACCTATGTCAACTCCCGCCTCCTGCAGGTCCTCTACACCAACTTTGATGAACCGCTCTGGACACGTGGTGGTTTCCCTGAGGCCTCCAGCAACGGTTCACGTCTAGTGGATACCTGGTCGCGCACGGGACGTTTCAGCACCCCTTTTGACCAGAAATTCTACCTGATATTGAACGTTGCCGTTGGTGGCACTAACGGTTGGTTCGAGGATGCACAGAGCGGTAAGCCGTGGATTGACAACAATCCCAACACCAAGAAGGACTTTTGGAACGCGCAGAATTCGTGGTTACCAACTTGGATCAGTCCGGCAATGGAAGTAAGCAAGGTTATCATGTGGCAACAGTGCGACGGGAATGAGGAGTTGTAATTGGGTAAATCTCCGTAGTTGTTCAGGTTTCTAAGTAGGAGAGGGCTTGGAAAGATAAGCACACCCGACATTTCTTAGCCTTACAGATACATTATAATATTCATAATATTCATGTAGCGACGACCTCGATGTCACAAAGCATTAGATTAGTCTACTAAAGTTTTTAATGACGACTTTGCGATTACAGATGCTTTGTCTAGGTACTTAATAATGCTTTCGTAGTCATATCAAGCTACACCTTAGGTAGCTTCTAAGAATTTACCTGGTCTACGATAGATCTTGAAATTTACGACAGGTACCTTTGTAAGTGCAATACATGCTTAGGTAGTTGATCGGCACGAACCCCTGAACTACCACGTTGCTAAGTTAATGTCTTAGGTGCTCAAGTCTCGACTGGTCGAGGTAGATTCAGCCGCAATGTTCGAACATGCGTCTAGAACAACCTATTCCCCTGTATACCCGAATACTATAAATTCGCAAGCGTATCTTACTAGCGTTTACTAGGAGATGAGATGAGTTTAAATTTTGCCTTGGAGGTTGGTTTGATAGCTACATGTAGAACTTCATTCCGATTCCAAAATACTTACCTATTTACCTACCTTAGGTACCTACCTACCTAGGTAGGTATTTGATACCTACTACATACACAGGCAGTTAAGCCTTTGGAGAGTATAGGTATAGATAAACCAACAGGAGTCGACAGGGCTTGCTGCGGTGTAACGCTCCAAACTCCAGCGGTAATCAATAGTTCGATACCTTAAATACCCGGATTACCGAGATAAAAAACGATCCTCGCTAAGATTTATTATCTTCGATTGATAAGAATCGACTTTTAAGATCGAAATCATGTTAGATATTAGTTTGCCACTTTCTATCACTTTGCTAGATATAGCGATCTATACGCTTCGAAGTGCGCAATAATTAGAGAACATAGGTAGGTAAGCAATATCATTTGAAGTGTATCGCTAATATGATCTATCAGAAGAATGATTTTTTATTTTTTCGTATATGCGTCATAGATAATCCCAAAGCAGCTATCACGAACCAGCCTACCTCTGTTTCCAGAAGTTATCCGCTTACCGCTCGCTAGGCGCTATGGCTTTAGGTATGGCACAAACTAATAGTTCGAACCGCTGTGGCTATCTACCAAGCCATCTTGATGTAACCCACGCGACATGAATCGGACCGCAGCTTACATCTTTGCTGCGTATCTATGTCGTAGATAGGTAAGATACTTGGGTGCGCTCGCCTATTAGAGGAACCGTTCTTGAAAAGTCCGTATGCAGTTTGCGCCGAGAATACGAGAAATATGACAACACTTGCAGTATGCATGGGTCTCGGCTGTGCGCCAATCATATCACGTCTTTTCACTATTAAACCGTATCGTAGCCATCATGACAACGTGCCTCATCACACAGCAGTCATATACATCGGCCCATCCGGCTCGATTTGGAAGAAACTAGAGCTTGGATTCGCCTCCCTATTGGAAAATGCGCCTCTATGCCCGTAGGGTCGGTGCATTTATATCTGCCAGAGCTGCATAGGTATACCCGGTATACCAGCCCCAAGGGCCCAGACTCTCGATCCAGCTCAGCACCGATATATTGCCTCGCACGGCGGCTTTGGTTTGGCTTGCCTAGATCCCCTCTGTTCTTGCTAGGTAAGCAATATCCGCCACCTCGCATTGTCTCCCCAACATTATCCGAATGGAGTTCCTCCCAGGGCATCGGTGCTTTCGAGCTTCGCGTGGTACATGTGTTGTAGTTGCCAAAGCCTCGGCCCGAAGGTGTCTGTATTCGCTATAGGCGTAGTCGATAGTTCATTCAATGGTTGTTATCTATATACCTAACCACTTACGTACCTAATATCTTGGAAGAACGAGCCGAGAAGATACTGTAGTAGGTACCGCTAACTCTTAGGTACTATGTACGTAGCATTAGAAAGGGCCCATGGCTATCAGGAAGTAGCATCAGGAAGTAGCATCAGAAAACTGCAGTCAGCTACGGTCCTATGTAACTCTTCATACGAATCTCGGTTGCAATGCACTTTGATAGGGGTTTGAGTATAATAATTGGGAAGTCTAGTTGCCTCTTTACCTGTCCATCACCACGGCCGAGTAGGATTAAGTGGCACTGAAAAGCCATCCATACATCCATTTCCTTGGCTTCTAGAATCATTGGGCCTCTATTTCCGTCGTCTGCTGTTATTTGCGGCTGAAATTACCTAGCTCAAATCGTTGTTGATCCAGCAGCTATTGATTATATGCAAGTACTTACTTACTCGAGTCTATCTTTAAATTATACCTACCCGAGCGGCTTGTGACTACACATCGGGCAGTCTCGAAGCAACCTGATACTCTAACCTATCTTGCTTGGACCGTAAGCCACTTCATACTATTTAAGTCGCACCAACAAGTAGACTTCTCGCTAGTGTCTTATCTAAGGTTGTCTCTCAAAGGTTCCGAGTGAAGGTTTGCGCCGACTCAAATATCTTCATTTGCCTTCTTACCTTCTTGCCTTTACGTTCTTTTCTTGTTTCCCATGCTACGCTCCGACATTTGATCGTCTCTCGGAAGCCTGTCACTTAGCCTCCATACAGAGGCCCAACCGTAGTGGGATGCTGCCACATTATCTGGATAGTGTAGATTACACGTGTGGCTGTTGAATCTCAGCTTGGCAGCTTCACGAGCATAGCTGCTTAAATTATTTACTATTGTAAGTTCCTCATGCTTCGTCGCTGTTGCAGTCGAGCTTCTTCTCACGCCGGGGTTTTAACTTGAATGGCTTTCGCAGCATAACTATGCTACGGTTGCTATTAAGTATCATCCTTTCTATTCCTCTTACTGACTACCGAGATGCTAACCTGCTCGTCCCTCGGCCCACAGACGCTCATTTTTTCTTATCAAGACTGTGTAATCAGCTTGATTCTGAGAAGGTAGCCCGCGCAATCGGTCTCCTTTTCGTTCGTTTGGTTCAATAGTTAGGCCCCGTGTCGATAAAATAAATCGCAACATGGGCTTGTCTAGCTATTTTAAGGCCAAACGGCCGATAGACAAAAGAAAGAAAGGACCATCTCACTTACCGAGTAGGGGGCTTCTAACAGAGAGGGCCCTTACGGGGCTGATAAATCTGAATGATTTCACCGCTCCTAATGCGCCATCGGATTTTGACTCGTCAAGAAATTCGATTTCCGGGCGCTCTACGCGATCTACGACGGGCTCGGTTTTTTTGGACGGTATAAAGCACGAGGTGATGGTAAATTTTCTATATCAACAACAGTGTTCGCATGTATGGGTTGGCGATGGGAGTGGAGACTTGGAGGGAGTTCTCCTCCGTAAGTCCAGGGGGTTATACATGACTTGTCCATCTTCGTTAACGAATTCGACTATCGCGATGGCTTGCGCCACTCTTAACGTCGAGGTAACGCCCTATTCCCGACCTCTGATTTAAGGCTCTTCTTGCTAAATCATTTATAGTGCGCCATGACTGTTAACTCTAGGGTTATCAAGACATTCCTCTCGTGGTCTCCCGGTGCTACGGATGTGCCGTTGATGAACGGCCTTCGAATTCAAATCATGCCATCAGTTGACGAGCTATCAAGAGCAAGAAAGCACCAGTTTGCAGCTTTCTTAGCGGCAGAATCGTTGCTAGTCGTCTGGGACGATGATCCGTTACATCTCGTTCCCCGAGCTCAAGCCATCGAGTCGGAGTTGATGGAGTTAATCTGGCAACGTAGCGAGATTAGCGACGATGAAGGAGAGAAAAATCCAGAGTATTTTTCCGGAGAAGTCGAACTAGACGAGGAGAGCGGCCAAATCGAGCCCGAAAAGAGACCGGTACACCTATTGAACACGTATCTCGTTTCTATCGTCATAATACTCATTACTATGTCCCTGGGCGCGGCCTGGAGACAGCTTGCTATTGAAGTTTCGGTCGACGACAGCTTCGCACGGTTAGGTCTAGTAGTCCTATTACCGATTCAGGTTTTCTTCTCCTTATTCTTCGCCCAAGTCCTCGTCGGATGCATAGCCCAGATGTTCGGGCCTGTCCGCCAGCTTACAATCAACTCCAAATACTATTCCGCCCGGCCGCCTCCTAGGCTGGCAACTGTAACTTTACCACATGTTGTAAGTGTATATCCTTATGGAAGTGTTGCTGTTTCTAGGTAACAACACCATATGATCGCCCCTGTTGGATGCTGTTTTAGCCCAGCATGAGGTTGAGGTGCCCTTCTGGATGTATCGATGCTAACGTCTTAATTTGATATCCACGATAGACCATACAATGTCCAATCTATAAAGAAGGCCTCGCAGCTGTCATTCAACCCACCGTTAGGTCTGTACAGCGTGCTATTAGCACATACGAGCTGCAAGGTGGCTCTGCAAACATGTTTATCAACGACGACGGTCTACAGCTTATCCCCGAGGAGGACCGAATAGCTCGTATAGACTTCTACGCCAGCCATAGTATAGGCTGGGTTGCCCGTCCTAAACACGGCGAAAACGGCTTCCTGCGCCGCGGCAAGTTTAAGAAAGCATCTAATATGAATTTCGGACTGATGATCACTTGCAAAGTGGAGGATAAGTTAGCACTGTATAACCGCGGCCCCGAATGGTCACAGATAGACGAGGCTTTTGCCTACGAGCAAGCATTGAAAGAGGTTCTCGAAGAGGACGGCAGGGCTTGGGCTGATGGCAACATTCGTGTCGGCGACTATATTCTTCTTAGTATGTTCCCCTATCCCGACCGTTTTAGAATGCTGGCATCGGCCTAACAATACTAACTATAACGCCAGTCGACTCCGATACACGTGTTCCATCCGATTGTCTTCTGGATGCAGTTTCAGAGATGGAGCAGTCTCTCGACATCGGCATCATGCAGTTCTCTTCCGGTGTTATGCAGGTCGTCCACACATACTTTGAGAACGGCATTACATTCTTCACAAATCTCATATACAGCGCCATTAGGTACACAGTCGCCAACGGCGACGTTGCTCCCTTCGTCGGCCATAACGCTGTGCTACGATGGAGTGCGATTCAGCAGGTTTCATACAAAGACCAAGATGGGTACGAGAAGTTCTGGTCCGAATCGCACGTCTCTGAAGACTTTGACATGTCCCTTCGCCTACAGTGCCGCGGGTATATTATTCGCCTTGCCGCATGGGCTGGAGAGGGCTTCAAAGAAGGCGTTTCTCTGACCGTTTATGACGAGTTAGCCCGATGGGAGAAGTATGCATACGGCTGCAACGAACTGCTCTTCCATCCTATTCGGCAGTGGATTTGGAAGGGTCCCTTCACGCCTCTGTTTCGCCAATTCCTTTGTTCCAACGTCCGCTTGACATCCAAGATCACGATCATCTCATACATCGGTACGTATTATGCTATAGGCGCAGCATGGATCATGACTTCGGTTAACTATTTCATCATGGGTTGGTTTAACGGGTACCTGGACAAGTATTATATCGACTCTTGGAAAGTCTGGTTCTCTATCATTATCGTCTTCAACGGCCTCGGCAATATAGGTCTAGCCATGATGCGATATCGCGTGGGAGAAAGGTCACTTGCGTATGCCCTGTATGAAAACTTCAAGTGGACGTCCCTTCTAGCCATCTTTCTAGGAGGCTTGTCTCTCCATATAAGCCAGGCGTTATTGTGTCACATGTTCGAAATCGACATGAGCTGGGGCGCGACGTCGAAAGAGGCCGAGTTCTCAAACTTCTTCATTGAGGTTCCGAGGGTCATAAAGAGATTTAAATTCTCCATGATCTTCTCGCTACTCTTCCTCGTGGGAATGGTCATCATAGCCGTCGCGCCATTCATTCCGAGCGACTGGCGTATTACAGATTTTGTCGCTATCTTACCCATGGCGACCGTCGCAAGCAGTCACTTTCTTTTGCCTCTCGCGCTCAACCCTGCGCTCATGACTTTTTCGTGGTAACTGGTCATGATGTATATATGTATATATATTTAATTCTCGTTATAATTATTAATCTTATAATTTTATTCTTCTTGAAAAAAAAACGAAATTAGTAAAAAACAAGCTTGGAGTTATTTGTATTCTGAAGCTGTCCAAGGGCCTTGGCGTGCTAGTGATTTCGAATACTAGGTATTATTCGGTTAGACGGGATCTGGGCAACAAGAGGTAATAAATAGTGTAACTAACAATAACACGCAAAGCTAAGGCGGGTATTTCTTGTAGGTTTGCATGAGCGTGTTTGTTTCATTGAAGCACCGGAGATACTTACGTAATGTACATATGCACGTGAGGTACTTAGGTACGCATGAACAAACAATAAGCCAGACGATCTATTGGTGTAAATCCAATACCGCTAACTGTACGTAGCCGAAGGGATACATGTATCTAAGTATTTAATTGATATTGCTGAGACATCGGGTAGGTAGCGTTACTTATTATCCGGTATATAATTCTACCTGTGAGGGAGGTACATGTACTTACGTCATCTGTCAGAGGTTAAATGAAATTACCGGGAAGTCTACCTCTTAGGCGCTTTAGAAGTACCTAGGACAACCCATACGTAAGCCTTATAACCTATAATCGGGCTGTACTTATATACACTGTCTAACAGACAACAGTCACCAGTCGCCAGTCGTCATTCACTGTTCCTAAGCCTACAGTATCGAGTCCTTCTGAACGAATAGAACAAAGGAAAAGGAGCATATGTACTGTACTATTATATTAGATCAGACTGATATTAGATATTTTATCACCCGGCGCTACAAGCCGACCGCCTCGATTAGCTTAATCAATGCGGATCAACTAATCCTTAATAAGTATAGCATCGAACGGAGCCCGTTGCAGATCGGCAAAGACCCCTGGCCCCTTGCTACCTTAGCTAACATTTTACACGTGGGTCCGGGTTGCTTCGCTGCTCGGCTAGCCGCCTTAGCTTCAATTCATGGCTTTAATTGATCTTGACTGGTCAGCTAAGCCCCCTTTTCCTAACTTTCAAATTACGTAGGTACCTAGGTACACCGGGTATTCCCTTTCGACCTTTCGACCTTTCACGGCACGTCGCGTCCTCATGGAAATAAAGGAGGACAGGATGGGGGCGGGATGAATAAGGGGCTTTGTATGCTTTTTTTTTTTTTTTTATTATCGTTCATCCGTTCATTCACTTATCCAACTCAACCTCTTGTCACTCATTAATGCTTATCAATGCTTGCTGGAAGTCTTGCTAATACCAATTGTCCACCTAATTGTCTAAAATTACGCATCTAACACTCCTTCATCACTCCTCGGTTGACCACTTGAAACACAACACCTACGATCCTTACTTCTTACCTACCTAATTCGTATATAACTTATATAACTAACCTATATCATCTTTGCTATCTAATCTCTAACTCGAGCAATTCAACACTTTGGCGACGTTGTCTCCTAACGTACAAGTGCCTGCTTACGAGCTATCATCTCCGCTTCGACTCTAGAAATCGGTCTACTTACCACTGGAGACTATGCGGTCGGCGAGATAGTTCCGTAGCAGGTTCCAGCAGTTTATAGAATTATCTACTCACTCACGACCCCTTGGCTGGTATAACGGGGTTACCACATTCGCTTTGCACCATACAGTACTACCTTCTACGAGGTAGCTGACTTATTCGAATATATTGCTTCACTGCTTAATTATCACGACCCGAGGCCGAGCCCTCGACCATCTATCACGATGCCGGCTAAATCAAATTTGATGCTAGCCGCCGCGCTATTCTCTTCCGTGTTCGTATCTCCTGTCGCCGCTCAGCTATACACCGATTGCAATCCCTTGAATCAGACCTGCCCGCCAGACCCGGCTCTCGGGACAATGCATATGTTCAACTTCAATGCTACGCCACCGGAACATACGTTCAATTTGACTGCCGGAACTGTCGAGTACAACGCTGATACAGGGGGTGCCTTCACAATGCGCAAGAGAGGCGAATCGGTAACCCTGACCTCGAATTTCTATTTCTTCTTTGGAAAAACAGAAGTGTTCTTAAAAGCAGCATCCGGTACCGGTGTGATCAGCTCCATTGTTTGGTCTTCCGATGTTCTCGACGAGGTTGATTGGGAATTCAAGGGAGGGAATGCAACCCATGCGTTTTCTAACTACTTTGGAAAAGGAGTACCAGACTGGAAAAACGGAGGAGATCATCCCGTCGAAGGCGGGGTGTTGGACGATTATCACAACTATACTTGCGTGTGGACGAAGGAAAAACTAGAGTGGTGGCTAGACGGCGGGCTCATCCGTACGCTGTTACCCAAGGATGCCAATAACACATTCTACTACCCCCAAACGCCGATGAAGCTCAGTATCGGTATCTGGGCCGGTGGTGATCCGGACGCGCCAAAGGGAACTATTGAATGGGCTGGTGGAGTTACAGATTACTCTGAACCGCACACGATGTACGTGAAGAGTGCTTTTGTCGAAGACTACTCTTCCGGCAAAGAGTATTCCTACGGCGACCGTAGTGGGTCTTGGGAGAGTATTAAGATTGTGAGGTAGGTCTATTCTCTAGGCGGGAATATGTCCTTGTGTGTCACGACTGGTTTAGACTAACTTTGCACAATTTAGCGGCAACTCCACGGCGTTTGAGAATATCAACAAGGAACCAGAGAAGTCACTTTCTGATAAATGGAATGAGCTTCCTTCCGGCACCAAATCTGGCGTTTATGCCGCTGCAGGTGGAGTTGGCGCCATTCTTTTGGTTGCTTTGATCTTCTATTATTTCAAGCAGAGACGTCGTGGTCAGCAAGAGGCTGCTCTTGCGGCTCAGCGACTTGAACAAGATCGTGTAGAGCTAGAGAGGTTCAAGAAGGAAGGGAGAGATCCTGACGCGCTCGCTTTCGATGGGGCCGAGTATAATGCTAAGAGCGGAATGGCTACTACGGCCTACGGCTTGCCGGATTCGCCTCCGGGAAGCTCTGCCGGTCCACCAGAGAAAGCCTGGGATCCGACAGGCTCAAGTAGCGCTGCTGCCATGCCGCTACTTCGTGACGATACGATGAGCAATTACAGAGATAGTCCAGGTTCAGGCCCAGCTCCTCAAATTCCGGCCCCAACTTCTACATCTCCGGTCAACCGCAGTTTCTCCCCCTCCAACGCACCCGGGCAAATGGGATCTTCGGGACCCCAAGGCAACGGAAACGGGGCTTACGGAGGAGCCCGATGATAGGGCTGGATTGTAATGGCTAGATGAGGTGGACTTTCATATTTGCTATCGTTTGGTTTACAAGGGTGGGAAGCAGACTAGATAAATAAATCTAGTCGGGATAATTGCGAGGCAGTTGCGTCGAGAACTCGGACAAAAGAGTTGGGAATATGCTGTGGCAGAAGAGATGTTCCGTTTTCGGCTGGCTACGATAGGATCATGAGTGCTATTTAATCTTTCAATACCCCGATAGTTGGATATAATTGTTGGATATATTGACATCTATCTAAAATGTACACGACACGAAACATCGCACTTTTGTAATTCTAGTCGATGTTGAAACGCAATCGCCTCGATTCTAATTTAGCTAATCTACTACTAAGTTCCTATGTAGTTACTTCCACGAACGACATTAGAATACCCAGGTGCTACATGGAAGATGAATAAATAAATAAGTATCTCAGAGAATACTGAAACTTATAAGTGTTTCGAGCTCATCTATAATTTAATAATAGAGACTCGAAGATAACATGAGAAGCATGTACGAGGATATGTCCCCAATGGTTCCAGTTTGAAAGGGGTAATTGGATTATCCTACGGAGGTATGTACAAGTGATTTGCTCGTCAGATAACCAAGCCCCATCCCCTTTTACTCTGTGTTCTTCATATCCCCCTTACATGTCCACCCAGCCCAGCCTACTCTACAAACTACCTAGGTACCTACTCATCCCATCTATTTGCAAGCTTGCCAGCTGACGTGCACCTGCTGGGTAAAGGCGACCGTGGCGTCGTCGTCGGAGATTTGGCCCGAGGCGCTCGCGTTGCTCGACGTCAGCGCAATGCGGTTGTTGACGTTGAGAATTCCGGTGGCGCCGCAGGGAGACCAGATGATGGAAGCAGTCGGGATTTGGTCTTGCTTAGTGTATACCTGGCCATCAGCCCAGATCCCACCTCCGTCGATCGAGGTCCTCGTGGTGGTCTAATGTATGTGAGCGAGGTCCTAAAATCTAGGATACAGTAGCAGAGTCAGGGGTAGAATACTTACGGTAGCAGCGGCATCCTGCGAGAAGTAGTAGGTCGAGTAAAAGGTACCGGTGACGCCGGTTTCGAGCTGGGCGTATCCGTGGTAGGTAGACTCGACGATGGCGAACTGGAATCCTCCGGGGTACTTGAGGTTCAAGTGGAGCTGGCAGTTCTTGGACTTGTCCGACGGCCCGGTGCCAGGTCCGGTGTAGACCTGGAAAGCGTCAAAGCCGAAGGTGATGACCTAGATGATCGGTTAGTCGTAGAATTGGCTTTATCGAGGGAGCTGAGATTCTCGCCTTTCCGTCGGGAGAGAGGTCAGTAGTCACGGTTCCCTGGGGACACCCGTTTCCACTGGCGGAAGCGCTGACGATGCTAATCTCATCTGGCTGGGGAGTATCACTTCCGCCGATGATACCGATGGGGGTGGCCGCGGCGAGGACCGGAGTAAGTAGAGCAACGACGGATCGCATGATGATTTCTGTTTACCTAGGTAAAGGGGACTTTTATTGGGGTTTGAAACTGCGTAGGGAGAATATGCTGGATTGTGCTGATACGGAAAAGATCTACTTCGTCGTGGGATAAGGTCGTATATTTATAACCTTCCGATCATCATCCCCAGCGCACTATCGAGCTTCAACCCTGGAGCCTAGGCCGATGGTTAGAACCCGTCTTCCGACTAGCACGGAGGCAGTCCCCAGCAGCCCAAGGCGCTCTAGACAACACGATGGGAAGTCGTGAGAAATCGTAAGAAGACGCGCTGATTAATTTCGGGAATAGAATGCGAACCTAGACCTCGCGATCCATGAGCTCGACCCTAGCCATAGACCTTCCAGCCTCATCCATAAATTTACGGTTCAATTGACGGTCGTGGAAGAATAGATGAAATCAAATTAATACCAGGAAGCCTAGCTGTTATAGCTACTCCGCTGGTTCGGGACAGATTTCTTTTTATAGAAAGCATCAGCAGCAAATTCCAAACCCCTGACCTGATACCTCATACTATGTAGAAGCTAAACCAGCCACATGATGCGGGACTGAAGCAACTCGCCGTCCAACTATGTGGAATTCGATTCGAACCCGCGGGTAGGGTAAGAAATGATGGAGGCTCCAGAAACAAGATGCTGGGTATATGCAATTTAGACCGCATGGAAATCTAGGTCCGGACAGAGACATGGCTGCTGATACTATTTTGAGTCAGAGCAGGGTATCGATATATTACCTAGGCTTCATTAACTATAGCTTGAATGCATAATAAACGAGTGTAATAACGAAGTGCATTTATGTCAGACGGAAGAGCTAATACCTACCTCTACGTAATGAGTTGCTCGTAATATTGCTTACCCTTCATCTCACTAGCTGTAGGTACCTATTATAGTACCAGGGCGTCTCGACCGTAGACCCGACGATATTATGTCGAAGCATCGGACCGTCAACCGCCAGGCCTAACTCTTCTTAGGACCATCCGGATTGAAAGGATATAGCAAGAACCAACAGCGCTCGACGGATCCAAAACGGGGATCGTGACGAGCCTGGTGAATCCGGAAACATTTCAACAGCGAAAACCGGGCGACTCCGTCAGCGAGCTTTGGCTAGAACGCTCGAGTCTCGTAGGACTCTGATCGTCAGCAATGGGAAAATCTCCCTATTTGGTCTTTCAAGCCTCTTTAACCTCTTTAGCCGCGTTGGCGAGCGCCAGGGGAAAAGAGAAAAAAAAGGGGGACAAAAATGCGCGCTAAGCCCAAGACACATACATGCCGTCTACACGTGTTGTCCAAGGATGGATTGAGATGAAACGGTCCGTACTTTTCTTGTCGTAGTTCCGTCCAGCCAGCTCCGAAGTGCTGCTTCTCGCCCCGACGATGGACTGAAACTGGAAAAAGTCGTCTCGCGGGCTAGACCGTCTACTCGACGAGCAGGCTCTCGACGACGTGCTCGAGTCCGAACTTCCAGATCACGGCTCATATGGTCGTATAGACGTATTTATTGCATGATCTGGACTCTCAGCTGAAGTTGTTTCGACCACCTGACGTGATCTATGTAACGATACCGAAGACGACGTAAGAACGTTGTATGTGGTAGTGCTTCGTAGCACTCGCCATCCGTAGCACTCGCCATCAGTAGCATCCAAATTTAGAAGATCCAGTTACCGAGATGTGATTGGCGGTTAATATAATAAATCCCCCTCATGGCCTCATGGGCACGCCAGTAAGCCCCTTCATTAGCTCTTTTCGATGGTCGGAGCTGTCAATGTTGCATTTACACCCCGCTGAGGGGCTAGAAGCTATGCTATGTAGGTAGGTATCTATCTTGCGAAGTAGGTAAAGCGTACGATGTACGTCGCGCCACCAAAAGGAAACAAGAGTAAATTTGCTGTATGCTCTCGATCGAGCAAGGTAAGCCATTGTCGGTTACGAAGCTGACAATCTCTTACCTTAGGCAAATATAAATTCTTATACCATTAACCTTAAGGCAACTTTAGTTTCACGCTGCGGATCTAGTTATACATAGCACGCCTGCAGTAAGCAACCGGGAAAAGCATCGTCATCATTAGATGAGCGTGAGTATAGTATCGTTGTTGAAAAGTCTAATGCTTCAAATGCTTTATGAGCAACGCCAGATAAGTGCGACCTTACATATTTACTCATTCAAGCTTCCACCTGTTTTAATATTCCTTCTAGATTTATGCTCTTAGGCCGCTCAATGGGTAGGCCAAGAGCACGGTCCCAAATGAGTTGAGCTAGGGGCCCCAATCCCCTGCTAACACCAAATGTTGCCGTGTAATAAAGGGTCTCATGGAAGCCGTAGTGGTGGAACAAAACGCCACTGCTCGAGTCGACGTTGGGGTAGGGGTTCTTGGTCTTTCCGTGTTTAGTTAATACTTGAGGAGCGATTTCGCTATTGGCCTTGACGAGCTTGAATACAGGGTCATTAGCAATCGCAGGGCGACTGGCAGCGTAATCCATCAAAGCTTCGAAGCGGGGATCGGGCTTGCGAAGGACAGCATGCCCATAACCTGGAACGACTCGACCGCTGTTGAGTGTTGACCACAGGTAGTCGTGAACATCTTTTTCAGAGTAATTCTCCGGGATGCTTTCTTTCATCTGGATAATCCACCGTAGAACCTCCTGCGCGGCGAGTCTGTGGGGTGTCACTGATTAGGTCTCGCACAGTAGCTATATAATGATTTGAGGACTTACCCATGTAAAGGCCCGGCTAAGCCTTGGAGGCCCGCGCTGTAACTCAGGAATGGATCGCTCAGGGCGCTCCCGACGAGGTGAGTAGCGTGAGCTGAGACGTTTCCGCCTTCGTGATCTCCATGGAGGGCAAGGTATAATCTTAGTAAGTCCTGGAAGTCTTCATTCTCTTTTCCACCCTTGCCTAGCATAGAGGCAAAGTTATAAGACCAGTCCTGTTCGGGGTCAACATCGCCAGGTAATGCACCACCGTCGCGATAGGAATTCTGATATATCTTGGCCGCGATCGTAGGTAGCTTAGCGATCAGACTAATGACATCGTCAAATGTAGGCTCCCAGTAGTCGGCCTTGTTCAAGCCTTCCTCGTACGCCTTGGCGAATTTCGAAGTATAGTTCAGAGCGCTAACCGCAATGGCGAACTGAGTCATGGGGTGCAAGTCTCGAGGGAAACTATCAAGCAGCTTGTTTACGAAATCAGGAAGCCGAGCCTGCTCGGCGAGTTCACGCGACAGTTGGCGGACCTGACCAACTGACGGCACTTTGCCGGTTAAGAGGAGCCAAAACATGGCTTCCGGGAGCATTTCCGTACCCGTCCTGCCTTTGGGCAACTCCTTTTGGCAATCCTTTATCGTTCGACCGTGAAATCGAATCCCCTCGTTTGCATCCAGTACAGAGCCTTCCCAGACCATTGCCTTTAGCCCTCTGTGTCAAAGTTAGCCCTTTGAAATTAGCATATAGTGCCGGCGCTGGCAATACCTCATGCCACCAATCGTGTTCTCAACCTTGACCTCACCGATGACCTTAGATCCATGGGCCTTGACCTTCTTCAGAAGCTCCCGTTTGGCGGGGATGACTTCTTTTAGAGTCTCCTTCAAGTCGGGCTCGGACGAGGAAGAGTACGATCTAACCGTGGGGAGAACTATCGCCGGGGTGGCACGCGGCTATTTACAATCGAAGTTAGTTAAACCTAGGCGAAACATTGGACATATATTTCTATGTCTGTATATATAAAGACTCGTGTCCACTTTCCTGAGTAGCTACTTACTCTTAAGGCCCCCAGCGCTCTCGTCGTTGTTCTAATATTCATCGCCATATTCAAACGTGGCAGGAGAGGTAGTTAGAATAGAGAGAGAAAGTATAAATAGTTATATGTAATCGATCAATGTAGAAATTGTTCCGAAGTTGAATATGCTAGATTTCTAAGGCCAATTCTCTAAAACGCCAAAGCAAGTTAGAAGAAGTAAGTTGTCAATGGCAAAGACAAAATATATAAAAACACAACAACAGGACAGAAAGAAAAGCGACAAGAAAGCACGTCGGGCCTTCTCTCTTAACTCCAACCGTTGAGATAAGATGGGTACCTACTTCTAACCCTTCTAACCTGCCTATTAAGTATCGTACCTGCTGTAGCTAGGTGGGTTAGGTACCTATATATCTAGGTACTTCGTACTTCTCCAGACAGCAGCAAGGCAACCCCTCCCCCGCATAACCGAGGAAACCCGTTAGTCGACCCCATTTGCCCGCTGCCCGTTGCTGACAATTGTCCATCCTAAGACGGTGTAGAATATAGGATGGCTAGGATGCACGTAGGGTAACGGTGTACAAATGTACCTAACATGTAAGCAGCCAACATGTAACCACATGTAGATAACCGACCTCGAATCCCTAGGATCAACCAACCACTTGATGGTTCCTTAATTCTTGAATCTGGGATAACCGATATCTCGGCTCGGGGCCTTGCGGGTATATCCTTTGTAGAGTCTGCTCGTAGAAAGAACATTAAAATAATGTAATTGGCTAGTAAAATAATAGATTTTACTCCTTTAAGTTAGTGTACATATCCTTACATGCAGATATACTAGGTACATGTACCTGGATAGATTATTTTGATGACCTCACCTGAAGCAAACCAAACAATTAGAAGCCGCGGCTTACCGTCAGGGACCTTTAGGAGCTAGCCACTTGTATCAGATACATGGCTGGGTTACCTAACGACAGGTTTATATGCGCATGTGGTGTTGTATATTTCACCTCCGCTTTCAAAAAAGATACCCCATGGAGGTACCCGCTTTAGATCCATCTAGCATTAGACCGAGACCGGTAAGAAAGCCCTCTTAGGTAAGTTGGGGTTAACGGGCATTTGTTCGACCGCGGGGAAAGATGGTTCGGGTGCTATCGGCCAAACCTGGGATTTGTTAATCCTAAGGGCAAATTCCAAAATCTTTCGGTTAGAGCTTCAACATCCTAATTGTTACCTTTGTAGGTACATATAGAAATGAGGTTTTTTCCCTCTCCCCGTCTTTTAGCCGCACCTCTTGTATATATCGTTGCTTAGTGACGCCTTAGACTCGAATTGCCAACTTGCAGCAGATAACCGCCGCGATGTTTCGTCGAATGGTGATTCGAGCTCCCCGAAGAGCTACGCTCCCTCCCCATCATTCGGTCCGTATCGCTTCAACGAGGTGCCTCTCTTCTACGGTTGCAAGAATGTCGTTACCTCCCGTCAACCCTCCCGTGTCGACAGTACTCCCGTCCGACTCATTCCAACTTCTACCAGAGGCTAAGAAATCTGGTGCAGCAGAAGACGCTCTCTACGAGCAGCAGATTAAAGACGTCGAGGCATGGTGGGCATCGCCCAGATACGAGGGTATTAAAAGGCCATATACTCCCGCCGATGTCGTGTCAAAACGAGGATCACAGCTTCAAAACTATCCTAGCTCCGTAATGGCAAGGAAACTTTTTAATCTGATTAAGGAGAGGGAAGCAAAGGGGGAGCCGATACATACAAGTATGTTTAGTCGTCCGTATGACTTATTCACGTTCCGAACACCACAAATTAACTTTCCTCGACTCGGTGAACAGTGGGAGCGATCGATCCCGTGCAGATGACCCAACAAGCGCCACATCAAGAAGTACTCTATATTTCCGGATGGGCCTGCTCCTCAGTCCTCACCAGCACAAACGAAGTGTCGCCGGATTTTGGCGATTATCCCTATAACACGGTACCAAACCAGGTTCAACGTCTCGCGAAGGCGCAGTCAATGCATGATCGAAAGCAATGGGATTTGCGGCGGAAGATGACCCCAGAGGCCCGGAAGGAAACGCCGTATATCGACTATCTTCGCCCCATCATCGCAGATGGAGATACGGGACACGGCGGATTAAGCGCGGTATTAAAGCTTGCCAAGTTATTCGCCGAAAATGGCGCTGCTGCTGTTCACTTCGAGGATCAGCTGCACGGTGGTAAGAAGTGCGGCCACTTAGCGGGCAAAGTCCTGGTACCTATAGGCGAGCACATCAACCGTCTCAACGCCGCGCGCTTTCAATGGGATGTCATGGGCTCAGAAAACCTTGTCATCGCGCGTACCGATTCGGAAAGCGGGAAGCTTATATCTAGCGCGATCGACGTGAGAGACCACGAGTTAATTCTCGGCGTTGCGGAAGAGGGTATTGCGCCTCTCGCAGAGACACTACAAGAGATGGAGGCTGCGGGCGCGCCAGGTCCGGAAATAGACGCGTTTGAAGCCGAATGGGTAAAGAAAACGCGGCTAGTAACGTTTGACGAGGCGGCCGTCGAGCAGCTGAAATCTCAAGGAGTGGCCCAAGACAAGATAGACTCATACCTAAGAGCTGTCGAGGCAAACGCAAACATGGGCATAACGAAACGCCGTGAGATCGCGAACCAGTACGCCAAGAAGCCTATCGTCTTTGATTGGGACATCCCCCGTACCCGAGAGGGATATTATCACTACCGCGCGGGTATGAAAGCTGCCACGAAACGAGCTATTGCCTTCGCGCCTTACGCCGATCTCCTCTGGGTCGAAACTGGCGATCCAAACGTCGAGGTGGCAGCCAAGCTCGGCCGCACGGTAAGGCAAGTATTTCCCGGCAAGGGGCTAGTCTACAATCTATCGCCCTCGTTTAACTGGATGGCCCACGGTTTCACTGACGCCAAGCTCAAATCTTTCATCTGGGACATCGCCAAAGAAGGTTTCGTCCTACAACTAATCTCGTTGGCGGGCCTGCACAGTACCGCTACCATCACAAACGAGCTTGCTAAAGAGTACAAGAAGGATGGCATGTTGGCCTATGTTAATCTCGTGCAACGTCGCGAGAAGGAACTTGGCTGCGACGTTTTGACGCATCAGAAGTGGAGCGGCGCGAGCTATATCGACGGAATTCTGGGTGCTATTCAAAGCGGGAGCAGTGCGAGCAAGAGCATGGGAGAGGGAAATACGGAAGGCCAATTCAACTAGAATACTGCTCTCGTCTGGAATTCCGTTTGCTTATTTTATATGTTGATCGTTCGCATTGTAGCGATGGAGTTTAGGCATCCTCTTTTGTCCATTCTTTATTTCACCGGCGGATTGTATGGTTACTAGTCACGCATAGAGTTGTGGTTTTGCTGGATTTTAAAATATCTTCGGTTACGTAGGTAGGGCTGTGTACGAGACGTAAATCATATATCCAAAGGGGCATAGTCAAGTAAGGTAACTGGGTAGAAGCTCATCCTAATGGTGGCATAACATTATCACATCGGGTGCTTACTAGAGATTTGCGGCTTAAACGAGAATGTTCATGTGAAGTATGTAATATATATACCTACTCACTTTATTCCTTATTATGAGCACAGTACGAAGCTCTCTCTCCAATCATAGCTCGTTTTTCAAAGCATTGTTCGTAGGGGCAGGTAGAGGTGGTCCCTCCGGTGTGACGTACGCCTTGGTCATGCCGCCGTCTACCACCATCTCGTGGCCGTTAACAAAGCTAGCATCATCGGATGCTAAGAACAGCACAGCTTGGGCTTGCTCTATAGCCTCGCCAAACCTACCAGAGGGGAAATGGATCTCGCGTCGCATTCGCTTCGGCACGTCGTCTCCGAGCCAATCCTGCAGCAGCGGGGTGTTCAAGGGCGCCGGGCACAAGCTGTTGAAGCGGAAACCCTCACGGGCGTGCACGATAGCCAGCTCGCGCGTCAGGGCCAGGACGGCTCCCTTGGACGCGGTATACGCCAGCTGCGGGGTCGCAGAGCCGACGAGGGCGACGACGGACGCGGTGTTTATGATGCTGCCCTTGGTCTTGTTGTTGCGCCGTAGGGAGAGCACTGCGTGCTTGCATCCGTACCATACGCCCTTCACGTTGATCGACATGGTAAGATCCCATATCTCCTCGGGCGTGCCGACCGCGTCGTCGTCTCGCGCGTGCATGATGCCCGCGTTGTTGAAGATTATGTCGAGCCCGCCCCACGAGTCCAAGGCTTCTACCGTTGCCTTTACGTCGTCTTCCTTGGACACGTCGCAGATCTGGGAGGGGGGGTGGACGCCTTATGTTAGTCTACGATGCTGAAACTACCGCTACGTCGCGGTTTGTATTATAGTGTGGTGGCGACGACATACTCTTGTTTCGACTCGGCCGGCTTGCGGTACCAGCTGCAAGACTTTGGCTTTGGCTTTCTCCAATGCCGGGCCAGAGATATCGACTATTAGAACATTGGCACCTTCTTTTGCAAAGAGGATCGATGTTTCGAGGCCAATTCCGCTATGTAGATAATTTGCGTCAGTCCAAAGCCTACCCTATGTCCTGTACGTATGATAGGAATTACATACCCAGCACCTCCCGTGATTATGGCATTCTTGCCAGCAAGACGACCTTTGTTCTCAGATGCCATTTTGACCACCACCCGACTTATCGTAATTTCAGTAAAAGGGCTCGTTTGAACGGCGAGGACGGGTTTGCCGAGTGGGATAGGGGATGTAAATTAACACCGGGACGGTTTAGGAGGTACTGGAAAGGATGACTCGAGGTCGAAGGCAGAATCGAATCGATCCGCTTCGAATATTTGACGAAAGTCTATCAGCTATCCCGAAAGATGCCAATATTAGACACTATCCGTTATCACTAATAGACCGATAGTCCACTATACTCGTGCTGTATGTTGACCTATCGGTCCAGACTAATTTTGGAGGGGCGCTTCCGTGACATGACCCCTCTCCTTCCGACAACGGCGGCATGTTAGTGATAAGACTATATTTCTTATCACGAACTGCCCAGCATAAACCTTGGAAGTTATCTAGGTACCCAGGTATGTAGGTATCTATAACAAAGGTACCTATATAATATTGTTCCCACCCTACTTACCTCGGTCCTACATGAATATCTTGCAGGCCGGGCCCCTCGCTACAAGCACACAACATCGAGGGTGCTTAGTTGAGGGCTTTGATCGGCATCCATTTTAGTATAATCTCATAATACCTACACGGTCCAAGTCCACTTCGTTCATTTTTTTACGCTTCATATTAACACTAAATAAAGGTAGGACTCAAGGGCTAAACTAGGTCTGTTAGTACAGCTCGACGTGGATTTGACTGATTGGATAATAGTCACGGGGGCGTTTGGGATAATAAACAAAAAGAAATAGGACGGAGCCGATACGTTCTGGTGAAATATCGGCAAAGTCATGGCTTACATAGGTAGCTCGCTTCGACCTTTCCATCTCAATACTATTACTTCTAAGTTGAGAAAACTTCCCCCGACGGGGGTTAAATTACTCCTAGTAGAATACCTATGGAATTTGAAGGCTTAGTGATATGGTACAGTGCGTCGTCATGTCGTTTCGACTAAGTCCGAGTGTAGGTAGTAGTCCGCTGGAACCCGTTTGGATATGCCACGGGTATGTCACTTGCACCATATCCTAAGAAAGGCGGAAGCCATTGAAGATCAAATCTGTTTCCGCCAGATCCCGCAGAGGTATCAAAGGAGATGATCGTAAGTAAGGCGTATTTGACATGTACTCCACACCGATACGCCCATGTTTTCTGGAAAGATGTTGGTGAATTCTCGGTTCATGATTCGTGGGGAGCTTCCGCAATTGGTATATCTTGTTACTTTTAAGCGGTGAGTTGATGACTATGTAACACTTGTCCATTCCGTCGGGTCGGGTTCGTGATTGATGATATCGAGTCATCATGCCGATATTAGAATAAACCACGCGGCCGGATAGGAATGTCGGGAAACGCATAATGCAATTTAGGGCCAAGTATATCGTAGCTGCCAGTCAGCATTGGTTGAGAGTCGGCCTAGCATAGGCGATATTATATTGCACCATGCTTTAAGTATACCGAAGGGATGATTATATGACATCTAGGACATCTAAAGCGGATCGTTGGTAGCAATTTACTGCTTTGCATACTCTAGGTTAGGCCGTCGAGTCCTATTATATGTTGACATATTATTGGTCTTGGAAAAGGATCGCTCGAGGAAGGGCGGGAGTCTGAATAGTTTCAGGCATACAGCAAGTATCACGCGGTGTCAGCTGACAGACTTATACAAGAACATACCTCCTAACCTAGGTACCTAGATGAGTATGTATAGAACTAAAATCACGCAACTTAAGCTCCATCGAACTCACTCAATCGGGTTGAATATATGAATATACGATGGTAGGATGGAAAATAGCGGGTGGTTATAGACGGGGTATCTTACTCGGTTAATAGCCCTAGATGAGAGCCTCACATAAGTCAAACCGGTGTAACGTCATCGTCGTGTATGTACTACTACGAAACATGATCACGATGTAAGAGAAATCTGCAGGTTGGGCGTAATCCACGAGGGAGAATTGCTATAATTGTTATAGTATAATATGATATGTGATATGTGATATGTGATATACTAATATAGGTACCGAGGTACTTATTACGTAGCTGGTGGGAGTTCCCGTGGACAGGGATTTCATTATCCGATGTCTTAATCTTAAAGCTTGTAATACCGCAGTTCAAGCTTATCTTTTACCAATCACGTCAAACACTAAATATTTCGGTATCGGCAAGGTACCCAGAGTTTGAAGTTGGATCGATCTTTTACTCGACGCATTCTTCAGCCTTACGGAGGTAATCAAGGTTCCATACAGGTACATAACATATGTTTTGAATCTTACCCCTCCATTACCTTCAATACCTTCAATACTTACATCTCTCGCCGTCCATATACAATACCCAAGTACCTATCTATATATACCCATATCCGTTGTTACCAGCGCTGGTTGTTACTAACTTATATTTATATCTATTCTATCGCAGACTTGGTTGGATTCTGAATTAATTCCTCGTGTATGCCGAGAACAGTTCTTTCTTCCCCTTCTACCTCTTTTTTATTACGACGCGACTCAAAACTATTACTCTTTTATAGTCTCCCTTAACATGTCTCTACCACCCCGCGTTACAGTTGAGAACCTCCCAGACCTCCTTAAGGATGACACCAAGGTGAAGCTGGCAGGAGTAGACGTCGATGGAATGCTACGAGGGAAGATCGTGTCCAAGAAGAAGTTCCTCTCCGTAGCCAAAGAAGGTTTCGGGTTTTGCAGTGTCATCTTCGGTTGGGATATGCACGATAGAACCTATGGAAAGGAACTCAAGATTAGCAACAAGCAGAACGGTTATCGCGACTTGATAGCCGTGCCCGATCTAAACAGTTTCCGACGCATTCCCTGGGAAGACAATGTCCCCTTCTTCTTAGTTAGCTTCTTCGACGACGACGCAAATCCTGTATGCGCCGATCCGCGCGGGCTGCTTAAAACTACCGTAGAAAAGCTGGAAAAGAAGGGTTACAATGCCATGGCAGGAGGTTTGTTACGCTCCCGTTCGACATTAAACACCCCTCTATTTTTCATCTCCGCACAGATTCCAAGTATTATAATACCAACTATTGTATAGCCGAAATCGAGTTTTTCCAATTCAAGATACCTTCTTCGAATTCCTCAACCACAGACTCGCCCTCTCCCTCCGTCGCATCATATCTTAACAGCAACCCACCGCATACCCTGCCTCCCCTAACCGAGGGTATGTTCGGATATAGCATTACGCGGCCGACGCTCAACAAGTCTTACTATCACGGGGTATACGATTCGTGTGCCAAGTTTAGGTGCGACCTGGAAGGTTGGCATACCGAGAGCGGACCTGGGGTCTACGAGGCGGCATTGGAATTTGGACAAATCTCAGAGACTGCCGATAGAGCATCCCTCTTCAAGTACGTCGTTAGGTCGGTTGCGAGCGAATACGGAATTACGCCCTGTTTCATGGCGAAACCTCAGCACGGTCTGCCAGGGAACAGCGGGCATACCCACGTGTCTGTCGTAGATAAGGACGGCAAGAACCTATTCTTCCGCGAGGAGAAGGATGAGAATGCAAAGTACCCTGACATTGCCCATCTCAGCGATCTCGGAAGGCATTTTCTTGCGGGTATCCTGGACGGTTTACCTGATGTAATGCCGATGCTTGCGCCTACCATAAATAGCTATAAGCGGTTGGTTGAGAATTTCTGGGCCCCCGTGACCGTCTCGTGGGGTCTCGAACACCGTGCTGCATCTGTCAGACTCATCGCGCCTCCTACTTCCAAGCCTGGGGCAACGCGATTCGAGGTCCGTGTACCAGGTGCCGATGCGAACCCTTACTTCGTCATGTCGGCTATCCTAGCTCTCGGCTGGCGCGGCGTGGAGAAGAAACTCGAGATCCCGATTCCTCCTCTCGGCAAGGGTCAGGATGTGGGAGACCTGTCCGATCAAGGTACTCGCCTCGCGAGAAACTTGAGGGAAGCTACCGATAGATTTATGAGCCAAGATAGCATCGCTCGCGAAGTTTTCGGTGACGACTTCGTAGATCACTTTGGAGGTACCAGGGAAAACGAGATACGACTTTGGGATGAGGCGGTAACGGATTGGGAACTGAAACGATACATAGAGACGGTATGAGGATTGGATGAATGATATCCTGTATAATAGTCGTATAACTAACCTGCTAGCCTTATTGTTACGCCGTAAAGTAAATTTGAATCCTTTCTTGAAAGAGCGTTTGGCCTGTAAATGTGCTTAACGGTCTTTGTCCTGGGCAGCTAGGATCTCCTAAGATTCTTCCCTATAATTTATTATATTTAAATCGAAATTCATGGGTGAACCTTACCGACGTATTTCCCTTCGTGAGAGATGATTGAAAGGAAGTGAAAGATTTTCAACCATAAGGCACGAAATATATCCCCAGGTGTGAGATTCGTTCAAGTAGAGCGGGGTTTGGCTGACGAATATTACAATTCTTAAATTGGGTACTTGGATACTATGGGATACTATGGAAAATCATCTTATAAAGTAAAAAGTGTCACATCGGGGGAATAAAAAGGGAAGAAAGTTCCCCAAATACTCGGGGTCATTTGGCTAATGCAGTATCGGAAGTGAAATGATGTGAAATGATGTATAAAGACCCCGCTTGATAGAGTACGATACATATGATTTTACTCTCTTATACACCCTACATAAGTTTGTTGGCGATATCCTTAAGCCGAGAACTAATCTAATAATGTCAACAATATCATCAGACGCGAAAGCGATTAGCTCTTCTGATACCCCGTCGGTTGACAGATATCCGGAGTTGACAATCCAAGGTCCTCTTTCAAGAAGAGGCCATGGCCCAGGGTTACTCCTCCTGGTCGACGCGGAGCTTGATCTTCGTAAAAAGCACGAGAAGACTTTAGACCCGCCACCCTTGTATAAATGGGCCGAAGAAGGCTTTGCCGTTGCGCAGTTAAGAGTTACGAAATCTAATAGAATATTGCTATACGATGCCATACGCTCGGCACTCTCCAAGTTACTCGCATTGCCGTCTTGCGATCAAATTGAGAAGATTGGAATCATCAGTGAGAAAACAAGATACATATCTAAATTTATGTGCAAATGAATAATGATTCAGCTGACTGCGCAACAACTAAAAGCTTATATGCCTGTCTTGGAATCCGTCGTACTAGAAGCAATCGAGGCCCATCCCGAGATTTGTACCGTCGTCTGTTACGGTGCACTACTAACGGGTGTCACTACTAGCAAGCTGCCGTTACTAGCACACGTACCTGGACCTTTTACGAAAGCCCAAGAGGATGGTAGTAAAGAAGGGACTAACGAAAAGAAGTATCACTACGAGAATGCGAAATCCTTCTTTGCGATCCCCGCACATGAAAACTACCACGCTACTTCAGCCTCGGTGGCCCACACGCGGTCGCTCTCTTTTCTGAAGCCGCTTGTTGGCGCCCCCTATTTCGACCTCGAGAAAGTGTGGGACGAGCACACGTACTGGGAATTCCAAGCGCGATCCGTCGAGGAGACGATGGCGACCATGGTGGAAGAACCATACGTGAACCACGTGCCAACGCTCACAGGCGGTGTTGGACGACAGGCCCTGACCGAATTCTACAGAGAGAACTTCATCTTCAGCAATCCGCCTGACACGCAGCTTGAGCTCGTGAGTCGGACCGTGGGTATCGATCGCGTGGTCGACGAGTTCCTATTCAAGGCGACTCACGACCGTGTAATAAACTGGCTGTACGTGTTACCGTAGCGCTTCTCCTAACGTAAAGTAGTGTGAAGCGGCCTAATCTTATACGTTTGCGTATTTGTAGCATCCCTGGTATCCCAGCAACCGGGCGATTTATCAGTATTCCGTTCACGAGCGTGGTAAACATACGCGGCGATCGTCTCTACCACGAGCACATCAGCTGGGATCAAGCGACGCTTCTTAGACAGCTAGGCTTACTTCCAGAGTATCTCCCATTCCCATATCCAGTTGCGTCGGATTCAGGGGCATCTGCTACGAGCTTCGAATATCGTCTCCCCGTTGCCGGAATTGAGAGCGCGCGTAAGCTAGCGGACGAGAGCTCTGTGGATTCGAATGAGATGCTCCAATATAAGTATAGGGAAAAGATGTGAGGTCTGCTGTCAGACAAACTGTTAGACGAACTTATTCTATACTTATTAGTCTATACTTAACATCTGAGACATGTCGGAAGTTCTTTACATTCTCGTCCCTTTAGCTAACACAGTATTCTTACTGTAATCGGCAACGCAGATAAATTTCTATTAATAGGTTGCGCACGGTTACAGTACCGGCTTTATGTAAATATCCATCCAATGCTCAGAGCCCAAAAGCTCTCGCCAAGAAGATCTCCAGGTTTCAAACCAAGGCTCCGACGTTGGGATCGATGCTGCTTTATAATACTTCAGGTAACTTGAGGAATTGGTCAAGTCTTTCAATTCCAAGTATGACCTTAGAGACTTTCGCGATAGTAATACATATGATTAATTCCTAATTTAACCGTTGCTATTTGCTCAGGTAGCAAAGGTACCTACATCTAGGCAAGCATCGGACGGACCAACGATTTCTTAGTAGCAATCATCGAAAGACTTGCTTGCTGAACCACACTCTCGTAGGGCGAGACCAGGCTTCGAGCCATAGGTGACGAGATGAGCTCAAGTAAGGAAGGGCTATTAAGTCCAACCTCGAACTACGAGCAGGAGCAGTTCCGCCGTTCCTATGATGCTCGCTCATCATTCGAACTCGACTCTGATCTCGACGCAACAGAGTTCCTCCAATCCGACCCCCTCACATCCTCTAAACCGTCCACCGCAGCTTTCTCTACCCAGCCTCGCAACCGCTGGTTGAGGAAACCATGCGGCTGCTTCGTCGGCCGCTCGACTAGATGTATCATTGGCTGTTTAGCCATTTTCGCTCTAGTATGGCTAGCACTCAGCGCAGGCGGCTTCTTCGCATTTAAGAAATATAAACAATCACCTCCGGATGGCCTCTCGCCACCATGGTATCCGACTCCAAAGGGCGGTACGGCAAGAAGCTGGGCCGAGGCCTATCAAAAAGCCAACGAGATGGTTGCCAGGATGACATTACCGGAGAAAATAAACGTGACGACTGGGACCGGATGGAAGATGGGTCCGGCCGTAGGAAACACGGGCCCGGCGGTTCACGTAGGGTTCCCTGCTCTTGCGCTTCAGGATGGTCCGCTAGGTATTCGGTTTGCCGACAATGCCACTGCCTTTCCTGCCGGCGTGACTGTCGGCGCGACTTGGAATAAAGAGTTGATGTACCAATGGGGAAACGCCCATGCGATAGAAGCTAGAAAGAAGGGAGTCAATGTGATTTTAGGTCCCTGTATCGGTCCATTAGGCCGCATGCCAGCAGGTGGACGGAACTGGGAAGGGTTTGGCGCGGATCCTTATCTCCAGGGCATCGCAGCAGCCCAGTCGATCAAGGGAATTCAAGATGAGGGTGTCATGGCGACTATTAAACATTTCGTCGCAAACGAACAGGAGCACTTCCGCCAACCGTGGGAATGGGGCCTCCCGAATGCTCTTAGTACGAACATCGACGATCGGACAATGCACGAGCTTTACTTATGGCCGTTTGGAAATGCTGTTAAGGCTGGCGTTGCAAGCGTCATGTGCAGCTACAACATGATTAACAATTCGTATGCGTGCGGCAACTCGAAGCTACTCAACGGCTTGTTGAGAGACGAGATGGGTTTTCAGGGATTCGTAATGAGCGATTGGTTGGCGCAGAGAAGCGGCGTTGCCAGCGCTCTCGCAGGCCTCGACATGACGATGCCCGGGGACGGGCTGTTCTGGGAGGATGGCAAGTCTCTCTGGGGTTCCGAGCTTACGAGATCTATCCTCAACGGTTCGGTTCCTCTCGATAGGTTAAACGACATGGTTACTAGGATTGTCGCGGCATGGTACCAACTAGGTCAGGACGACAAGACCAAGTTTGACCGTAAGGGGCCCAACTTCTCGTCGTGGACAGACGAGCCTGAAGGTATCTTTGCGCCTGGAAGCCCTACCGAGCAAGAGAAAGTCCCAGTTAATCAGTACGTCAACGTCATGGATGATCACGCCTCCATTGCACGGCAGATTGCAGCAGAAGGAACTGTCTTGCTTAAAAACGAAGGACTACTCCCTCTTCCCCATAACTCTAGCACTAACTCGAATAAAACGATCCCACGCGACGGTCCGTTTCAGATTGCAATATTTGGCGAGGATGCCGGTCCTGGCGACGGTCCTAATCACTGTCCAGATCGCGGTTGCAACCAGGGCACCTTAGCTTCAGGCTGGGGCTCTGGTTCTGTCGAATTTCCATACCTGGTCACACCCGTCGAGGCACTGACTAAGAATTGGAAAGACGACGAGGGCGTAAAGGTTTCGACGTATCTAACGAATAAGCCACCATTCGAAAAACAGCCCGAGATTCTGCAAGACGCTCAGTTATGTATCGTCTTCGCAAACGCCGACTCGGGCGAAGGGTTTAAGGTATGGGAGGGTGTTAAAGGCGACCGACCCGATCTATTTCTGCAGAAAGGCGGCGATGATCTGATCACTCGGGTCGCCCAAGGATGCCACGGCGGCACCGGCGACGTCCTTGTCGTCATTCACACAGTCGGTCCTGTCCTGGTGGAAAAGTGGATTGACCTACCAAATATCAAAGCGGTCCTCCTCGCGAACTTACCAGGCCAGGAGAGTGGTAATGCCCTAGCCGATGTCATATTCGGAGATGTCAACCCTAGCGGAAAGTTGCCTTGGACTATCGGCAAGTCCCTAGATGATTACGGCGAAGGTGCTAAAGTCATGTACCTACCAAACGGCGTCGTACCGCAGCAGGACTTCAAAGAGGGTTTATACGTCGATTACCGCTATTTCGACAAGTACGAAATACAGCCGCGGTTCGAGTTCGGGTTCGGCTTAAGCTATACTACATTCGAGTTCTCTGATTGCACCGTCACCGGGCTAAAGGAGAAGAGCGTCCTCCCCGCACCGCGACCCAAGGATTTTGCAATTCCACCAGAATACGATGCTACTATTCCTAACGAGGAAGAGGCGCTCTTCCCTAAAGGCTTTCGAAAACTTGAAAAATACGTTTACCCCTACCTCGATAATATCGATGATATAGTATCAGATCCCTACCCCTATCCCGACGGCTACGACGTAAAGCAGCCTCTCTCCGGCGCGGGGGGGGACGAAGGTGGAAACCCCGACCTTTGGGATACCTATGTTACCGTTTCCGTAAAGGTTACCAACACCGGCGGTAAGGCAGGCCAGGTCGTGCCGCAGCTATACCTTGGCTATCCCCAAAGCGATCTTCCAGTCGACTTCCCAGTCAAGGTGCTGCGCGGATTCGATAAGTTTTTGCTGGACCAGGGCGAAAGTAGGACGATCACGTTTAACCTGACGAGGCGAGATCTAAGTTACTGGGACGTTAAGGCGCAAAATTGGGCTATGGTTGTCGAGGGTAAATACCGGTTTATGGTTGGTCGAAGTTCGAAAGATTTACCTGTGTCGGGAACTTGGTAGTCGTAGCATGTATATATCAGCTTGGTAGTTATTTAACAGGACACGGAAATGTCATAGTATAATTAATTATTGTTACACTTCGCTGGTTCCAGGAACGTGATTCGGAAATTATTCGATATTTATTCATTATTGCATTTGATATTCCTTTTTTACAGTAGCTGATCGTACCTTATGCTAAGATACTCAGCTGTGCTTTCTCTTAGATTAAATACTCTTCGAGTGTCGTGAAGCGGAATTTATATTTCCGTTCGAGTGCCTCCGTATCAACTGTTAGATCAACCGCATTAGCCCAGAGGTGCCATGCTACAATCGGATTCGTATCGTCTGTTTCTTCGAGCGTCCGAGCCCGAACTGTAATGTTCTTTCCTGTAGCTTTCCTAATCGCATCGGCTACATCCTCTATTGTGAGATTCTGACTGGCTAATTCGATTTCCTCGCCATCAAATGTAGCTGCAATTCGCAAGGATCGTTGGCGCGCGTGTCTTTGCCATCACATCGTCCGATGAAAAGGCCGAGACGCTGAGAAAATTAGGCGCCGAGTCTGTAGTCAACTACAGTACTCAGCCCGAGTGGGATAGAGAGATTCTCGCACTCACCGATGGCAAGGGTGTTGATAAAGTCTTGGATATTGCAGGAGAGAAGACGATCGTTAAATCGGCCGCATCAACCAGGATTGGCGGTGTGATTAGCCTGATTGGCTTTGCTAGCGGGTTTGGCGGCGGCCTCCCTCCTATTGACATTCTTCGTCGAAGCCTCACTGTAATGGGGTCAACTATTAGTTCCCGTATGAACTTTGAGGATATGCTCAGAGCAATGGCAGCTCATCATGTACAGCCGATTATCGATCGAGTGTATCCATTTGCGAAATATAACGAGGCATATGAGCGGCTCAAGAGCGGGAATCATATAGGCAAGGTTGTGATTGATCTAGCATAAACAATGGTCATGTCACTCTATAACAAAGATAGGTCTGGACAAAGGCATAATATAACCTGTCAGCTCGGGCGTCCGCTACACGAACTACACGCATGGTTGGCTTCATGAAACCTAACAGATTAAGCTGGCTAAGGGAACTGTTTTCACCACCGAAGAAAATAATTTATTAGCAGGTGTCGATGGCTGCGAGACCCAAAAGTTAAGAGCGTGGTCGATTCCCAGCGGAACGGGACGGATTGCGTATATCTAGTTCGTTTTCAATCATATTTCGCCAGCGTTCAAGATCGCGAGTTGTCAGATCCTCTAGTACCTCGGGGGTTAGGTAAAATCGTTTGTTAGGGTTGTTGTCGTCGGAGGTCGAACGGCTTCGCTTCTTAGCTTTCCGGCTTTTACCTACGACAATTAGCTTCTAGGGCTCTTGAAAGGATTTGCTAAAACTTTACCTTCGTAGAATGAACATCCTGCAGCCGTGCTAGAAAACTGGCAGTTTGTACAAGCTCCATTAAACAAGCTATTGCTACCGGCAACACACTCAGCACATGGACCACGCGATTTTCTGTGTAAACATTGTTGACACGAGCCCGAATTGACTTTATCGATCGTGACGAAGGCTGCTAGAGCCGACATTTTCTGCTGTCGGTCAAGATAAAGTTTGGGTTGGGTAACTGCACCCTTCTCCCGAAGTTCTTTGAGTTGAACTAAGCGGGTGATGGTCTACCTATTGTGAGCGTTGCTTGTACAGGCTTGATCAACAACGAACATACCTTGTGTTTTTCTATTATAGTACGAACATCATTGTAGGGACAGGCTCGAAGCTGATTGACGATCCAACTAGTAAGCTCTAGCGGGTTGCCAAAGTCCACATCTTTTTCATCAGGGGCTACGAGATCCTTCTCTTGCCATTTCCAGCTTGATAGGGGTAGAATATTGACAGACATTATCATTAAAATAATCAATGAAAATTTTGGATATTCGACGACATGTATGATTATTAAGGAAATATGTGAGATACGATAATGTGTACGCGTTAAAAATCAAAAATCTATTGTTATTATGCAAAATTTTTTAATTGCATTTGTCCGTGCAAACAGTCCCACCCATTTCGTTGAAACTAACAAGTCCTTCTTTAGATAGTTACGTTCATGATTAACTAATTATAGTTAGGCCCTCGGCGGGCGACTACTTGTTTCTTTACTTGACCCGTAGTTAATAAAGCAAGGAGTAAAATTGGTGCTTTAAAAATACGGTGTAAATGATTTAAACAATCCCCCTTAAACAACAATGGGAAAATTTAAAACTAACTATTAACTTTTGGAATAAGTTACGTGTTCTTAGAATATTGGAACAATTCGTTGGTATCGGCCATGAGATGCGATTTTTTCCCAACAGGAAATGTAACAATATAGCTACCTTAGAGATGTGAGAAAAATCCAAAGGCTAGCCCATTACGACTTTCAAAGAGAGGCCTACCTGTTATGCCACTTTCGATATATTATCGAAAATACTTAAACTACAGCCAAGGAGTAAACTCTTTCACACAAACTTTCTTTTAGATACGAAGTGTTGCATTGCATTTATAATCCGAGCGGCAACCGCTCTTATACGACTTCAGCCTAGTTGGAATATTCGGACTAGACCATAACAGAAGGCCTTTATAACGTCCAATGATTGAACTATTAACAGCCTAAATACTATTCGGTAGCTGTCTAATACTACCTCTTAGCCATGCTCTTGTTTAGTAAACGGACCAGCTACTTCCAGCTGTTTGAATACGCCTTAATATTACCAAATGTGTAGGTATAAATACGGCCGGCCAGAGACAAAATATTCATCTCTTACTAGCTTCCATCAACTCACCTAGCCCAACATGTTGCTTTCTGTATTTGCGAAGCAGTTGCCAGTTATCAGTGCTCTTATTACATGCGCAGCCTGCCATGGGTTTGTGCAGTTCATCGTTGCCGATGGCAAGAATTATACCGGCTGGGACCCGGGTTTCCGCTATCAAAATCCACCACCAAGCATCCCAGGCTGGACAGCGAACAATCCTGATATCGGGTTCGTCAGTCCCGACTCGTTAGCCCACCCGGACATCATCTGTCACAAAGCGGCCACGCCGGGTCAGGCATATGTCGACGTAACCGCGGGTAGCACATTGACACTTCAGTGGTTCACATGGCCAGACAGCCATAAAGGGCCCATCATTGACTACCTGGCTGATTGCGGCACAGCCGGCTGCACTGGAGCCAAGAAGGAAAACCTGAAGTTTGTTAAGATTGCACAGGCTTCTTGGAAGTCTGGCAACGATTGGGCTTCAGACGATCTGATAAGGAACTAATTCAAGTGGCAGGTCAAGATCCCGTCAACCCTAAAGCCTGGTAACTATGTGTTACGCCATGAGATAATTGCCCTCCATCGTGCCTCCAACGTCGGTGGCGCCCAGGCATACCCGCAGTGTATCAACCTACACGTCTCGGGTGCCGGATCTAAGTCCACCAGCGGCGGCGTGCCCGCTACCAAGTTTTACAAAGAGAACGACCCGGGCATTTTATTCAATATTTACGGCGAGGTTACCAATTATCCCGTACCGGGCCCTGGTAACATTTGGACTGGCGCATAAAGCTCCAAGGTGTCACGAGGTGGAGCAAGAAGCATGGAAGCGACTTTGTTGTTCTGTGAGGAACTTTAAGCTATACGGGAGCCTATGGCCGTACTGATAGTCTTTTGTTCTAGATATCCCATCTTGAATCTTAACACAAGGCTCAAAGATAAATGTAATGGATAAACTTTATGGAATAAGTTTCTAACTGATCATTATATACTTTTATATTTAATATTTATATAGTTAATAATTTATATAATTGTTTTGTTTAAAAACGCTTATTTAATCAACATCATTTCTTGGTACATCAATATCATTCACCATTTAATTTGACCTTTGCCGCCTTTTATGATGGCCGCCCTACGTTGGACATACGATCAGTAATCGTTAAAAGAGCCGTTCGTACTGGGCTTGGGAAGTATTTGAGCGGATTGGGTTTCTGCAGCTCGATTCATGAACGCTAGGTACAAATCGATCTTCTTCAGTCGGAGATAGGGGCTCATTTCTCATAGTATTAGACAAGGCAAATTTTAGATCTGTAGATATCGAGTAACTTTGAGGTGTTTAGCCTAGGCGTTGGAATGTAGGCATTGAATCCTAATTATATTATTTATTATATTTACAAATACAATGTTATGAGAGTAGCCTATCGTCTGTTAAACTGAAGATGTGTATTTGGGATAACTGCAAGGTTGATGAATGTGGCCTATTTATACGCTTGTTAAGGGGCTAACTAGAGCCTAACCTCCTAGATAACCAATTACTACTATTATCGCATTTATAGATATTGGCATATCAACGGCTAGACTGTAATAATATCATTGGTTACTGGTAAGTTGATACTAGCAGAGATTTTGCTGAGCTGATAATCCAAGGACTCAAGGAGTATGGCTTATTAAAAACCTGGTAACTAATGATATATGCGCTGAATAGAAATGTCTGAGACGGGATACTACTGTAGTCTGCAAGTGGAAAAAGGAACGTCTATTTCGTAGGGCAGCATGTATGTCACAACTAGGCACAGGTTGGCATGGGTATGTTCTTCGCTGATACGTTATTTCCGGTGGGGCTTATATTGGGTACGTAACAAAACGAATCTCGTTGAGTGATTCGTGTGAGTCGTATGAGTCGTGTGACTTGCAGTACCTTGGTAGATAGATGAGATTGGGTATTGAGGCAGGTGAATGGGTGTGGTATAGTATGCAGGCATGATGATGACTGTCAAAAGGCGGTCTGTATTAATCAAATTGATATTATGTATGGGAAACTGGACACTGGGTATGATATAATATTAATACGAATAATTTTTTTAGGTCATGTTGGTACTTATCGTGACCTCATGCTCTATCTGCGCGCGGGGGGGAAGAATATGGGGGATTTAGAGGGAGAGAAGATCTTGATAATAAATCGGAGTTTAAACTTGTAATTTTTGCATGGATATATGCATATTTAAATATCGATGGGGTATGTCTCTTTTATTGAAATATCTCTCTGCTCTAGCCGGACTTTAGCCGAGTCTCGATCACCGATTGCATTCTTCCCGCGATTCGCAACTCACAACTCACAACTCACAAGTCTCAGTCGTTGTTCTCCTATCACATATCTTGAGCAACCTAGATCTACGTCAGCCTCATATCTCGTCTTATGTATGTACTTATGTATTGTAACAGGGTCACATAACGGCCACTTATACATAAGCAGTTAGATGATCGGCCGGGAGCACCGGTAGACCAATCATCACCTTCACCGGAATACCCGAGGGATCAAGCACGTCAAGTCCGCGGGGGTATTTATCGCGTATTATAATACCCTTTTTGAACTGTGGTATTGGCTTCGAGACCTACTTGCGACTGGCTTTTTCGTTTTATGTAGTGCCTGGTCGTGATAGTCGCTGGCCCTCTTTTCGGTATGTAATGATCAATCACTTCTTTGGTGCTGACTTTGGTTCGCTTAGTTGACATATGCACCCAATTATTTCTCGCTATGAACCGAGATCTCGGAATTCAGAGTAGTATTTCGGTATGCAAGTTACAATGCCCGATCAAGTATCGCCTACCGCTTCCCGTTCGAGCATTTATACGCTATGCATAACGGTATCGAATCAAATAAATATCTCTGTCCGAGCAGCACCGTTGCACGTTCCGTCCCGACATAAACATACCCGTGGTAGCTAGTGCGTGCTACGCGTATTCATGCTGCATGCGCAATCCTCCTATAGAGAGCACAGGGAGAGAGGCCATTATCTTTGTCTTGTCTGTTGTAAAGTTTATAGCCTTCTTCCAAAGTCAGGCTAGGGAAAAGCTGCATGAAAATGGACTTTTCCTTCTGTCCTTTGCTTGGCCTGCGGCCCGATTGTTACCTGATCTGACCGACTTTCAACGGCTCTACCTGCTAACTGGCACAATCGCAACACCTCTCGATCCCACTTATGGCAATAACACTTCCAAGATAAACGAGCCAGATCATCATAGTACTGCGTGTACTAGGCCATACATGTATTTTCGGACCACTCGTTCGAGTTCTCAGCCGGCGATAAGCGTGGTGTTAGGGTGGTGTTAGGGTGTATGTAATGGGTTGCAACTGGTGAGCTGTGTGTAATAGATCCAACGTTGACGAAAAGCAAAATGCCCCTTTACCACCCATCACTCCTGAAGATCTCAACAATGTCCAGTCAAACTTCAAGTACTAATGCGCTCCAAAGACACATCGCTCTACTTATTTACTTACTTCATCTAGCCCCCTTTTACTCTGCTTCATTTTCTACCACCTAGTAGTGAGTGGTCTGATCTGTTATTGGCGAGGTTGCCAGGCGCACTTCTTATCCTATGAGAGATAGGTATCCAAGGCTCAAAGTTGAGGTGCTCTTTTCGACCGTAGAAGGGTTTCCATCTACTCGAGCATCGGTTTTTTCTTTTTTTGTTCTTTTAGTTTCTTTCCCCTGTCTATGACTACTATCGGCCGACATATATGTGAAAGCTGCCGTTAAAATGTACGAAAGATACTTGAGGTAACGTAACCCCCACTACCGCTAAACCTGGATGAGATAGTCCCTGTAGAAACTACCTTCCAATACTATTCCTTTAAGACGCTTCGAAAATTCGCTATAGAGCTATTACTAGCAGCTGCTACTGCATTGGAGGTTGGTGGGCCTGAATACTCTTGTTTTAGCAAGCACCCAAGACTGCCCACAACCTCTCCAGGTTTTCATGTGGCGACCCGAACGGAAAGTCTGGGGTAGACTCCCCAGTTCCGGGATACTTTACTCGTGAGCATCACCACGGTTAGAATTAGCCTGAATCAGAATATCTTCGGATACTGTCCACCCATTGTGGTTTGACGCTGTAGTTACACAGTGATGGGCTGTGACCAATTCGTGACGGAATTTCAGCCACGATACGCGCCAACTTGGTGAAAAGTCAAGAAGTTGGGCTGCTTACCATTACAGCTATTTATTATTCCTGAGCCGGCTTACGCTAACATAGAATTGTTGCCTTCCTACCATAGGCTATTCATCGACTACGAGCAGAATATCCTATGTTTTCTAAAAGTCACACGTAGAGTATTAGAGAGACTGCCGACTCTTGAGCCATTTCCCGACACCTAGGCGGGTACCTTTCATGAAATGATTCCGCGTGACCTTTCTCATCTAAAATTCTATACCCAGGTCGGCCATACCCTATCGTAAGCTATGCCAGATCAGGCGAGAATACATCGTCATTTACTCTACGTCTAATCATAAGCTACGCACAAGTTTTGCTTCTATGGTTTCCGGGTCGTATTTAGACAAGGCTATGCATATATGAAACGACGAAACAGCCCATGACACTTTCTACCAAATATATTCTGGATCCCGAAGTCTAGAGTAAAGGATACACATACAGGAAAGCATATACCGTCCAATATATGGTGACCTTAGATGTACTTAGTAAGCCGGGAAGATGCCGATCACGAGAGGCTCCGTTCTTGGACCTACGGCCATTACAATAAAGTCGAACATAGAAGTTAGATGATGAATATATGATTTGAGGGATTGAGGGATACACGCTTCCCATCGACCAGTGAGGCTTGCTCTAGCTAGAAGATATATTAGTCCTATAGGCTATGATGACTATCGATGTCATTCCTACACTTATTAGGCATGTTTTATGTAAGGCTGAGAAGCTAATGAAGATCCCGTTGAATAAATTAGGCTTTCTACCTGTTAAGAAGCTCGGTTACTTACTATAAGGTACCAAGAGAAATCAAACATAGGATGCATAGAGGACATACACCCCGGTGTGTAAGATAGCATGTGGGATATGGATGTATCCACCTCGGTCAAGGATTGATAATTGCATTCTGAAGGGTTTGAACATTTACCCCTCATTAAGAGCACTAGAAAAATAAAATGGCGGTCTTGACTTAGCTCTAGCCCCTCTACGGTTGACCAGACAAGGTACTGTGCCAAAATGAAAAAAATCTGTGAGCTTAGCTTAAAAGGGTAGTCAGCCACAGGTTAGCGCAATTAGCTCGAATTATTATGGTACTTCGCACTTTTGTATGGGAAAAAAGGATTATCTTTTCTAAATACATACATTATAACGTTATATATAATATGCTTTAAAAAGGTATGCTTACTTTAATCTTTTATTAAATATTATATCTACTTACATATTCAAATAACTTTACAATTCCAGCAATTACAACATTATAATTGGTATCATTTTATAGCCTCAATTGAAGCGAAAATAATTATCCAGGTTGCATGCGTATACGATGTATTGTTGTTAAGATATTTAAAGTCTTTTGAAAACAGTCGTCTCAAAGGGTATCACGTGTATAGGTACTTAGGTACGGGGCGGCCTCTTACTCTTTTTAAGATGCGCGCCTTTTTATTGGCTAAATTTTACACCGCCCGTCTGGCAATATCCTTATCCTTATCCTTATCCTTACACCACATCTCTGTTACAGCTTCATGTTCAATTCAATTCAATTTAAATGACGATGCAATGGCTATCTATCTTTACATATTGCTTTTA